TGCTGCGAGAGTTACTTTGCCGTGTAACTGCGTGGGGTTAGACATGGATGAGGGTTTTGGAGGAATTGGAGGTGGAGGTGGGCGTGTAGGTGGTAGTGGTAGGGTTTGTCTGGGTGGAGTCTCCGGTTCTATGGACGGTCTTGGGTTTCGATATTCGGAAAACACTTTGAAGGATTGAAACGAGGTTTATTTAGTTCGAATCGTAATCAAACTCGTCACTCCAATCGTTAGAAGTAAATCCAAAAATATTCTCTTCTTCTTCCAAATCTCTTTCTACCTGTGAGCTAGTGGTAGAATTACTGTCCAAGTTCGAGGCTGCTTCTTCTGGTGAGGGGGTTCTTTCTATAAGAACATTTCCTTGGATCAACGAGGAGACGGGAGGAATATAAGAGAAATTTCCGTGGGTCAGATGGTACCCTGGTTTATACTGCGAGTAGACTCTGTTGTTTTCTCGAATAAGCACTCCCCAGAACTCGGTGTCGATCTCGGTAACTATGAAACGATCTGTGGGGTGGCGGATAACTAAATCAAAAACTTCTTTCCCGTAGTTTTGGTATTCTCTGAACAATCGACAGACGTTCCTGATCTGTCTTTGTTCCCTTTCCCAATTCCTTCCTTCGAGGATTTCGTGTCCAATTTTAAACACTAGTCTGCGAAATTGCGATATACAGGCTACTATCCTTCGTATTGCGTCGCGGCAGAAAGGGGTGACAACTAATACGTGGACTCCTGTCTTAAGATAATCTCGTGGGTTGAAGGCGTCATTCTGTTCGGGAGTGAGAGGGACGTCGAAGAAGAATGGTATTTCCCGATAGAACTTGATGAGATCGGTTTCGTAAATTCCAATTCTTGTGAAAAGAAGTTCAAGAGGGGTAGGATTGAATGACGCTGTAACGTATACGTCGATTTTGGATGGTTCAAGATAGGGCATAAGGAATTCTAGGTAGGGTGCGGAGTAGGGTCGTCGGTGGATGATGATTCCGCAGGGAAGTAGGTAGTGGATTTCTCTCCCGTCCTGTTCTGGTGAGAACGCAAGTTGGGGAGTTTCGACGTAGTTCGGGAGGTGATAGATGCGTGGGGAGATTCCGTCGGATAGTATGAGAAGAGCTGTTTTATGTTCTGCCGCTCGTCGTCTGAGGGCTCGTCTTTCTTCACTGTCGTTCCGACGAGGGGGTTCTAGAATTCTCTGTTCGTAGACTTCGATCGATAGGTGCTCTAGGTGTATTGAATTGAACCTGAACAATTCTCTGGACGCTTGATTGGATTCCCAAAAGCAGGTTTGAGCAGCTGCTGATGCGTACTCGAGTAAGCGCGACGTATTGACGGAGCTGGGAGATTTCAAATGCTAAATCGTCGACGGCTAGAACTAGTCCTTCTAGTTCAGAGATGGGGGAAGAGGTGGCTGATGAGTCTTCGTAGTACTCAGTTTCTGTGTCGCTGTGGGCAGGCTGGGGGTCCGTGGCAGCGTCGACAGGTACTGCAACGTGGAGGTCTCGGTTGTTGAGGGCGCGATGGAATTCCTCGAGTGAACGTCGTTCTTCGTCCGTTACTAGGCTCTCTCTGATGTTTGACAGTTTGACGATTGTAGAAGTGATCAAAGACGACAGCTAGGGTGAGGACTTGAGCTAGAACAAGTAGGGGTATTACTTCGAGGTGGGTAGGAATGTTGGAGAGGACAACTAGCTAGCTTAGCTAGAAGGCAAGTGGTTGTTTTGGATGGGTAGGAGGACGGTGAATGACAACACGTCCGAGGGATGAAGGAAAAAGTGGGTTTAGGGCTATAATGGGTTCAAGCGAGATGGTACGCTGTGAACGGATTGTAGAGTGAGCTTTCTATTTTGTGAGGCAACGATAAACTATAACAAAAACTAAACCTATCTCCTTCTGCACTTGCAGGGAGTAAGGGTCCAATGAGCTTGAGGTCGACAGACGCTAGTAAATATAGCGAGTAGAGGACTTTGAGAGGTAAGCTTCAAAGGTTCTTGTTGAGGAGTAAAGCGGGTAAATTCAGTAATAGAAAGCTAAGGAGCTATACATGAATAAGTACGGCTTTATATAGGGAACTGTCCGTTCCTCAGACCGAAAAGAGAATATACGAAAAGTGGTCTGAGGGATTAATCAACCAATAAGAAAAAGGGGAGGTAACTATCGTACGACTTCTGACTTGATTAATCAGCAGGTGAGAGACTTGTACTAATAATAGAAGATTGTCACGCGTGGTCAGGAACCGTATCCTCATGATGAGGTACAATTCTAGATAAGGCGTTATTAGTATTACCAGGCTTTATTGGGGCTTGGAGCTGGTTGGCGAGATGCCTACTACCAGTCCCTACCCAGTATGCTGGTTAGCTGGGAGCGATGCCCAGTCTCTGATCTGTGATATAAAGTGGTAGCGATGGTTAAGAAAGCCTGTGAGGGCTATGAGAAGTAAGACGGCAAAGGATACCTCTAGCCCTAGAGCCAGAGGTGTAACGGGAAAAGCGTTCGAGAACCAAGACATAACGAAGATAGGAAAATAATAAAACGGTCCTTACAACTTCTCTAGTTCTCTTTTTGTGTGTCCAGGCACTTAGAATCCCAATGGATCTTTCTTCCTTTTGGTCTCTAAGCCTGTCTACTACCCACTCTGGGGTCCAGACTTCTTTTCTTTCTAGGTTTTGTTTTAGAGGGGTTCCTGACCTTTCTTCTACAGTCTCTGCTGCATTTTTCTCCGTAGAGTTCGCCGCATCGGGTGTAGGAATCTCAGCATCTGCCGTCAGCGCTGCGCTTTTTAGTGATTTGCCCGCCATCGAAACTGCGGATGTCTCGTCACTATGCGCCGCTTCTGCTGCAGTTGTGCTTTTCTTTTTTGCATCTTTTTCGTTTCTTATTTCTTTCTTTGTCTGTGGATTTTGTATAATTTTATTGTCAATGCTATCTGGTAAATTACATGTTTCCACAGACAAAGGGAGAAATCGATTCAAAATGTCGTTTTGGGGCGCAGCCGGTTGATGCGGTACCGCTGGCCTCTTTAAAAACCCGCTAGGAGTTTCTCTCTTTCCTCTTTTGTCATTTTTTCTAAGAATTCTCGGACATTGAATTGGGGCTTCTTTGTTTGTGCATTTTTGCATTCAAAGCTCCTACGTCCTTTCTCTCTGCACCGGTAACATCATCCCTCAGTGCGGAACTTTGCCTTATCCACTTCCATCCTTTCTCCGCTACCCGTTGTCGATGATGAGAACTGTTGTTAGAAAACCACACACAAAACAAACTAACACACAATCCTCCCAGATTCCACGGAACTTGTTTATGGGCTTTGCCTCCTAGAACAGTGGAGTGGTCTGGTTGTTCGTGGGGTGGTACGTATAAAGATCCTTCAAAGTAAAACCCAGAGGTGTATGAGTGTGGGTTTTGAGGAGGAGGGATAGTTGAATTTATAGGAAGATAGGTGCTTTGTGGCGAGTATAGACGAGCACTACCTTGCTAATGGTAGCACAAGGTAGGTTTGAGAACGACGAGGATGACGAGGTGACGAGGTTCCCAGTGATAGCAGGCTCCTGACGCACAAACTGTAGTGCTCAGAAGGACTCTAATCGAAAGGGATGACAATGACTTCAAAAGTGGGAAGTGACGATGACAGCAATTAACAGTGGTAGCAGTGGGAAGTGTTGTGACCACACTGGATCACAAGTAGCAGAGTAGTGAACTTGAGAGTAGAGAAGAAGTCTGGATTGGATTTCTTGTTGTTTTTTTTACAAGGTAAAATACAGGGGTTTATATAGTAAAAGAAAAGTAGGCTATGCACAGTATAGCTGTGCAAAAAGAATGAGAAAGAACATGAAGGAAGGAATGTATGCTGACAAATCCTGCGTAGGTAGTACAGGATAAGATTGTCAAAAAAAGGAAAAGAAAGAGATAGAACAATGAATGCTGTGAGTAATGTCACAGGTTTGTACAGCCATAAAGTAAAGTCCAATAGCAAAAAGAGAGCAGGAAAATCATGATGTCATGGGAAGATGCAGTAAAAAAAGGGCAAGGCAAAACACTATCAGTATCAACACAGTTCCTTTATTGTCAGTCAGACATTCTAAAAAAAATATGTGTCAATAAGAATGATTCAAAAATCAAAAATAATTGCACTGTAAATGAATGTTCTGCTGAAAAAAAAGAAACTGGAGCCACCGGTCCACCACCTAGTCCAAATCCGACAGTTCCATGGCCTTACCAATGGACTGGTTGTGTTGGACCACCTGATCAAACGAGGGAGGGAGAGGAGTAGTTCCAATTTGGAACAAGTGAGTCCCAGGCAGCGTGTGGTAGGTGTAGCTGTAGCGAAGACGATGGACAAAAGATAAGTGTACCCAAGTGAATGGGACAGCGATGAACATGGGCGACGCAAGGGGATGAACCTTCTCCAGCTCAAAAATTACCCACCCACGCTCCAACCAGGCAAGACGAGCGACCGATGTTTTGATAGTATATGATGGTAGATCGACGTCATGAAGATGGACCTGTTGCCCTATTTGGACCGGCCGCCGGGGCTTTGCTGATATCAGCAGTGGCACGTGGTAGTCAACGGATCGGCGACGGAAGTGGATAGGAAGTGGTGACATCAGAAATGGTGGGGGTGCAAATAAAATGAGGAGGAGGAGGGTGGAGGTGACGGAAAAGTGGATTAGAATGGGGATCCAGAAACGACCGTCAGGTGAGAATAAAAAGGAGAGGAAGGGGCCCATGGTGGGGCTAGGCAAAGGAAGGGGAGTAAGGGAAACGACAAAAGCGAGGGCGCAATGCAATGTGTAGCCAGTGGCGACGCGAAAATTTGCCGAAATGCCGAAATGCCGAAAGTACCGAATGGAAAAGCAAAGGTGAGCGTGACTGGATTGCCTAATAGAGGTGGTGCTGATCAGCCACAAGTTCAAAAAGGGCAATATTAATTACTATTCCACGTGGCACTGTGCCTGTGTGGCGCAAAGGCGAGTCTTTTTGAATATTTGCTTCGTTATTGACACCTGTCCATGCTACCAATCAACTTTGGTGCATGACACCGTATAGGTGTAGCCAGTTCCATCTTTCTTCTTCTCTGGTTTTGCCGAATTCTTTTCGTTTGGTTTCCTTCCAAATTCGGATCCTTTCTTTTCTTTTTCTCTTTCTCTCCAGATGTAGTCTATCCGGATGAGTTCTTGTTTCCATTCCTGGTAATCTCTGGGAATATGCCCTCCGTAGATCACCCGGTCTACCAAGGGTTTATTCATGTTTCGTCTCAATAGTGAGACCAGGAATTCTTCGTTCATTCTGCTGTTATATCCTGCCCACCTCTTCTTTTCTTCAAACTTTTCAAAGAAGGCCTGAGCAGTCTCATTGCCCTGTTTTAGGGTCAATATTTCATTCTTTGCAGTTTCTTTTTCAAAACTGTCTTTGAATCTTTCTTCCATTTTGTCGGTAAAAAACGGCCAACTTCCGTATGTGTTTGTGATGTCGAGCCCCATTTGTTGGGCGTCGACTCTGTTTTCTAGCCAGTCGGTTCTAAAGGCCACGGCTTCTCCCTCTTTCATAAAAGATAGCACAAAGCTTATCTTTTTTCTGTCATCTTCGAAATAGACAGCGTTATCTTCGAAGTGTAAAAGTAAGGACTCTCTAAAAGCCTGATACTTTTTCTTATCTCCTGAAAAGTTTTCTGGTTTTTCCAGGGCTGTCCTAGTTCTCTCCACTCTTTCTGGGAGTGGTGTTGTCTTTGTAGTCTTTTTTAGTCTTCTCTCTAAGACGCTCACTTCTTCTAGTGCCTCGTCGGGTTGGGACTGGTATAGAAGGCGAGTTTCTCTGATTGCCTTCTCGACTTCTTGTTTTACATATGCCTCCAAAGAGACTTCTTTGGGCGGGGGAGTGTCTATTCTGGGTAATGAGTCCATCATTTCCCGAGAAAATGTGTCGTCCGTGCTGCTGGATTGCTCGGGCTGATCTCGGTACTCTAAATTGGACATTTTCGAATTCGAGTTGTTGTGGCGGGGGAGTTTCTTGTTTTATTACAGGGGAGAGGCTTCTGATTGGTGTGATGGTAGGGAGTGGGAATTGTCCTTAAAAAATGTAGTCTCTAGTGTAGATGTTTTGTTCGCTGATCCAGATGTAAAAGTCTCTACTGAGCATAGAAGGAGTTCACCAGTGATAAGCTGGATCGATACACCGCTTCTAAGATCTCTAGTAGTCTATCTGTTTCTCTTTGAGTCAAGGTGATCCTCTTCTGTTCACCACTGACTGTGTACGTATTGTGCTATTTTTGTATTTTTATGAATTTTATGTAAAAGGTTATAGTAGAAAAACTGGGTCCGAACGGTTGTCTAGTTTTAACCGGCTTCTTAGTGTCACGATCGTACCCATATGACTCATCTTTTTTATCTAATCGCGAGATAGAGACCATTATCTCACCTAACCTAATCTCTCTTTGATCTTATCTTATCTAGTAATCACGTGACACATTAGTAATACTCATTACCAATCAGCCTCACGCATTACACATGTTACTTACCAATACGCTACGTCATACCTCACCGTAGCCTCATGCCTTCTTCTATATAACTAGCACGATATCCATGTACATACCCTAGTTGTAGATTTACTCTTATACTTGCTTGTCAAACACTTGTTGTGTGATTTAAGTCCTACGCTGCTCGGGTTACCGGCATAACAGCTAGGGTCTTTACACTTAGGCTCTCGGTTCTTCTCCCGACTGGCAGACGCAAATGCGCGGCCTGGTCAGAGGAGAGTGACCATAAAGATGCATACACTATGTTGAAACATTTCTGCAACCTTAGTATACCTTGTATGATATTATATCATGCACTATTCTATGTTTTATTCCGCTTTTTTATGTTTTTTCTTATTTTTATCATTGTTTCAGTGTTTCTGACATGGTGCATAGCAAAAAAGCACCAGTTTTCTCTACAAAAAATCATCTATAAGGTCTGGATAATGTCCAGAGCCTAATTATGAGCTGTGATAACCTGTCCAACCCTCCCAAAACCCTCTTTCCTCTGTTATTTCCTTTTTTGGGCGATGTTTTTTGAATTATGACGGTATTCTGCTACATAAACACACTATCTGTCAGGTGGAGCAATATAAATATACACTGCTAAGTATGCTATAGGTGTTTAAAGTGATATCTACAAGCTAAGATTCCCAGAAATAGCGAAAAAACAAACATGTGGAGCCAGCTGCTTCCAAAAGCAGTAATGTTTTGGGAGGTAGTGCTCTGGATATCCATATATGGATGATTGACCCGGACACAGTAGAGGCTGGAGGGTTCTCACGAGGTTTCACAGAAGGATTCCTACAGGTTGCCTGAGGGTCTGACAGAGGTTTGACAGAGTATTTCATGAGCACATAAAGAGTATGCATTATATGGAAATAATGCTGTAAATATTGCCCTAGAAGGCCTCTGGAACAAAGAAATATTTTACAAACTCCAGAGGGCACCAGAGGGTTGTTCAAGTACCGCTGCATTTAGAAATACTATATATATACTTGGCTGGGAAACCTCGGCAGCGAGGGGATACTTAAGGTCCCAAACCCGTCGACAAAGAATGGGTCTTTGAGGCCCTTACGTAACGGATTAAGTCCCTGCCTGAGGTGTTGCGGCTTACAAATTGGGATCAACACTATAAGATCGCCGCCAAAGTGTGATCCCTCCCGTGACGCAGTGACCTGCGGAGACTCCCGAGTGGGACTGCAGTAATCCTCCAAGGCGTTCTGGCGAAAAGGTTCAGCGTGGATTTGATTTAACATAGCACCAACCTCCATCTGACTTCTGAACATGCCGCAATAACGTTGTCAAGCGATGATACCCTTATTGACATGATAGATGCGGTTGCGAGATAACGAGGCCTGTGCGTGTATGAACGCGCGGTGAACTGTCAATGAAATGAACCCAGGGTGCAATTCAAAAGATCGTTTCAACCAAGTACATATACAGACACGGAATCGATTTCAACTTCTCAATCAATCAACTGATTGTAAGATAAGCCAAGGAAGCAACCAACATACGAATATACGAGTTTCAATGATCTCGAGAAGGAGCACAAGTTGAAAGTCATAAACACGCGAACCTATCATTGCGTTGCATGTTAATGTAGCCACGTGCAAAAATGTTCCCACTCCAATTTTCATATACCGCGATAAGTAGCATCAATCAAAAAAAAACAGATCATCTACTGCAGCAATAAAAGAAACGTGTGGGAGTGGAGAAAACGCAACAAATAAGGTAAACTGATAAAGCGACGTGTAGAAATGGCTCCGGAAAAAGAAGGCAAAGGGGAGTCCGAGAACCAATGGTATCGGTTATTACGATTTTTGCTAAAAACGTTATGGTATCAAGGGTAGCGAGGTAACGACCGGAAGGTTTAGGAAGCACGTTGATATCATGCGTGCGAGGCGTCTAAAGGTTGATGTTGACTGTAATAGAACGTTGAGAAAATTATACAGCATGTGAGAAAGACAAGATACATACTGGGCGAGCATCCAATGTTGATGAGACCGTTGAAGCTGTTGTTACTGCAGCAAACTGGTTGTTGAGAGCTGTGAAAGCGAAAAAAGTTATTAACGTCTAAAGCTGATAACAAAGAACAACACACCATTTAGAGCCGCCGCCAACACCAACACCAGAAAGAGGGCTGCAGGTGAGACCAACTTGGGTGTCATCACTGATACCCTCGAGACCGAGGAGAGACAAAAGCTCAGGGACAATTCCTTCGTTAGCGCTCTGGACTTTGTCACAGCACTGAACGGGACCGGTGTTGCACTGACCACCGCCAGGGGAACCGGAGGGAGAGCTGCGACGGGCACCTGTAAATTTTTAGAGATAAAATAAGAGACTGCATCTCGTCAAAATGATGAGATGCCTACGGGAGGCCGGGGTCGCGCGGCGGACGGGAGGCAAGGGAGGGAGACCACGAGCCATGCGGTTGGCGTTAGTCTCGCCGGTGTAAGTAGCACCAGCGGTGGTGGCAGCGGCAGCGACAAAGGCGAAAACGTATGCGAACTTCATTGTGATTGAAGATTGAAGATAGGTTCTAAAGCCGCGAAACCGGTGGTGAAGTGAAGGTGACGAAAAAACGAACGGTATTTAAGGAAAGTCGGGAAAACTGAGAAGTAGTTGAAGAATGCTGGGTTATATATCGTCGCTTAAGCGAAGGATCGGATACCAACCGCATTTACGGAGAACCCTAAAGAATTCGAAGCTCCGATTAGTCCGCATATATCACTGTCATATATGTGTCACTACTTGTCACACCGCGGTCCTGGACAATCTCTCATCACAACAACCAAGTGATCCTTGTACAGTAATAGGTTCGCGTTTCATAGCATGTAGTTATCTTCAGCTCACCTGCACCTCCCAGTACCCGAACTCAGTGCTGCACATTCTTTTATCTGCAAATGTTTCTGATCTGCACATTTCTCAGGCCCGCGCGCTTGATCAGTCGAAGACATGAACGAAAACGTGCTAGTGGAGTTACGGTACGTATGCGTTCTTTCATGATGGGCCGAAGAGCCTTTTTTTTATCACACTGCTCCCCTCCCACCAATGACACTCGCCAAGGTCTATCGTAAGATATCCTCATTGAACCAACGCGCTCAAATTCAGGTTCAACATGACTTGATCCAACGGGCTGCTCTGTCCCGCAGAACAGCATTCTGAACATACGCCCTTCCAGACCTTTGTCCAGACCTTTGGGCTTCAGCATCGCCCCGAGCGCGTTAGGTATTTGCTCATTGTCAGGTCCATCTAAGTATAGATTTAAGATGGAACATTTCGAGCGCTCAAATTTCTTTAAAAAAGTACCTCAGTCCTACTGGAAGATTATTCACTGATATTTCGCCTGAGACCGAAGCGGGAAGCGGTCGCTTCAAGTTGTGGAGACGCCAGTCGTATGCAGAAGAAGTTCGCTATGTCTCGTTTTGATATACGGATGCCGACGTTCCCGTCACTGCGCTGCGCATCAGTTACCATAGTTTTCTTGGAGTTCACTTGATGGATGAGAATTTACTCAGCACTGACTTTAAATCACGCACGCACAGACTCATCTTCCTTGATATTTCATTCAACACAGAATCCAATGATGGGCACTCACATTCGTTGGGCGTTGCTCGAAGTCAAGTCTGGGAATCTGTCAACGCGATTACGCTCTCAAAGGTCCACCTGCCACACGTCATCCTGAAGGATAAGACCGAGGTACCAAGCAAGGTACGGCATATTGATCTTCTTGATCATATTTTCTCCGTAGCATTCGTCGTACACGCTGTCATCCTCGACGGTTTTTAACCCTGATGGTCGATTGTGTCATGATCGAGGTATAGCTGAAGTTGTTCAGTAACTTTCTGTGGTTGATTTGTATTCTTTTACTGCACCACGCACAATGTTGTTGATGCTGAGCTAGCATGTGTCCATTAAGTGCAAGTTTCTTCTAGCAAGCTCTGTGGAGCTCCAGGATTCGAAAGAAGATATACTCCTACAATGTGACTCTTCTGGTCATCATGATGATGGGGTCACATCCGTCACGGTTCTGTTCCATGAGCCCACGGCTTCTAGCAAAGTCACGATATTATTATCCACGCATGCATTGGCTTAGATCCTCGTGTAATCTAACCCGTCGCAAGGCAGGATGACTCAAACTATCATTCATCTTATCTACATCCATGGGTTTCAAGGTTCGTGGGCGGTGCTTTTGAATAGTTGGGTTTCATACTGATTATATTCGTGTAGGCAACGATAGTACTTTTCAGGTGAGTAACGACGGAACACCGCAGGAGTCTATGATATCGAACATCTGTCAATAATGGTGGTTGTTTCGATATCTTCTGACATACTGATATCTCAAACCAGTCGTTCCCGACCCATCTGCAAGCAAGTTTAGCAGCTCGAATGCCACCCCACTTTAGAGTTCAGAGCAGCTTGTATCCGACTTACAAGAGTGTCAAGCCGATTTCTTACGCTACGAAGAACTTCTTGGAATGGTGAGTCCTGACTTCTTTTTCCATCAGTCAACCTGCTTTTTCGGACGGGTACCTTTCAACGTAAAGGTTTATATTCAGCACTGACAACTCCTCATCATTCTAGGCTTTCTACTCAGCCCCCTGGCTATGTGATACTCCTCGGACACTCCATGGGGGGCCTCCTTGCTGCTGATGCCGCAACACACCCATCAGTCGTTCAGAATTCGAGGCCTCAGCACATCATTGGCATGATTGCTTTCGATACACCTTTCCTGGGCATGCACCCCCATGTTGTTATTAGTGGTATAGCATCCTTGTTCCCTGACAATTCAAAAAAGGATAATAAGAACCAGCTATCGGAGAGCGAAACCCGGCCCACTCCTCAGCAAACGGACGAATCGATGAATGACAAGGAACAGGTGCACATCGTAGATCAAGGGGTAACAGATGACTGGAGCACATTTAAAGGGCGTCTATCTCGTGCGTTATCATCGTGTTATCTTGTATCTTTTATCCGAAACAAAATTTCATTTACTGTCGCCGTTTAGCATCCCAATGGCGGCGGGAGAGTGGATCGCTCCCGCATTCTCCTCCGGGACCATCCTCATCCCCATCTCCAAGTCACACACCATCCACATTTCTATCTCAGTTCACTGCACGCGTGACGCCGTACGTGGATCGTACAGTGTCTCATCCAGCTATCCGCTGGGTGAACAAACACTCTGACTCTCCTGTAGATGCAGGTAAAACATGGATAATTGAACATTTCCAGTTTGGTTCCTGCATGTTTGATCCTTCTGGCCTGCATGAGCGGTATGCGCGGCTCGTGAAGTGGAGGGGACAATGGACTAACTATTGGACTCGGACTAAACCTAGGGGAGCGCAACCACAACAGGCAGAAGTTACGAGTGACCCCCCAGACGTGGCCATTGCTGGAGCTATGCCCACGCCCACTAGCACAGGAGATATGGAAGCCGACGTCGTCGCAGGTGATTCTCCTCAGGGTCAAGGAATATTGGGGTCGCCCGACGATGTGGATGCTCCAGTCGGTGAAAATGCGGAGAAAGTGGACGACAAGGAACAGAAGAAAGCGTTGAAGAAGGCCAAGAAAGAGCATGAGAAAAGACTGAAGAGAGAGAAGAAACTTGCAATAAGTCGAAACTTTGTCGTTCTACCCAAAGGTTTTGCAAGCGGGTTCGGTGGCTGGGACAAGTGGGAAAGTGTAGAGATAGCTGGCGTTGAAGACGAAGTCGCGGCTCACTGTGGACTGTTCATTCCTAGTCAGAATATCGGATACCAAGACCTCGTCGACGGGGCCACCAACAAAGTTTTGTTCTGGTGCGAAAGCATACGGAAGGAATAGAAGCTTACTGAATTCACAATTATTGGCCACCATGACCATTTATTTCATGATATTGAAATTCTGTATTTTAATATCAAGTCGACACTACCATATTATGTATCCGGTCTATTGTCCAGTGGTAGCGTCGGATCCGTGAAGCTATGATTGCATTTTGTGCAGACAAAGAATAATATCATGCGAGTTTCCTTTCGCTTTGACTGGTCCTGATATAAAACGGCACTAGAAACGAAGATAGAATGAGGTAAGTATTTTAGAGATATAAGTAAGAACATACTCCTCATGACCGCACTGCGGGCATGGTATATTTGAATGCGCCTTTAGTAGCCACCCCATTAGCATACATTAGGGGCAAAAACGGAGAGCATACCAAAGTAGGGTCAGCACCTAAATCTGTAGTAACTCCTACTTGCTCCCTATCCAAGCGAATCAGCACAAGCCTCAATATGTATACCACATCCAGCAGCCCCAAGAGGAGCAAAACAGTCGTGCATCGTTTGGAAGATTACGATTCCATCATTGGTAAGCACACTCACTTCGTTACAGTCAACAAATCGTTGCGATAGACACACTTGTTTTCGCCTATCTCATCGTAAGGACATATTCTGCAAGCATAGACCATGATACGACGTTGCTGGTCGGCCTTTGGGTACAGGAGATTGTTGCATTCGGAACAGAAATGTAAGGAGGCCTGGTGTGGAAGTGAACACCGAGATTATCGACACCAAAGCAGGAGAATATTGCAATCAAGCATTATAACATTCGATTTGTCGTGCAACGAGGTAGGATATGAGCAGAGATTAGCGATGATAAACTGGTGAAAAGGCCATCGAACGAACCATGCTATACCAGCGATAAATGTTCGAGGTCAAGATGCGTTTCAAACTCCGTGCGTCACGGGAACAGCTCGCGTGGCATTTTCTATGTCCCTCTTTCCCTGCAGCGTTAAGTTAGTCTAGATGCACCTCAGCAATGGTGCGTTCAGAGGAATCTACATCTGCCTTTTGCTACTTCGCATATGTTTTGCTCTCTTTGGGACGGGCTACATACATCCTGACGAACATTTTCAGAATGGAGAGGTCCTAGCTGGTATTTTTTAAATTGGGTTTTCCTTGATGAGTCCATGAATTAACAGTCCAGAAAGGTAGTATCCTCGGATATCACTCCTTGCAGACTTGGGAGTGGGATTTCAAGTCTCCTATACGTTCCATCGTACCGCCATTCGTCACTACTGGGTTACCTTTCTGGTTCGCGAAAGCTCTGCTCGGCGGTGAAGTACCTTGATGTGCCTCTTCTACTCTTCGCCATCTTACGGTACATGTTGTCCTAAGGGTCGCCATCTCTTGTCCCGTCTCTTATCTTTCGTTTGGAACGTCTATCTTTTTTCGGCTTGTCCGTACTAATTGGTTGGCATGTTTACTTTATGGTACATCTGACTGAACTAATTTTAACCCACAGATTATTGCGCTGCCGCCTTGATAACCCAACCAGCACAGCGACGTCATGGGCTTATCCTCATAGCCTCTTCGCATGTCTTGCATACATTCCAAGTGCGACCATTTTCGAACTCGATTGAAGCCCTAATTTTGGCAATATGTCTTGTCTTGCTGCGTAGTATTGTTGCTCGCACTGCTAACAAGCTGGATCGAAAAGTGAGCTTTGTTACAGACTCATCTGGCTAAGGAATCTTGAACATTTTGTGTATGGCACTTAGAGACGTCAACTCAACCTCCTGGCATTCTTTTTTGTTACTGGGATATTCACAAGAGTCACGTTTCTTGTCTTTGGGCTGCCGATAGCATATCAAGTAATACTCTGGACTATGCGGCAGAACACCACCTACAAATCGCGACAAAGTAATAGTTTGGGGTATTTATGGGTCCAACTTTTATTTCCTCCTTTGGTCACCGCTGTCTTGACCGCCGTTGCATTCATCGCCGTTGATTCTATTTATTTCCGTGGAGGCCTCACGAGTATCACTATTACTCCTTTGAACTTTTTGCTCTACAACTTTTCTCCGGACAACTTAGCTGAGCACGGGCTACATCCCCGATGGTTACATATCTTCGTCAATCTTCCGATGATTATTGGCCCAAGTATGGTGTGGCTTGCCTTCGGTGCACTATACGATCGCAATTCCCGGCACAAGCTTGACGATGCAACAACTGTGGTCAACCAAAGTACCAGATCATCTTTGAATTCACTGTGACCTCGCTGATATTGTGTTGCATGTAGCTGCTGTCTATATCATTTTTATCTCACTGGCCGTGCTATCGATCCAGCCCCATCAAGAACCCCGGTTCCTCATTCCCCTCTTACTTCCATTTGTTGTGCTTGTTGTAAATCACGGCAACATAGTCCGTGCGGGAAAGTTGTTCTGGGCAAGTTTCCAGGTCCCGGGTGAATGTACTACCGTAAGCTAATTCTCCGTTTTAACAGGTATCATGGGTTCTTTTTAACTTTGTCTTGTCCGCTGTTTTCGGTGTGCTTCATCAAGGCGGCGTTGTTCCATCACTGTTTTACCTGCACTCGAAACTAGAAGATACGGCATTTGCGGGGAATGTCCATATCGTGTACTGGAAAACCTACATGCCCCCACGTCATTTGCTAGGGGTTCAGGACCAAGGTAGGCCGCATGCCCGTGATGTTTGACAAACACTAAGATGTGTCGCATCACTCAGAGTTCTTTTCTCGTCCGATAGTGATTACGGACCTTGCCGGCGCGCGACAGAATGATCTTCGGGACATTTTTTATGCGGACCTCAGCGGGACAACGTTCTTGGTCACAACCGCAGCAATGCACTCAAGTCTTCCCCAGCCATTGTCAGACTGCCTTGTTGTTCAACATCGAATATTCCCCCACCTCGATTTAGACCACCTATCTGAAAGCGTGGAGGCTGGGTGGTCGGATGGCCTTAGTCTCCTTGTATACCTGACAGATCATGACTGCATCGCCAACAGATCGCATTCGTTGGAATAATGGATGCCCCTGCACGCTTGCCGCCATTCACTTGGCACACGCTTGTACATGCTCGAGCTACACAAGACTAGGCGAGGTCTTCATAGCATGATGGCACAAGGCTAAAGTCACACCAGTTCTCAATCTAGGTTATCCGTTCTTTCTTTTGGCGACAAAGGAGCTCCTCGGCATCAGTTTATTTTGCGACACTTTCATTTGTATTAAAATTCTTAATTTTATTCACCCAGCATCATGAACATATCATTCTGCATCTGATTCAACCTCTCTTCGGGATGATGTTGTCTACCTCGATGTACGCTGTCTTATTAGAACAAGTGACTCGAACAAGTTGCGTGAGTATTGGCGCAAGCACGCGACATCGGAAATGAGCTACCGATCATCGAGCGCCTGGAGTTGTCGATCACATATATCTTCACATGTTGCTGATGTCTTTGGCCTTTTCTGTAGTGCCCTTCCACTGAGATAGGACGTTTTGCGCAGTGGGGAAATGTAACTCCCTTGCTTCTAGATGACAACAAACGTCCTCGTGTTAGCTGCAAGCTGCCTCCATTCGACAAAGTTTGATATCTCAGCTTATATCTGCTTCCCTAATGAATTATCCAGGATGTAGGACATGCGACTTACACATGTGCACAAGCTATATATCAGTCTTGCCTCTGACCTAACAGAAATCTTACCTCGTCCACCCTCGCAACTTTCAAGAATGAGTTGGAATCAACTTCCTCTTTCACTTGCTTCAGGTCTACCACTTCCAAGCTCTCAGTATCAATCTCATGAGCCCACGGCGTCCAGCGTGAGTTCGAATGGGTCAGAGCATCTTTACAATGCATCCTTGAGCTCTTCGGCGCCTTCTCTAAACACATCTTTACCTCCTCACGCGAGCACATTCGGCCATGCGCCCGGGGTTGGTAGCCCTGTTGACTCCATAAACAGTGCCCTCTCAATTCTGATACCACGAGCCGCCCTTCAGACTAATCGATACCACCCAACCTTTTTCATGCAAGATGTTATGTCCATATTCCTGGTAAAACTGTTTGATATTTTTAATTGTGACCAGACTGATTTGGTGATGCTCATCAGGTGGATGGCGTGCTCTTTAAGGTGCATCGATACTTTCTACAGCGAGAATCCGATGTGTTTCGGTCTATGTTCTCTTGTCCTCCTACAGAAGAAGGCCCAGAAGGAGAGTCAGATGACAAGCCTATTTTCCTACCGGAAGTAACTCGTTTGGAATTCGAAAGCCTTTTGAATTTCTTCTATAATAGGTTCGTTAAATGAATATATGTTATTGACACACAATACCGATACTATCGTATCGTGGTACTGAAATATCAATGTCACAGTTTGTACGGCAAACCGCTTGATTCTCTGGACGAATGGATCTCTCTATTGTCCATCTCCTCCCGCTACAGCATGGACGGGATTCGTGAGCGAGCTATCGAAGAGATAGAGAAATCCATACCCCCTATGCTCCCTGTTTCTCAGATTGTTCTAGCAAAAAAACATCATGTCAAGACATGGCTTGCTCCTGCATACGAAGCACTGTGCACACGTAAAGAATCGCTGACTGTAGCTGAGGCAGAGCAGCTGGGTTTAGTGACGTCAATTCTTCTTGCAGGGGCTCGAGAAAAGCTGTTCGACAAGGAACTTTGCCCAAAATGTAGGTCACGTCCCACACGTTGTTCAAAGGCAGAACTCGTCAGGGAGGTATTTTCTCTCTAAATATTGGTTTCACTATATATATCAAGGTCTGGGCTAGGGATGATCGCGCAGAACTGCCTCATATGATTTCTCCTAACTTCTCGTCGTGTGGCTTACAAAATACATACATGGACTAAAGAAATACAACACGTTTGGACTATGATAGCTCGCCAGATTTGACAATTAAGCGGACTTGACGCTAGACGTCTTTACAATAGATACATGGTTAGCAAATGTACAACATGCATTCATACTGTGGCGCTTACTTCTGCACCGTTGACAACGGGGGTCTTGTTTGGCGGAGAGGTGGAAACAGCAGAGGAAGTGCGTGCGATGGCCGATAAATCAATATCTGTTATTAAAGACAATGAAATCGGATTAATCAATGACCAAAATAGATTACTATACCTTCCCCTTTGAGGGCCATTTTCCTGAACTGTCTAGCACTCTCTCTTTCTGCTTCAGTGAAGGAGCTTCCCCTTCTGTCGGTAGTAGGCTTCTTGGATTCAGCAACTACACGCAGAGATCAGATAGGGATGTGATCAAGTAGTGCAACGCATACCTTTAGGTTGACCTGCAGTCACCTCTGCGAGATCTCGTTGCTCGTCTTCCAAAGCAGCAGCCTCTAGGTAGCCTTCATCGGCGAGACTGCCCCAGTTGTGGTATCCACCTCCGTTTTTGCGAAGAGATTTGTCAAGACCCGACTTTGACTCTGAGCGGTCCCTCACGGCAGCACGGGGAAAGACTGAGCGCTCGGTACGAGTCATGCCGTATTACAGAGTGTGTAGGGCCTCCAAATCGAGAATATGGATAAGTATGAGAAGATTTGAACTGATGGACAGATGTAAAACAGGACTTTTCGAATTGTTTGGAAAGAGGTTTGAGAAAGGATGGGGCCCTTTATATCATCGGGAAAACGGTGATACCAGGGCTGACGCCACCTTCGAGACCAAATACCTTGCTCCCGTGACCATCCTTTGTACGTTTTCATGGACCGTAGCGATGTGAAGGATGATTATTTTGAAGTGCTTCCTTGATACACGTCGCATAAGCATGTCTTCCATGCATTGTACATACACAGTACTTCATTTTAGCACACTGATTGTGATAACTAACTGGCGAACGCTGAGTGCTGCATGCTCGTGTGCACCATGACACTGGGGTGGGAGGAGCCACTTACTGGTTTGGGTCACCTGTGATAGCGGGGTAACGTGGAAAATAACGTCACTCTTGCTTGGCACGTGCCGTGGCTGTGTGTACAGTACACCGCGAGTTAGGAGTGGCAACTTCTCCATTTATAACCTCATCTTCAGCTTTGAATCCGACTTCTTAGATTCTTCAGGTTCGAGTGTTCAAATCTACCAACATTATCATATAGACGAATTGTTTAACGTTGCGACATATGGTGTTGGACTACGGATACATTGACAGAACAGTCACATCTTGTTTGCGGTCCACAGAGGAACTGAGGGTTGCCCTGGAGGCTAACTGGATATTACAGCGAGATGACCGTGACCAAGTGCCTTCGATGCGAAATCTCACATATCAGCCGGTCGACTATAACAACAACGTTCAGAACAAGCGGATATTGGCTGTGATTGTACACAAGCTCCCTGATGGCCGTGTCGAAGAGGGAGGGTGAGTTTCTTATCACTAGCTTGTACCAGGTTCTCGCCGAATGGGCAAAGGAGCTTTATCATCATGGGCAGGAATTTGCTTAAAATCCAGTGGTGCGGATGAGGAAATGTTTTTATTTATTACGACAATTACAATGCACATTACCATACCTCCAGATATTGATACTCACTTCATTTTCCCCCCCAAGGCTTTTCGTTTTTAAATATCGCTCCAGGGCTCTGTACGATGGACTTCGGCTGCAATGGGCCTATCCGATTGTCACTGATTTCACGATCGGAGTTTCTCAACCGAAGAAAGAAATATCGAGTTCGAATTTACCATCATCTGCAAATTCGTCTCGTTCTGGTATGTAATATGGGCCATGCACTTACTGTCTCCATATTATCTGTACCCTAACCGTCGTTCCTAAGAATTTACGCTTACCCTGAAGTCTCAGGATGGAGATTCAAAACCTTTGTCAGTGAAAGTCCAAGACACTCAACGGTTGCAACGCCTGCTGGCGGAATACAATTATCTCAAATCGATAACTGATTCGTTTGAGTGTATGTGCCTGGCTTCTGCGATAGCATATAGTGACATTTCTTGTGCAGACAAACCGGAGAGTGCATATGACGGCCACCAGTGGATCGCTCCATACATTCGGAAGCAGAAATCTCTTCCATCCTGTATGTATCATCTTTTATACCATATATTTTGTATCATTTGCATGTTTTGAAACCGGTTAAACATGAATGATTTTCTTCAGTAAAATATGATTTGGACACGCAAACTGACCTATAGTATAAAGTGGTAGATATTCGGATCTCTCGTCAGCCCCTGCACTTACGACTGTCTTCAGCGAGTGCTGGGCTTCCCGGAGACGACATGGGTGATATAGATATTATACGAGAAGATTGGGTTCGTAGGACGGCAATTGAAAGATGCAAGAGTGCATCACCGAGAGTTACAAATGGTCCCCTTCGGTGTGTATTTTCGACTGGTAAACCCCTAAGTTGCTAAAGACAGTTTAGGCTGCGTATCGGAACCTTTAATGTCAACGGAAAGAACCCTTCACAGGACCTATCAGCATGGGTCAGAGGTGGTATATCGAGGCAAAAGGGAGGGAAGTCTTTCATACCTCCCGTAGCACCAGTTTCTCCCTTTGAGCTTTTCTCTGATCCCATAAATAATGGTAAGTTGTGATAGTTGTTCTAGCACAATCAAGCTCGGGATACTAACATTGCAGCACAGTTCAATCGCTGGATGCATCTAATGATCCCCACTTAACCGTCTCCGCAACCCATCCAGGATCTTCACAAACTTCATTACAGGAAAATAACATCCAGGGCAATACTGATGCCGACCCTGATGTTCTAGTATTAGGCTTTCAAGAACTAGACCTTTCCACAGAAGCTTTGTTGTATTCTACCAGTACATTAAAGGAGGATGCCTGGGTGGTTTCTGTCTTCGCAGCTCTAGGCGAGAAAGCCGCAGTTTATCAGAAGGTGCTGTTGGTTCTATGGCGACTCGCTTCATATCGTACCAATGGCTAAAACTTGTTTGCAGTTAGCATCGAAGCAACTCGTTGGCATGCTGCTATTGGTGATCGTCAAAAGTTCTTTGGCACCTTATTTCAGTAACGTTAAATCCAGCGTTGCTGGCTCTGGTATCATGGGGATCATGGCGAGTTTCTCAATTCAATGTTGACATATGATTCTGATAATATCATTAATGTAGGGAAACAAAGGCGCTACTGCCTTACGCATAACTTATACTCCTCCCACCTCACCTTCACTAAGGCAGCCACGCCCTGCGGTGCTCACCTTTGTCAATTCTCATCTAGCCGCATTTGATGAAATGGTAGACAGACGCAACTACGACTTTCACGAACTGTCCAGACGCCTTGCATTTGAGAGTAACACAACGGACGATGTAGCTTCAACCGCCGGAGCCCCACTACCCTCAGAAGTGCCAACGACAAATATATATGAGACTGATGCTTTGTTCTGGATAGTAAGTTGATCTGTATATATTTGGTCGGTAAAACTAATGCGAAGTACAATAGGGAGGTCTGTTAGTCTCGTTTAGAGTTGGTATGCTGTTGTTGACGTGGGAGCCAGACTTAAACTATAGACTAGACATTGATGATTCCGATGTGAGGAGCTTAATAGTTACTCGAAATTCCGAAAACAATAATATGGCGACCTTGGTGAAATATGACCAGGTATGTCAGACTAATTAATTTTTTTGATATACGAGTTCAAAATATCTAGTTGAGGAATGCTATTCGTGCTGGAAAAGCTTTTGCTGGCTTTTCGGAGTATCCTGTCACCCACCCACCGTTTGTGATATCTTCCCAACATCATGGTTTTTGACCTAACCTCTTATCAGGTCTTACAAGTTCGTCCTTGGCGTACAAACGGATAATAATATGGGATACGATGCAAAGTGAGACTTCTTCGCCGTCGTCGATCGATTCTGTACTTATCGACAACTTGAGACGTAAACCTGCTTGGACAGATCGCATCTTACATATGTCGAACCCTTTGATACAAGTGAAGCAATTGTCATACGTTAGTCACCCTGAAATCACCCTGAGTGACCATAGGCCTGTCTCTGGCGAGTTTGATATTCAAGTATGATCATGTGCACTTTGCATGAATTTGTCTGATCGTCATTATTCTTTCATAGATCGACAACCTTGATAACGAACATTATGGAAACGCAGTTTCTGACCTGTTTCAAGAAGTAGCAGGTTTTGAAGAGTCGGAGACGCCTCCCAGGTTAAAATTAGAGGCGACCACTATCTCTCTCGGGAAAGTTTTGTGAGTCCCCTGCTTTTTTCTAGGAGGTCGTACGCTTAGTACATACCTTCAATCCAGCTATATGCGGCGCCTTCGCCGTGCATTAAAGCTTGAAAACGTCGGAAGCGTATGTTATTGTTTATGTGCTCTGGCGCAACTTTCATTATGTCATCTGTAGATCCCCTGCGCGTATCGATTTGTGCCTGTTGATGTGCACGTACCAATCTGTAAGCCCAAGACCTCTTGTATGCATAGTGTTCACCCTTTTTGCGACCAGGTCCACAGTGGATGAATCTCGAGCCTGTGGCAGTAAGTTACACTCAAACCCTCCGGTACAGCAATCTGATTGAACAACTACAACAGGGTTTATTAAGACCAGGCGAATCAACAGAAGTTGCAATCACTGCGTATGTGGATAACGATAGAGCCTCCAAAATGAATCTTGGTTCAACTCGCATTGACTGCACACTCATCCTACATACCTTGCTTGGGAAAGATCACTTCATTACTGTCCGTGGGGAATACCGTAAGGTTTATATTTGTATCCCTGATGTTCGATATATTGATGTCGCTTATTCATAGAATATACGTGTTTTGCAAACTCCTTGTCCAGGCTTACTCGCCTTCCTGGGCCTATACGTTCTGTCAAGTCCCCACAGAACTTGATTTTATCTAATGGGCGGCAATCGATCAATGCTCCAAGGGAAATCATGCGGCTAATCAACTGGTTAATGTCTTATGCCCGTGATTCTGTGCGTCGGTAGATTTCCGACCTCAAAGAATGACACTTAGCAGCTTGCGATTGTGCAGTACGGATTGTTTACATCTCCAGTGGACGAAAGTCTAGTTGCTGACATTCGTGAGGTAAGTGGACATGAACTATATTCCTGTCCTGGATAATCATGCTAACTTCGTTAACAACAAGTCCTTAGACACAGGAAACGACTTTCCACCGAGGGCATCTCCGCACGATCGCGCCTTGGTTCTAGCAGTCGGTTCAACCCTGTTACAACTTCTAGATTCCCTGACAGAACCGGTTGTTCCTGCTTCCTTACATGCCAAATGTTTGGAGGCCGAAAATCGAGATGAAGCTTTTGAGGTGCGTGGTCATTGTGTAGCTAGTTCGTATCACACATCAAAGTTGTTTTCTCAGCTCTTGGACGGATTTCCGACCGAATCTGTGAATGTGAGTATACACAGTTAGTTGAAGACTGACTGATTATTGAATTTGTATAGGTTTGGGTATCTGTGACGGCTTTCCTGCATTATATCAGCCAGCAGGGTTCATCGGCCTCATCCCCTAACCAGTCTCTAAGAGCTAGAGCATTAGGCACGTAATCATTGCCACAGGATATATCTTACTGACTATTCTCCGCCTGTCACGTAGCCTCTACCTTTGCTCCCATACTACTTCGCGATGATGCAAGCAACACTTATCCTCGTGTTTCGCCTATCGGGAAGCAGAACTTCTTACTTTTTTTCATCAATTGAATGTACTTCCAATTTAACCGATACCACTCTATGCAACGCGGAACTAAACAAAGATTTGGATAACCTTGGTATTTAAAAGCAATGTACAACCGTAGCACGGGATTACATCTGATCAGCTTGTATTACATTTACTTGTTCCGTTTGTTATGCAAACAGTTTCTTGAAGGCTTTCTTTTCTTTGTCGCGCTTCTCCTTCTTGCGCTGCCTGACTTTAGCCAGCTCGGTGGCAATCGCCTGGTCCTCTTTGACCAGCTCACTGGCTTGCACGAGATCTTTCTCGGCTTCTTCCTCATCTTTTAGAATGACACGGGCCAATGCTCGTCGGTATAAAGCTTTGGCTGTAGTTCATCGTCAGGAAGCTTTCTCAAGATTTACAGGAAGTAAATGGGATCTGCTGACCTTTGTCTGCGGCATTCAACTCGAGCTTGTTGAGGGCACGAGTAGTGTTGTCCTGAGCGACCGTCGCATTGTATAACGTCTGAGGTTGCACTCGCAAAGCAGCAAGAGCAGAGTTTAGGAGGAGTGGAGCCATCAACGAGTCGAAAGAATCCTTCAACTCCGGCGGTGAATTATCCGGCATCACGGGATGTACGTCAAGATAACGAATGGACTCTTTTTTATCGTGACCCAAGTCAGGATTCATGAGCAACATTACAAAATCGGTGGAGCTTACTAAGGTATTTCTGGAGAGCTAGTTCGGTTTGACCTTCTTTGAAGAGTTTGTTGCCGATTTCCCTTATTTCTCGTGCGGCTTTTAGTGCGACTTCGGGGTTTTGGACATCACGGTCATCATCGTCTGGATAGTCCTCATAGGCATCGCCATCCGTGTTTTCAACAGGCGCAAGGTCAGGGTCGTCGGGGGAAAGAACACCACAGGAAGCAATGACGATAGGAGAGGTTGGGACGTCACCAGATGACGTGGGGGAATTTTCCATCTGGCGAACTGTGAGGGTGGTATTAAAGCGATTGGAAAAGAAACTGGACAGATAACTAATAACCTATCGATTTGCCTCGGACGACTTCACCGAAAACAACATGTTTACCGTCAAGATGTGCGCAGGGCCTTGCAGTAATGAAAAATTGAGAGCCATTGGTGTCTTTACCAGCATTTGCCTAGCACGAGTTGTTTAGTGTTGAAAGGGAATAAGAATAGCATATCGATCTTACCATTGAGAGCAGGAAAGGCTTCGTATGATTCACAAGGAAACCTTCATCTTCGAACTTTTCGCCGTAGATGGACTCTCCACCGGTACCTACAGACGCTCGGTGATAAGTCTACCTCAAAGCGCGCGTTCGCCAAGTAGATCATACCATTTCCAGCTGTGAAATCACCTCCTTGACACATGAAGCTATGGCAACGGAATAGAGAGACGCGTTAGTATGTCTGCTATTTAGCCCTTGAGTGATAAGAGCGCGAATGTTTACTCTTTGATGATTCGATGAAAACGGGAGCCTTCATAAGACAACTTCTTGCCTGATGCTCCTTCTCCCTTTTCACCTGTACATAGCGCACCTGTAGCCACGAGGTAAGCCGGGAAATGGGAGGTAAAATCTACAGACAAGGTCATACATACGGAAGTTCTCAGCTGTCTTGGGTACTAGATCGTTATACAGAGAGAATATGATGCGTCCTGCAGGCTTCTCTCCGATGGTAATGTCGAAGTATGTGATCGTGCGCTCAGACGCCATTATGGATTGCAGTGAACTAGCTTTAGATCTGCTGAGACTGGGTGCAAGAAATAAGTCTAACAATTTATAGAAGCGAGAACAGTGTTGAGTCGTTATGTAATGTGGTAGAACGTACCAGAAAGTGCAACTCACCTACACGCGCTACTAGTAGGCGCGGCAGTGATAATTGACTCAAGAGACCTGATTCAGATATATGCGCAACAAGCATCATTTTATCTTGCAGTGCCTCATCTGTACAGTGATCGCTTGTCCCTTTTTCTCATTATTACTTTCTCATGTAGTCATCCAAATTTCATGACCAAGTTCTCGATACACTCTTTCTTTTTGTAAACCTCCCACCATCCCCTTATCTCTCCTTCAGGTTGATCTTATTCAGTTGTGAAATGTGCGTATTGATCATTTTGTTTCTCTTAGGGCCCTTTGATTGTCGCAGAGACAATCATACTCGATGAAATCGCTTGGTAAAATGTACGATCTTGGTCACGGTGCTCCTCTAATTTCGTGTTCTCGACTGAGAGCATGGGCCACATATGCAAATTTGAATCTTCAATAAGATAAGAGCGACCAAAAATCTCGTTTGCTTAAGACTGAACAGACTAGGGTTGGCACTCGTGGAAAGAAGAGTGTGAGCGGCTCGTAATGAGGCGAGGTTCTATGTCGGTAATGAGAATAAAGTGGGCCAAATCAACATGAAGGAGGTACACAAGAACCCACTGGAGAGATGGCATGATCTTGTTTCGAGCCATCTGTTTGGATGGAGGCTGATAATTTACGTTCACAATGCCTTTCATGATGCGTCATCGCAGAGACTTGATTTGAGATCGCAAACCCAGGAGAAAGACCATCTGAGTTCTTCAAAACCAAGACTCCAGGAAATCAGAAGCAGCATAGAGTATAGTTTATTAGTATTGAAGCCCTGCCTTGAGCTATCCTGCCAAAATCAAGATTTTATCATGGTGTGGGTTTAAAATGAACAGTATTTCGCAAGTGTACATTGAAGGTAAGACCATGGTTTGTTTTCCCTAGCCTGCTCGCCATGGGCGTTCGAGTTGATGAACTAGACTGTAGGACCGCGCAGCCACGTGTCCGGGTACCAAAGTTCCAAGTTTAAGCATCATGATCTACACTCATGTCGCCAAAATATTGAACTTGCTTTTACCTTGATAATCACTGCAATTGCAACAAAACTCCATGATGCTCGATCAAATCGCCGATGGGGATTGTTACTTGAATCTGCTTCAAGGTTAATGGCTTCCTCCAATCCAATCCTGACGTTCTCGTTATGCGACTGCGGCCAAGTCATCCGTCCTGGCAGGCGACATTCATGAGACCAACATGTTATAGTCTGTTATCCGGGTGACCAAGTAGGACGTAAGCTTGATAGTAATATCTCCAGCTGATATTGCAAGGGAATCCCGAGTCCGGAACTCGGACAGGAATATCTATGTTCCTACGTTCCATTCTGATTCCCATACGCCTGGTACCAAACCCACATTCTCAGCTATCCGATCCTCAGGAGTAGCAAAGAAGGAGGTCACGAGCTATATCTATAGTGAGTAAATTTACGTGACTTTCCTATCCTTTGCGGGGTTTAGCGTTGCGTCTTTGCCCACCGGACCTAGGGAAGTATGTAACCTCCTCTATAGCCCTTATGTTCTCCCTTTTCACGAGGCGATCCCCAGTGCTCCAATCAAAGTCCTTTGTTCGCTAGATCCTATCTATTTAAGCTCTGCTTCAGTTAGCTTCCAGCATACCAATCATGACCACTGACTCTACACCCCTCCAACTACCCACCCTAGATAGGCTCGGTATAACCGAGCCTTTGGAAGATGTTTCTGCTGCAGATATCGGCAAAGCCTGGTTCAGCGAGTTCTCAAAGGCAATCTTGTCGAATGATACCGCCTTGGCCTCTGATCTCTTTCTTGATGGCGGATTCTGGAAGGATATTCTGGCCTTTACTTGGGACTTTCGAACATTTCATGGAAAGCCAAAAATAAAGCACCTTTTAGATGTTCGCTTAGGCGAAATCGGTGTATCTGCTTTGACTCTCTCTGAGGAACCCTTCCGTGCGCCTGCACTTCAGAGACCGTATCCTGATTTAGCGTTGTTGCGTCTGTGTTTTGATTTTACGACGAAATATGGCAAGGCATCAGCAGTGCTTAATCTAGTCCCTCTCCCTGGTTTGATATGGAAAGCCTATACGCTTTTCACTTGTCTAGACTCTTTGCATGATTTCCCCGAACAAGTGAGTATCGTCGATTTCTGTGTTCTCAAGTCCTCGAAATTGACATCACTGCAGGTTGGGCCATTACGAGACCATGTAGCCGATCATGGTACATGGAAGGATAGGCTCAATCAAAAGATCGATTTCGTCGATACCACTCCAACAGTCGTTGTGATTGGAGCTGGGCACGTCGGTTTAGAGGTCGCTGCTCGCCTTCAGTATATGGGCGTGCCCACGCTAGTCGTTGACCGTAAGCCTCGTATCGGCGACAACGTAAGTGGTTAAGAGACATATCTGCGGTCTGAGAAATTAATTAATTGATATTGTGCAGTGGAGGGATCGTTACAGGACTCTTTGTTTGCATGACCCAGTTTGTATGATAATTTTTTCTTTTCTTCTTTTGCTGTTCCTGAACAAGTATTCTAGGGTATTGCCATACTCCATACTTGAAGTCTGTTCTTGGAAAGCGCTTGTTTTAAACTCATGTTGTACTAACTCTCTACCGTAGGTTTCCGACATCCTGGCCTGTTTACACTCCTTCCCTAAAGGTGCAGTGCTACAATCAATCAAAAAGCTCCAGGACTGACCATTTATATAGCTTGCAGATTGGCTCGAAAGCTACGCCAATTTTCTGGAGTTGAATGTTTGGACGTCCTCGACAGTCCAAAGTGCCTCTTGGAACAAGCAGGAAAAGACATGGACGGTAGAAATCAGTCGTAAGGGCAAGGCTAATAGAACATTTACGATTAAGCATCTCGTTTTTGCCACTGGCTTCGGAGGAGGCATCCCTATTACTCCCGAAATTCCAGGAAAAGTGCCCATCTTCTGATCATTTGTTTACTGAAATGGCTGAAGCAGACTTTATAGGAGCATTACAAGGGGACTGCTGTACATTCTTCTGGATTCACATCGGCCGCTGATTATGTCGGGAAGAAAGCAATCGTAGTAGGTGCTTGTAACTCAGGTATGATCGAAATAATCCTCCCGGAAGAGCAATTTTGAATAGCCTTGGCAGGCCATGATCTAGCTCAGGATTTTTGTAATCATGGCGTAGATATCACTATGTTGGGATTTCCTTTATTTCACTTTCAGGATACTTACTTTCGTCTAGGTACCAGAGGTCGTCTACTTTCGTCGTATCTGTTAAGGCTGTGGGCAAGGGAATCCTTGGAGGTATTTCAAACACTTGTCCCAGTGTTCGATGTCTAATATATATTTCTACGAAGCATACTACAAGGAAGGCTTCCCGGTTGATACCGCTGATCATCTGAGCAGCGCATTCCCAAATGCTGTAGTCAAGCTCCTGCACCAGCGTATGGTGCCATCTGTAGCGAATACGACGGACAAGTGTGTTATGTCCAGTGACTTCTGGAGACTTTGCTGATCGGCGGACCCTCTCAGGGACATCTTGGAAGGTCTCGCGAAAGTGGGCTTCAAAACTAACCTCGGTCCGGATGGAGCAGGGGTGACACAGCTTCTCTTCCAGAGGGCGGGCGGATATTACTTGGGTAAGCTGCATATCAGCATCATACCTCCCAATCAGTTTTCAGGTGTTGACTATAATCAATAGACACTGGCACGAGCCAGCACATCATTGATGGACATATCAAGATCAAGAACGGGAGCTCCATTGAGAATTTTACTGAACATGGGCTACGTTTTGCAGACGGCACAGAGCTGCAGGCAGACGTCATCGTCTTTGCTACTGGGTGTGTGCTGTCAAGTCTCGAGTCTTATCATTTGTGTTGACTAATCCCGGGTGCTTCCCCAGGTTTGGCGATCCGCGTGATGTCGTGCGAGATATCTGCGGCTCCGAAGTTGCGTCCCAGATCACCCAAGTATGGGGCTTTGACGAGGAAGGTCAAGTGCCAGGTGTTTGGAGGCAGTGTGGACATGACGGAATATGGTTTGGGATCGGTGCGGTCCTACTCTCCACTCGAAAGGGTCCTCTACTCACTCCGACTTCTAAATTTTGTACAGGTAATTTTGCGCTCTCGCGTTTCCACAGTACTCACCTTGCGTTACGTATGACACTTTCTGTTTTGCCTGTTTTCCTATCTGATATATTTCCTGTGCTTCTCGATCACAGAAATCAAGGCTATCGAGGAAGGCCTTCTAAATAGGTCCAAAATTGGATTATGAATTTAGAGAATTGTTGGCCGTCGACTTCCCATCCCAGACTCCCTCCCAGTTTTGTTGGTTACATTGTCTGTATCAAGCGTATCTGCCTTCCACCCACAAGTTTACCCGTCCTTTTTTTGTTGCTACTAGAGTCGTTAGACCATTTGAATGAAACATGTGACCTTAAACATATACCCCTTCCACTATTCCGGCCGATTCGTCGTATATATCTTGCAGTGCTTTGCATCATGTAAATCAGACACATTGTGCATTAGTTTATGTTCGTAGTCAGAGTCACTGATGCTGATCACTATTAGACGCGTTGGTTACCGGAATGATGTTCCACGTGACTACTAAGTAATCATTATCCCTACAAACCCCCAGGATGTAGGCACCGCTATAAGCATCAATGTCATATGCAGCATGCAGGCAACCAACTGACCACCAGGCGACAGTACTGAATCCAAAGGATTCAACTTCATTTGGTAAGGAATGTGTCCGCTCTACTTACGTCTGCTTGATGGCGCCAATGATGGCAGCAACAACTGCACGCTTGTGTGCGGTGGCTGTAACCCGTCGTGCAAAGTGATCACACTAAACTCCCGGCTGCGTACGGGACAATGCAGTGATTCACCACTGATTCACCACAAGATGACTGTACCTGGGATTCTACCAGTTAACCGATATACCAAAGGTATAAAGATGAGCATCGAGGAGCTCGGTTAATCAAACCATACCCGTCATGAAGTTCATTCTTGCTGCCTCATCCCTTGCGCTCGCCACTGGCGCTGCTGCCCGTACCTTCATCGTGAAGAACAACTGTGCGTACACCGTATGGTGAGTATTCTCCCGGAAATATTGTTCACACTATACTGAAGAGAGATGTCTGTAGGCCTGCTGTAAGTGTGAACAAGGAAGTGGTGATAAATCCTAAAACATATTTCAATAAAGATTTATACGATGCCCGGTGGTGCCAACCCTCCCACCAGTCAGCCGAATGGGTGCGTACTCGTACCGTTATCGTCAGTCAACTCTTGATAACTGAATGACTGATCGGTTGGTTACAGATGGGAAGCTGATGCTGGCACGTCAGTCACCTTCGACGTATGAGACTCTCTTTCCCTCCAGTCTCGAGATCGAATAGTAACCGGAATTTTGATTTTTAGGTCCCTGATAACTGGTCTTCCGGAAGAATCTGGGTATGAACGTTTCCCTATTGTAATTTTATGTTGTCATTAATCGGGTCTCGAAGGGTCGTAACGGATGTGACGCCAGCGGAAACTGTGTCACTGGTGGTTGCACTGGAGGTATTGTCTGCACTGGAATTGTAAGTTAATACTGCTCGACTTCGTGGTTGCCTATAACTTAATACATACTAGGGTGCTGCTCCTCAAACTCTCGCCGAGTTCACTTTGACCGCCTACTCCAACCTCGACTTTTATGATAGTACGTGATAGCATGCTGCCTATAAGAACAATGCTAATGTTTTTTTTCTTTCTGAAAGTCTCTGTTGTGGATGGATTCAACATTCCCATGAGCATCACCACTGACCAGAGCAGCTGCACTGAAGCCAGCTGCCCTGTTGACTTGAACGCCATTTGTGAGTTCCCTTTCTTTCGGTGTCAGATGTAGCCATTAAACACTATGTTGTATCAAGGCCCGGCGGAGCTCAAAGGTCCTACTGCCGCTGACGGCACCGTCGATGGTTGCAACAGTGCTTGCCTTGCCAACTTGGATGGAACCCCCAACAACTCCAACAACTGCTGCAGCGGTTCGTTCAACACTGCTGCCACCTGCCCGGTATCTGGTGTCCAGGACTATTCGTTCTTCAGTAAGTCATTATTGCCTAGTGTTCTATATGTTCAGATTCTGATCAGCATGCGCAATTGTAGAAAACAACTGCCCCAACTCTTACTGCTACCCCTTCGATGAGTCTAGCAACACTGCTGTTTGGGCCTGCTCTGGAACTTTGAACCCCACATACACGATCACCTTCTGCCCTGCCAGTTAAATTTAACGTATACCATTTCGTCTGCTATTTGAAACAGCGGGCTGCAAGCATATATTTATCTTGGTGAACTGGATCTGTAGTAATTTTGGGGTGTAATCGAGGTGTAAAATAGAGCTTGTGGCCTTGCTTGTTGCCGTGATTAACAGCGGAAGTCTTCACACAACGAATGAGGTCTATATCATTGCCAACCACGCATATATGTCGCCAGTAAAAGCAGAGCGTCGTCGGGGTATGATAAAGACCAAACGAAGACAGAGAAGCTGACAGTGTCGTTCTCGTAGCCCAGAGCGTTGGTAAATAAAAAGAGAGCTTAACTGTTGACATACAAGTAGAGGAATGAAAGCAACGCTTAAATCTGGAATCAGATCATCGTTGCAAAGGAAAAGAAAGGCTCAGTGGGCGGTCTGAGAATAGGTTAAAGGCTCAATGTCAATATAGCTATAAGTTAGAAAATATTAATATGGCTTCAATGGCTCAGTTGGCTAGAGCGCAGGTCTCATACGAAAAGTATGACGCAATTTGATTGTGTGATCCTGAGGTCGCAAGTTCGAGCCTTGCTTGGAGCATGCTTTTTGTGATCATGTACGTTGTCCTTTCACACAGTTCGTTATTGTTAGCTTAGCTCTCCACAGTGACGACAATACACGCAAGGCGCATATGGTTGAATGTCGCCTTCTGTTTTGCTAAATGTTCATTATTTTAAACTGTACAACACGACGTTATCATTCGCTAAAGTCGATCGACCGTCGACTGTCCAGACCAACAGCTTAGAAACAAAAGACGCTCAAATACCTCGAACCTGGGGCTATTTACCGGGTGCAATCGATACTCACCGAAGATATACATAGCAGAAGAGTCCGAGGAAACAGCTGAAAGTGCACGACCAATAGAGCGATTCTGCGTATGTTTTGCGTCGTGACACGACTATTTTGCTAAGAATACACATGTCGTGACATCATGCGCAGCTGCTTCTGCCACGGTTGCTCCGAAAACCCTAAAGACACGAAGGTCTGTTGTCTTGGGCATCATGGTCCAGGAGCTCGTCGAGTGACCATGGCGTGTACTGCCAGGTTGCGACCTGACGGTACGCCGAGTTGTGGGGGTCTGAGTCGCTAAAACATGAATGATATTTATGACGCTGAACGGCGACATCCCAAACCTGGGTGGTGCGAGCTGTATAAATGATAGGTGCCTCAAATGGGCTGTCAAACAGACGCTGACAATGAAAACAAGATGCGATGCCAACTGACCCTTTTTTAAGATGATGGTTGGATCTGAATGGAGGTAGCATGTCCCAAGCCAAGAATGTCACATGCGAAAGACTGGATCCACATAATTAAGTACGTATTAACTCCAATTCCGAGAAGAATGATAAACCCGGCTAGACGACAACTTGCGCGAATTCTGGCAATTGGAGCGGCCAACTGTACATGATAGATATGCCAACTGTTGAAAGATATAAAACCATCGCCTCATTGAACAGATATCGATATGCGCGCTCAGCATCAATCATTATCACAGCACGGTCCAGTCTGGAACCAGGATGATGATCATGAATTGAGGAAAAGTGTGCGTGTGACGGCATAGCTTATCGTGAGAAAGAAGAGAGCCTCGAATAAGCAATGCTTCCTTTCGGTGTTTACCGAGTTCATAAAGGAGAGACGTTTGGTTGTATCCATCACGGTGCGAACTTGTCCAGGTCAACCGCCATCCCTCTTGTCCTTGTGTTGGCTCGCGTGTTTCCCCTCCGTCCTTCATAAGCCTCGGGTCTGCTATCCTGTGTTTCCCCCTTCCAGGATTCATACGCCTTTTCAGTAACGACCTCCTTTCTTCGGTTTCACCATGAGCGTACTTGTCGCAGCAAAGTTTCCCAGTATCACTGCTACCCTCGTCTCTTGCGCCGTCTCAGCTTTTTTTCTACTCCTCATTCGACTTGTTTTGTCAGTCGCACGGGCCCCATACTTCGCAAAAGTCTATCCCAGTACCGACAGTCTTGAGAAGATTAGCATAGCTGCTTCTTTGTCTTTTTTCACTTCTGGTTGGTATCACAACCTCCACTGGGATGCTCTTCCCCCTTTTTTACCATTTTCTATGGGTCAAAAATCAGCTTTCCAAGTGGGCACGGGCATGAGTGCCCATATGTCACCGAAGGCATCGGAGGCAATGGCCGTCAGCTGGCGGTCACGGCGACCTAGACCAAACTTCCAGCCTCCTCGTCAGTTGTGTTTTTAATCTTTTCTTTTTTTGGTCATACTCACGATCTGTATCAGTTGCCGCCCTCTATGAAAACCCTGTACCTCTTTCGATGGCCAAAATAATCATGTCGCGACACGTAAGTATCGTGGATTTTATGCCAAGCGTTAAAAGCGAAACTCATTAATTCATAAATCATCAGACGTTCCGTCGACCAAATCCTAACCGTGCTCGGCAGACAGCACCTTCGCTGAACCGTCCACCAACGCAACCGACGTCTCGCCTATTTCACTCAATAGCATAATATGGAATCCATTATTTCCGTGCTTCAAACGCATTCGATGTCCTCGCGCATCGCGCACTACACACGACGGAAATAAAATATACCTTTCACGCAGTTACAAGTTACGGACAATCACTAATACGGACAGATTACGATCTTTCTCAGGACTCGTTTTTCCATGAACCTCATGATACTGTCAAGGAAAATTTCCGGTTTTATTTATGACCAGGACAGATAGAGTATCGTCATACTATCATGTGGTGGCTGGAGCGGTTGAGCGGGATGATTTTTGGAGGAGTGTAGTGGACTTAATGCCAAGTTTTTCGTGTACATGGACTAACCTTCTTCTTTTTCGATTTACTCTTGCTTTATTTTCTTTTTATTCGCTTCTAGTTATCTATCTACTTTGCGTTGTTAGCACGATATCCTACTAGATACTCTGATTGTCGTACAGTAATGAAATGATAAGCAATTCAAAATCTCTTGTCTACCAAACGTCAATGTCGTAAATTAAGCATGAGTGTTTCGTTTGGATTTATGTAAGGGGTCTGAGCTTTACCCACTGTTTCAACAACCAGCTGCGGTAATAAGTCGTTTGCCATTTACGACTACCTGGCCCGCTACGTATGCACATAATTTCGACTTTCGATTTGTTATCTCTGAACCTCTGAACGTTCGAGTTCTGCACTTACATGTCAACATCACCGTCATGCCGCTAACTTCCAAGTTCATTCCCATTCGCTTGCAAGTTCCTTAGGCCCGTATAGCAGAAGAGTCTCCTCTCGTCGCGGTCTAGTCAAGCATGTCACGTAATTGATATATCTGTAGCGAAGGACGTCTTTTGAGTACCACGCTGCCAGGGATTATTCCACGTGCGATCTCACAAGATAAGCTGTCGTGTTCGATGTTGCTGTAAGCTGTGGGTTCCTACGGCCGTACTTCAAGCTACCAGGGTCTCATTCCACGGTAGTACCACACCAATAGGCTAGATAAAGGCGAGTAACTTGATGATCGTTGTTTTCATCCATATCAGAGTCGAGTCAGCTCTGTTATGCGCATGTATGCTGGTTATATGCTGTTTGTAAGGTGTATAATTGTTATCGCAGCCCAAACTCAGAAGCTATACATTGTACCTCAAGGCTATGGTCGAGTTGCTTTATCATATTTTGTTGCCATTATAACATTACATCCTTATATGCGTCATGTTAGCTTACTACCTTACTCATCTTTACAGATTGAACTATGGCCGGAGATATGCCAGAACAAACAGATGTTTCGACATCTATAGTTGCTTATCCGGATCTTTATGAAGCACCTATTGCTGAACTCCAAGCATGTCTGGAAAAGGGATTGTTTACAAGTGTCGATCTTGTCAAGGTGATCGAGCGAACTAATATGCTAATGTCTTTGAATCACCAATCCGATCTAACTCTTTCCTGTTATCCAGGCCTACTTGGCAAGGATCGATGAAGTCAATGTGAAAGGTCCGGCCTTAAACGCGATCATTGAGAATAACCCTAGTGCTCTGTCGCAGGCCGCTGGACTGGACATTGAGAGAGAAATCAAAGGAAGTCGTGGTCCCTTGCATGGTATTCCGATACTGCTGAAAGACAATATCGCAACTTTACACAGTGAAGGTAGGTCTTAAGACTTTATCGAAGGGTGAATCCTGACTGTGTGTTTCATCTCATATCAGGTATGAATACGACTTCAGGTAAATCGTGGCCGTCGTTCGCAGTTTTACATGTTCTGATCGTCGATCAACAGGGTCTCATGCTCTTGTTGGTTCCGTCGTACCTCGCGACGCCTTTATTGCCGCTAAACTTCGTGCTGCGGGCGCAATCCTCTTGGGGAAAGCGAACCAATCTGAATGGGCGAACTTTCGTGGGCAGGTACCGTCTGGTTTCTCGGGACGCGGGGGACAAGCAACGTGCCCTTACTATCCACATGTTGACCCTTCTGGTTCCAGCTCTGGCAGTGGCGTTGCAATAGCAATAGGACTTGCAGCTGGCTCTCTCGGTACAGAGACGGATGGATCAATCATAGGCCCCAGTAGTCAAAATAATCTGGTCGGGATAAAGCCAACTGTCGGACTAACTTCACGTGCGGGAGGTAGGAATCTGCCGACTGCACTGTGACTCTTGGTGTTGATCCGGTTATTTTAGTCATTCCGATATCTTCTCACCAAGACTCTGCAGGCCCCATGTGCCGGTCTGTCGCTGATGTCGCTGTCATTCTGTCCGCTATCGCAGGCCCTGACCCTCTAGATGAAGTTACGCTCTCTCAGCCCAGCCTCATTCCTGATTATCTACAGGCACTGAATCCAAATGCTTTGCGTGGCGTTCGTCTCGGTGTGCCTAGGCTTTTCCAGGAACAAGACTCGGATGAACATATACTTGCTGCTTTCGAGGCCTCGCTGGACATCCTTCGAACGCTGGGTGCTGAAATCGTGGATCCAGCGGAGTTTCCAAATGCAAAGGAACTGCAAGCATCGAAGAGTGAGAGTATTGTTTTGAGCACAGAATTCAAGGTTGGGCCCGTCCGTTTGATCCATGAGACCCCTAAGCTCATGAGCTGCGTTATAGATTGACGTCAACAAGTATCTTGCGGGACTCGTCGAAGTCCCCACGGGTGTCAAGAACATCGCGGATGTCATTACGTTCAATAAGGAACACGCTGACCTGGAGCTTATTCCTCCGTATTATGAGGACCAATCTCAGTATGTCACTTCATGCTAATCTGTCACATGCGCAATATTCACTTTCTCTCGCAGACTCATCACTTCAGAAGCAACGGTTGCGGATGAAACCTATCACGCAGCTCTTGCAAAAAACTTGGAACTTGGCCGCACCAGGGGTATTGATGCTACTTTGGAGAAATTTAAACTGGATGCTATCATTATCCACTCCAACGGTACGCTGGAAAATTTACACATATACGAGCCCTACTTACTCGTTATGACATGTGAAGGTTTCGCATCTACACCTGCGGCGATTGCTGGATATCCCATCATCACAGGTAAGTACTCAGTATATATAGTGCACAACACGACAGAACATCCATCTCCTATTTAGTTCCTCTTGGCTTTTACCCCAGCAATATGGTAGTAGTACCTTCAACCCCAGCACCAGTGTTCAACAAGGGACCCGGTGTTCCTTTCGGGCTGTCTTTCCTGGGCACTGCCTATACCGAATTCCAGCTCATTAGTTACGCTTATGCATATGAACAGGCCACCCATGTGCGTCTCAAACAGCTAGCATATCCGGCTGCGATTCCCAAGACTCAGTTAGTAGATATCGTCGGGAAGTAGGCAGTTGAGTTTCAGTCACAAATATGAGGATGTACGAGTAACTTTTTGGATGAAATCTTTGTATACCAACATAAAGTTCTATATATGCCATACTACATACTACATAACTAAGCTACCTCAATCGTAGTAGGATTGGCCGCTTGAAACCGATATGATGAGCATAGGTCACTAGTACAACATATTGCTTGTCATTCTGCTGCAATACTAAAAGTCTGTTCAATACATGGCTAATGAACAACGAAAATCGTAATTTTGTACCAGTTACGTTTAAAAATAATCAGCCCTGCTGAAAGCTCCTTCCCTTCCCTGACTACGGAAAATTTCAAGGGTGAATTCTCCGCCTACGGTAGCGAGGATGACGTGCTTCTGAATTTGGTGTGATAGTGGTATCTGAAGCACGGTCGTTCCCCGAAGGTGTAGAAAGGAAAGAAGCCCACTTCCGACTCCACAGGGGTAGTCTGGGAGACATCCTATCGGTATCTCTGGAGACGGAGTCTGCGTTTGTGTTACTGTCGTGAGGCGCAGCCTGCACAAGGACAGTAAGTAGCACCATAAGAGCTGCGAGGGCGTAGAATAGAAAGCGCATCACGGTAATGTATATCTTGGTTTACGGTGAATATGCTGGTGCTGCTGGTCAATGGGGGCAGAAGCGTAGACGTGAGGAGAAACGTACTGGCTGGCTATTTTGAACTGACCAATGGTGAGACGCAGGCAAGACTAAGATGCGACTGACTCGGGACTCAGGCTAGCTGGTCCAAAAGGGATGAGTAGAATACTGGAACAAAGAACGAGGGCCTCAGTAGTTCGAGAAGTCTAGCTCGAATTCAAACCAGAGACATTGGATGCAGCCAGCGATGGGGGCAGGCTAAAGGGAGCGGGTGGCATTGCAAAATGAGGTTTTATATATTATCCTTTATGCCTGGGTGTATCGAGGGACCTTTTTTTGGGACGATATCATTTCGTTCAGTTGCTGTGAAAGGAAAGCTGCAACAAAGAAACGGGGTCTCCCGACGGCTGAGAATGGCAGAACATTCCCACGGTCACAGGTCGCTATCTATTGTCTACTGCCAAATGTTCCACTCAGACCCGAAATACCTGTCAAAATGACGAAACATAGCAAGAACAATACTGCATCTTCAGTGTTTTCCTATGCCGAAAAGCAGAAGACCAACTATGGGACAAAACGGGTGCGTTGTTTTGCATGTTCATCACACTCAGCTGTAGACGTACAATCCGGGTCAGCAACGTTTAGGCAATGAATCCATGCGAACATTCGATGCATGTGCCCTCTGTTTGCAGCGTGCAAGAGAGCCTTTAGCCTGCAACCATGGTCATTTATTTTGCAAAGAGTGTGTCTACACGGATCTTTGTGGGTGTCATTTCACTCGCCGGAATAATCTCCGCTAGACTCTAGTGCAGTGACCCAGAAAAAGGACATTAAACGTCAAAAGGATCGTTTGGAGGCCATGAAGAAAGGAGCGGAGGGAGAAAAGGAGCGGGCCAAAGAAGCTGCAAGGCAACGAGTACTTCATGATTTTGAGAAGGGACATCTTGGACTATCGGGCAACACAACTGTTCTCGCGACTACATCCGGAGCTGCCTCGAACGAATGTGCGTGTTTTGTCTTTCGGCTTCATCTCAGCTCTCACATCTTGATGTACAGCCACGGGTACTAAACGCAAGCTCGACATTGATTCTTCTACTGTAGAAACATTAACGCGCGAAGCTGAAGAAGCTGCACTCCGACAGATTGAGCGAGAACAGGCTGAAGCTTTGCGCCACAAACTTCCCGATTTCTGGTTGCCTTCGCTAACTCCTACTTATACATCTGTCGGCCCTCCTGTCTCGTTAAAAGACGTTAAGCTCCAGACAACGTGTCGAGGCGGGAATCCTCCACATCCGTTATCGTAAGATGTTCTATCTCTAGTTGGCTACCGGTATTAACATTAAAGTTTCAATCAAGGTTAAAGTCCCTGGTCCCTGTCAAGTTCACGTTCCATTCGACGTCGAATGCCCACCTTGTCGGCTCAACAGCCTCGCCTACCCAAGACGAGCAAGCAAAATCCAAACAGGAAGAGCAGCAAAGTCCTATATGTCCGTCATGCAAAGGCGTCATATCGAATAACAAAATTATCTTCCGTAAGCTCCCAAGCCCTTTGCCCGGTTATTGCTGAAGGACCGATGTCATTTTTGAAGTGATGAAACCATGTGCCCATGTCATCTGCAAGACGTGCACAGATTCTCTTGTCCGGCCCGCCCATCAGTGTGTAGTTTGCGATCATTTGTTAGGGGATCAAGATATCGTTGAATTGAAGAGAGAAGGTATGTGTTGTTGCGTGTGACATGGTCATCTGCCTTTCTATGTGAATTCTGACGGGCCTTGTTTATTTCTATACTTTCACTAGGCACTGGCTTTGCTGGAGGTGGCCTAGCAGAGTCCTCACGAACGGGAGTTGCATTCCAAGGATGATTATGTATATCCCCGTTTCTGGATGTGACTTGCATAAATACAATTGATTCAAAGAACAACTTCCCCTTTCCGGCTGATCACGCTCCCCCTACTTGTCTCCGACGACTTCTTCAATCAACAGTGCGGCATTCCTATAGACTGGCTGCTCTTCACGTGTATCTTCTCTGACGTACGTCCGCGGTCCGCTCTAACCGCCTAATCAGGGTACGCAACGAATGCCATATAAACCAAGTCGCAATATAGTCCGTTTGTGCGTCCCATCGCGTACTTGCAAGATGTTAGGCATCCTAAGTATCGTTGCGGTCATAACGACCGCATACGCTGCTAACACCTCTATACCGAGTTCTACTGGAATCAAACTGCAAAACGGTTTCGAGCGGGTGTACATCCAAGTGAGTATCGAGTAACTTCTATAGGGGCTTGGTAACCCAATGTTGTGCAGCCTTTTGGTAATAATGGCATCCGTGTTCGTGCAAGCCTCCTGAGAGACCCGACTGGGAATGAATTATCTGCACTTCTGGATCCTCCTCTTGAAGGGCCTGGTGGTAATCAAGGTTTGGCTTACGATCAGCTAGTCGGGTTTCAAGGCAACGCCAATCTAACAAACGGGAATATCGCTGCTGAAATTGCTACTGGCTACCTGTCCTTCTACCGCATCGAGTCGAATGGTTCTCGCACTCTTCTCACCTCTGAGTTTACCGATGATAAAGCTCTCTATCCTCGATACTATATCCAGGAATACAAAAGCCCCAGTTTTTCTGCAGAATTCTCTTTCACGGCTGAACCTGACGAGCAGATCTATGGAGTTGGCCAACAAGCATGCTGCAAGGACAATTCTGTGAATAAAAAGGGACAGTCGATTGATCTCATCAACTTCAATTCATTTGTTCCTCTTCCGGTTTACATGTCTAATAAAGTTTGTGTCTCGGGATTATGAAATTTGATGTAGCCACTCAAAGTCGAAAATCCTTTACAGGGATATCTTCAGTTTTTCAACATGCCCAGTCAGGGGCGCATGGGTAAGTGGCCGTAGCTTCGACAGGTAATGTTACTAAACTTGGGCTGTCAAAATAGAGTTCAGTCCGATACGTACTCGTTTCGTCAGCAGTGAAGCTACCGTTGTGGATTATTGGATGTGAGCATATTGATTCAGCTTTGATGCTTATAAACTAACTCGGGCGGGATATCACAGTACGACTGCAGAACCAGGCGATTATGATACCTTGCAAGAACAATATACAGCTGTCACGGGTATGCCGCACCAGATGGTTTGACGTACACCACTCACTCTCCCTCATACAGGTCGACAGCCTACGCCCCCTACATTCACTCACGGTTATCAGCAGTCCAAACTACGATATTTCAATCAAACACAAGTAGAAGATCTGGCCCAAGAATTCCATGACAGGCAAATTAATGTATCCCTCATCGTTATTGGTACGGATGCTAGATGATGATAATCTTCCCGAAATTGTTCACTATTTCATGCAGACTTTTTTAACTGGAAGTATCAAGGAGATTGGTAAGTCCTACAACCATTTCACGTATTGGAAATACTCATGCGCGTCATCTGATAGGTCCTTTGACCCGGAATATTGGCCTGATCCTGCAGCTATGACTGCTAAAGTAAAAGAACTCACAGGTGCCGAGATGATGGTCTCGCTCTGGCCTAGTGTGGAAGACCTTTCTGTGAATTACCTGACGCTGCAAGAGCAAGGTTTGCTAGCTACCACTAGAGATGGCACAGGAATATCAGATTCTTTCGCCGGAGTATATACGCGGCTTATTGACTCTACTAACCCTGCATCTCGGGAATTCTTATGTGAGTACAGTATATAATATTTCGTGCTAGATATTCTTATGCGGATTCAAATGCAGGGAAACGTCTCAACGAAAGTTACTTCTCCAACGGTATCCACAACTTCTGGATTGATCAAGCAGATGGTTAGATATCTTGTTTACCTTAGTGACAAGATATGCTGACGGAGGACATATTTTCAGGTGGTACTTTGGGAGAGGCTTTTGAAAACAGTAAGCTTTTTTTGTTCTGCGATTAGGTGTTCGACTTGATATCCATTTGCATCAGATGGTCAAACCATTGAAACAATTCCATATGCGAGGGCTTTCTCTCAATACTTTATCGGCACGCAAGAAGGCGCCGGGAAAATGTATCCGTGGTTACATCAACAGGCCATAAACGAGGGATTGCACAACTTGACCGATACTCCAGCAACTGCCACGAGCTGTGAATATATGTCGTTGACCCGAAGTACATTCGCTGGAGGACAACGCTACTGCTCCTATCTTTGGAGTGGCGATACAATGGCAGAATTCCCTGTACTTTTGCAGCAAATTACCTCTGCTGTATCCGTCGCAGCTTCTGGAATTTCCTCTTGGACACTCGATTTGGGTGGGTTCACTGGCTTGGATATCGATACAGCATACGTACGACGTCATCCCTGTCTATCTGTAGAACAGTTAGCTGACTCTTTACACAGGGCAAGGAATTGTACGTCAGATGGTTTGCAATGGGCGTATTCCTTCCATACGTAAGTCTATCTCGTCTCATAACTCAAATACAAACGCTTATATGTTTCTTTAGATGCGTACACATGGGTATGCTAATGCTTACCTAAAATCCTAGAAGGCTTGACGACCCGTTATTTGCAGTGACCGTATTTGTGACATACCACCTCCTACAACTCCATCAAACGCGAACTATTGCCCTAACGAAGTACGGTAATTTCCTATATGTTCTATCTACTGTCTCATTAATTCCCAATAGCCATGGTCATATGGCGAGGAAAACTACCCAATCCTCAAGATGGTAAGGTGACCGTACAGATCTTCTAGTCTTCCTTCTCACCATCGTTCCCCAGTACATCGAACTTCGTTACAAACTGGTTCCTTATGTCACACAACTCTTTGCAATGCTCCAAAACAACGGACGGACGATCATGCGTGCTCTTTATTTCGACTTCTCTCTGTCGGATCCATTCGTGGCGTCAGCAACTGCCGCTAACGACCCGCTCGTGAGTCACCAATTCATGTTCGGTAGGTTTCGCACCCATAAGAAAGTTGACGAGCATGATGACTCACCCGATGAATATATTATAATAGGTCCTCGTATCCTGGTCTCGCCCGTTGGAGTTCAAAATGCCACTTCAAAAGAAGTATATCTACCCCGCCTGACACAGGCCATGTTGGATCAAAACTACACCTGGACTCATTGGTAAGTGTTTCATACGGACATGCAAAACAGGGGCTCACCGTCGTCTGAACTAACTCCAGGTGGACCAACACAAGTTACGGACAAGGTGGTGCGTCTGTAAATGTCAGCGCTCCCCTCGACCAAATTCCAGTCTTCTACTTGGGAAGCATGGCCGATATCTTATCTGGAAACATCTGAGTCTGTTTTGTGGCGCTTTCAAGGATTTTTTTGTAGTGCTTTGCATGTATATAGGATCGATATGTGATGCCATTTGCGTGACCTTGATATAATATCTGAGCCTAAGCTGGCACTCTTGTATAAGTATGTACTATCCAGGCTTTGGTGTGCCCAGTGAGCGCTAGTGAGCGGTCAACTAAACCAGCACTTTAGTTAGTAGTAGTCCTCAGACTCGTCCCACAGCCTCCACTGAATCGAATTTCAGACCTCGATTCATAAAGCATGTTCTGGCATCCTGTCTCGAAACATCATCTAAGCTGCAGTTATATTTCAAAGACTATCGTAGTGGTTTACATGTACGGAGCCCTACAACATGTGATCTTGTTTTTGTGACTTGGACAATTCCGATGAGCTCGCAGAGGCGATAAGAGAGGTAGTCGTTCCTTCAATGTGATTCGATCCTGATGTCCAAGATGTGGGCCAGTTGACCGATAGACCAGATTAGCAGCTCGATTACAGTGATGTTTGACGTCTGTACTGGAGATAGATAGCGATACTCGAAGGATGAGTAACGGGTGTGAACAAAGGGAGAGCAAACGCAAAAGGCGAGCCATAACGGGTACCAGATTATCGTATCCAGCCGCAGCGATATTCGACGCCAGAAGTAGATACCAATTTATGAAGGACTTGGGGGTGGCAGATGCGTATAAAAGGATTCCAAGCCGATACAAAGATATGAGATATCAAAAAGTCGACGAGGCCACCGTAAAGACAGCCAAAACCGTTGTCGTATGAGGGGAAATATTAACATCCGTTTTTTCTTCCTGCTTTGACCCCAGTTTGATCGTCTCGTGGCAGACAGCTGTCACTGTCACATGGACCTTTCGAAGAGACATACGTCAAAGCCAGGGTGAGCCGCTGGAGAAGAACTTATGTGGCCACACAATGGCAGAAAGTTCACACTGCCACTGAAAACACACTGTCCGGGACCTTTGAGCGTAGACCAAGCATCACACTGATCATACAGCAGCACGTTGCGTCGCTATAAATTGCCAGAGGCCGTCAGCGTTGACGGATCAAAGCCCCTCTTACCAGTAAACGCAAACGACTCATATCGCCTTCGCATCCTGTATAGAATCATGATGCTCCCAGTACATGCCGTATCGCCAGGGGGCAAACAATTCCGGAAAAACACCCATCAGCAGTTGTCAGTACACCAACTGCAGATGAACGCACATCATCTGGCAGCAAACTTTCCCCACCACACCCTTCCAACACCGACATCGGTCATGAATGATGCGTGGGCATTAGTGCCGAACATGACCACCAATATCGCACAGGTACCATTAACATTAAAGGATCCTTCCTTCATTGCAGCACCACCCTCAAAAATACAACCGACGACAGAGAACATGGAATCAGCGCAAGATTTTACTAAACCCATCAGTGAAATCAAGCGTACCGAGGAAAGTGTGTTCACCACATCCATCAAGTCCGCCGGTCCCCGCGCAAAGATCAACATTAATCAGATGATTAATGATTGTACAACGCTATATATGCGCGAAGGGATCGACGGGCTATTGCGAGGCCTCCTTCAGATCGGACAGCGGCATCTGCAGGGTACATCACTGGTCTCTATCATTGTGCATCCCATGATAAAGGAAGTCACCCGGCTATCTCCAATGCAGGGGAAGGAGCTGGAACGATCGCTGCGATTAAGCGCGATGACCATGTTCCAACAACACTGGAACACCGTAAGTGCTTCTTGTTTTCACAATATTAAATTACACATTGATAAATTATATTAAACACCTGTAGAAAGAATGTCAATCGGTGGTTGATAAAACCACACAATTAACATACCGGTTGACAACGGGTGTGAAGACCGCCGGTCTCGTCGGATCGCTGTTCGCTGCCAAAGTGACTACCACAGAGGACATTTTCTTATGCCTCGATCTTCTTATCGACGGCGGCGGGCAGCTCGATCGACTCCGTGCCGTGCACGCACTTATTACCCAGGCAAACGACAAGCTTTGCAAGAAACGCAACATCGCAGGTACAATGCGCTTCTATGCAAAATTCATGGCAGTATACCCCGAAAGTGAAGCACAGATCTGTGCACAAAGCGAGGCCTTGATCTTGATCAGAGTGAGTAATAATCGGTTGACAAAGGACACAATGGCTTACTAGTTGGCTGCTATTCACAGGATGTGAACGATAGCATCGAGGGCTGGATGGTATCGCAAGAGAAGAAGAAAATCTATTGATCAGCAACTTAGATCTTGCGTCAGGATGGCTATATGCCCCTTCGACAGCTTCGACAACTCTGTCAACGTTTCTACAGGTTTGGGATCACTCCAGGCTCGCCCTACAGACCATTTGGCGAAGGGTAAAAAATTGCAAGGGAACGCAAGAATACCACTGAAGGTCAGATAGATTTTTGCAAGGTAAACAGGAGACATGGGGAAGCGGGGAAATATAATCGATTGAAAGGATGGTTTGCGTATGCGTTGGCTCTGTTGTTGCCTGTTGAAACGACAGGCTCTGGCAAAACATTGTTTGTCGTTAGTGGCTGACAGCTTCTCGCGCTGTGGAGAACGTTTGGGAACAGACAAAATATAATTCTGTGCTATACTCTGGATGAAAGATGGATACAACTATGGGATACAACTTGTTAAAAGCGACAAACACTGTAGATAATGAGCGTGCACAGGTGATGAACTTTTTTTTACCAATATGCGACTAGTTTCGTTTCCATACACACACACAACTCCCTGAAAGCAACTGTTCCTTGCCCATTTAGCAAGACTGGGCAGAAGAAGAAAACCTCCAAGATCATTTCAATAAGAACCCGATCCCTATACCTACACATAAGCTTCCCACCATAGCCAAGCCAAGGTGACAGTTGGCAACTTTGCCAACGAAAGTCGAGACTGATCTTCCCAAGCGATCGCGAGCAGGCTCTAGCAGCGAAAGGGAGAACAAAAACAAGGACGGAAAGTGTAGCGGATCAAAACATGAACTCATGCAAGGCATGGAGATAACAGGACGAGCCGTGATCGTGTCCTCTCGCAGCCGCCTCGTCACGTCCTTCGAAAGAGTGTGATCCCATTGGGCTTCCCACTCTGCTTTATCCCACACAGGTTCCTCGCTCTTTGGTTTGACAGCGGGACCAAACACGTCTTTGCGGGACTGAGCGATGTTCTTAACCTCGCGCTCGACCTCTCTCCACCTGAGAAATCTCTCGGCAGCTTCAAAGCGGAGCATCGATATCGTTTCTGGCGAGCGGAAAAGTCCAGAGCGCAAGGCTACACCAGAACGCGGACAGAAACTCGATAAATGTAGTCGACCAGAATGATGATCATTATCGGACAGTTCTGGAAGTACGATCATAGGTATGTGAAGGGCGAGAGCGTCGAGTAACTTGTACTCCGCGGGTGATGGCACTGTTGAAGATGCGTAAGAATACATTCTTACCATCAATATGGATAATATATGACTTGCCTGAAGTAGTTATAAAGATTAGAGCAGTATACAGGGGACTATAAGGCGAAGCAAGGAGGTTGGTTAACACTGCCGATGGCGGACATTGAGGATCGATGATATCTGATACAACGTGGAATGGCGACTGGATGATCGAGAGTACAGATTGCGAAATCGTTAGAGCCTGTTCATGTACACTGCACATCAGCCATCATTCCTGACAACATAAGCTATACGAACGCACGTTATCGTCATGAGCATGTTCAGGTAATTTCATTATTTCCACATTCCGGGCAGGTTCAAACTTCTCTAGCCCATGAGCATCGCGATGCTCGATCCAGTCAGTCGACGCTCGAAGGACAGCGCCCTCCTTCGTCTCCTCCCAAGCACCGACTTCCACGATATCCTCGTTATCTTCAAGAAGCATACCGCTCAACGAGCCTTCGCCTTCCGCGCCATGTCCCCACACTAAGAGCCTCACATCGCCCAACGTCTTCCCATAAGGAGTTGGCCTGCGGAGAGCAGCAGGTAGGGTCAGAGAGGGGATAATGAGGCCCTGCGTCAAATCTTTCGCATGATCTGGGTGCGGTTGTATATGTGGCGGGCTGGCAGCGGCTGAAGAGAAGAAGAAAGACGATGAAACGGATGGCAGCGACGATATGGACTCGGATGGGCTATCAGGGGGCGATGGCAGCGCACTGGAGCGAGGAGAGGACGGGTGCGATGCTATATTTGAGTTTTCCTGCGAGGATAAGTCGATGGTTGGAAAGAATGAACGTATGGTGGATGCGCTGGTGCTAACTGTACAATCCATACTGGCATGAGGACGGCCGCTGTGGGAGCTTTGGGGACAAATCCACTGACGAATCGCACTAGACTTGCACAGGCCACGAGGCGATACAATTATATAAAGTTCACGTGCGCAATCATGTTATCAGATAAGATTTCCCGCCCCAATTCATTTTCATCGTAAAGTTCACTGTACTACGTTACGAAACGCTAAAAACCAAAAGAAACCCATGCAGGTGAACGACTGATACAGAAATACCCCTGACCAAACTAGACTCCTTCGAGAACAATGACAATAACACAAATGTTTAGTTGATCTCTGGCCACGCAAATTCACCAGCTTGTTGATTCGTGGACAGAGACTCCGACTGGAGAGTCGACCAAGAGGCCTCATCCGTCCACACCTGTAAAAACCAAGTTTACTCCCAATGCATAATCGGCTTCAGACGAACTTACCTCATAGTTGGCGCTACCACCACCTGGTAACAAGACCTCCCAGTACATCCACGGCACGCCAGTCTGATAAATGATAGTGATATCAGCAACAGGCGATAAAAGACCAATCAAACACAAATGCTAACGTACCGAACTGAGGAACGAAGTCACGCTCTGGATATCACTCTGCTTAGTACTGCCCTCAGCACCAAACTCCTCGTAAATAATACGCTGGCCAGACGCAAGGGCCTGGGTCTTGGCAGGGTTGAGGTAGGAAGCGATGTAGCTAGTGTCGAGATCGTAGTCGTGGATGGCCAGGATTTGCAGGTCAGAGCAGCTGTGGCATGAAAGAAAATATACGTGAGTGTCCCTTACACGTTGTGAGTGCGAAAACTATGACGGACATATAGAACTGGGATTGGAGAGAGAGTGAAATGTCGGTTCCTCCTCCGGTGGAAATTTGAATACCATAGCTGCCGAGCACATTACGGATAGTGGTTGCACGATCACACCTAGGCGGAAAACAATTGTCAGAGGCATTACCAGTACCTGAAAAGATAACCACGTACCACCAGGTAGGAGCAACGACATTCATGTGGCCCATGGCTAAGATGGATATTCATAAATCAATAATACGAGCCGAGGACATCGAAGTATCATACCTTCGTTCTCCACTTCAAACGCGAAGATGGCGTCTGTTGTATTTGTTTGTGTCAGTTACTTGGGTTCAGCATGACGAAAACTTACCAGATAGCTGAGACCACGGCACACCGAAATTGGGAGACTGATAGTTAAGAATATGCTCGAGACGATTGTCATACTACGCAACTTTTTTGCTGAATACAATGCAAATCAGAAGAGACACAGTGAGTACTCACATCCGCGATGGCGTCAGAATTCGTGTAGAAAATGGACGAGTCTGGAACCCCAGTTACACAGTTCGTGGCAGGTAGGTTGTACTTGGCGACATAAGCATCAGTCGTCCAGCAGCCCAAAGCATACCTGTCAACCCTAATTAAACATTCCGCCATCACACTTATAAGTCAGTCCACGCACCGATCGTGCATGGCAATAACGAGCTTAATATCGCGAGAATGAGCCTCCGAAGCTAAAGTATCAATCATCCCCAGGATAGTATCGTCATACTGGCCAACTGCGAGGATTCGTCAGTAGGATGAAAGAGAGCGTAAATAAGTGAGAAATGCCAACCTGCGACTGTTTCCAGATCGTTAACTGCAGTAGCGCTGGATCCTTTTGCTCCTGCTGCGACCTGCGTGATGAAAATGCGCAAGACTATGCTCGCGTGATCAGTTAGTATTTTCATCCATCGGCATACGAGCTCTTACGCTTCATGTTCGCGCTTTGCATCGCGTCAAGCACAGCACTCCGGTCAGAAGCCTAGTATGATTCCATCAGCTGCTCCAAAAAGATGGAATTGGGGGACCACGCACGGAGAGGGTATATAAAAAGTACGAGCTTGCACCCGCAAAATCATTCGCAGCCACCCCCGCGATCCAGGAGAACGCTGCGAGAGCGCAGAATGTGATTAACCTCAAGTTGAACATAACGAACGCGTAACTTGTTCAGATCGTCTCACCTGGGCTTATATACGTGGATCATGGTGGATGTAAGGTCGGGCAGTGCCAAGAGGGTGTGATTCCCCCGCGATTTAAATCGGTCAACCATCAATATGAGAATATTTCGGATGAGCATATGTTTGATGGAAGCTGCAAAGAACACACAAATAAGCACAGGAGGGAATTGGAAAGATCCGCATCCAAGTCTGCACCTGCAGCTCTAGCATTCCGATACTTTCCTATACTTCTCAGCGCTCAGCAGACCCGTCACCGAAGAAGAGTCGCTAACAATCCGGGGCAGCATTTCAAAACATACCGTGTTATGGTCACCTTAGCGCCCATCTGGTACCGAGCCTTGTGCTAGATGGAATCATATAACCAGGAAGCGCGCAAATCTATCTGTTTGGAGACAGAAGATGTCAGGAACTTTTAGGGTGTTGCATATGCTTTTTGCAGACAGTCGGTCCAGTGCTAGGAAACCACTAACTCCAGTCATGAGAACAGCAGTGATGAACATCGACATTCCATGAATATCATGCATAGTAAATAGTAACATTGTAAACTCGAAATACGGCATCGCTAGAGCAAGCGGTAGCACTGAGTTGTAGTATAACCCAGTTTTGATTCACACGGACATTTCAGGCGTGCATGAGCGCTGCACCAACTTCATTCCGCACCACCGCGCGACTCGACTCTCCAGGCTCAGCGCTCCCCCCCCTACAGTAACATCCTAGCGGGCATATACAAAAGGCAGAAAATGTCTTTCCTCGTCGGATCAGTTGCTGGTGCGCTCGTAACCGGTGGTGTATGGTCCCAGCTTGTCTGAGGAAAAAAGGGCCGGATGTTGATGCTGACTTCTGCCAGGTTTACTATGGTTTCTCTAACCTGATTCAAACGAGGTCTGTCGTCGTCCCTTAGTATGCATCGCATAATAGCAGCTGATGATGAGAATGTTCGCCGGGCTACAGGACTGAGGAGCATCGCGTCGAGTTCGTATCACGTCTTTTTGTCCGTGTTATTGAGTGCTGAACCATGATCTATCCACCAGCATGCACTCCCTTTCCGACCGACTTACCAACGCCTCTACCCTCATTCCATCTCCACCACCAGCGTCGACCCGCATCACACACAGACCGTTCGCTTCGCTCCTCCAATCTCGATGGAATGACGAAATGGCAGGTTTATTCAGGAGCATAGGCACATGGGAGGAGCGTGCTGAGGATTGGGGCAGGAATATTCTCTATGGAAATAATTCACGAGCCCGTAATTCGTAGTCTTACATCCAAAGCACGTAGAATCTTCACATACTATCTGTCGCGGTCCCTCGTTCACCCAATAGAGATAAACTCCTGATTTGGAAACTTGAAGCGTACGACGTACTGGTACACATATTCCAAACAACAAAATCTAACATGATTACATACAACATCCCATAACAAAACAACAAGTACTCCATCCATTTTCATCTTAAAAATCTCATTGACCATATCCCTGGTAGTACTGGGGGCTATAGCCCCGCTGTGAAGGAACGGGGGGTACACCTTTATACTGCCTTGGCTGCTCCCCCGGATTCTGAGGCGGCGGGGAATTATATTGATATGATATCGGAGGCGGCGGTGGAGGAAAGGCTGGGCTAGGCGTATACGACTGTTGGCGATAGTGTTGCTGCTGCTGCGGTGGCTGCGAGGGCGGAGGAGGGAATGAAGGCTGTCGTTGCGGATATTGAGGTGCCGGCTGCGACGGTGGCGTATTACTGGAGTGACTCTGGTTCAAAGGCGAAGAATATTGCGATGAGCCGAGCATCCCAAGGCTCGCATAAGGGTCCATAGTCGGAGTATAAGACGGTCGTGGAGGCTGTGAGGGTGGGGGAGGCATATAGGAAGGTCTCTGCGGTTGAGCCTGTTGAGGCGGGCTACTGTAAGAGATTGGCGGTGGCTTGGGAGGAGGGGAAATCATATCCCTGTTTCCTTGAATGTTTAACGATGCGAATGATGAATTGAAAGAAGAATCTGAACGCGGTGGCGGTGGGGGGAGAGGAGGCTTTTCCGCCTTGGGTGGAGGAGCAGAAAGTCGCCTCTGCGATTCCGCCTGTCCAGCCATCCTGTCGCGCTCAGAAGCGCGCTCGGAGATAAAAGACTTGGCATTTCGTTTGAGGGTCCCGCTGAGTTCCACCAACTGGTTGTAGAACTGCAGGCCTTTCCTATATTCAAGAATAAGATCAATCAGCGGGTACTTTGATGAATAGAAGTAGGAAAAACTCACGCTAGGCCGTCTCTGACCTCCATGTACACATCTCTAGCACGAGAAAATCTGCGCACCGTGTCCTTCTTTCTTTTCTCTCTTTCATCCCACTTTTTAGCACCAGGACCTCGCCCGGCAAGATCGCGCAGACTCTTCCAGAGGGATTGTATTTCCTGTAGCACCACTTGTTGATGATGCACAGTAGCAGTTAGCCTTTGTTGGTATGGCCGGAATTTCTCAAGCTCGGCTGCAAACAAAGTTGGCTCTACGCCCGTATTACGGCGGTTGAGCAGTAATAAGTGAGACACATCGTCAGATTGGATCTGTTGGTGCATAATGTCAATTCGTAAAGGTTTGATTGAAGTGCATAGCAAAAAAATAATTGACCTTGTCCTTCAAATCTTTCAAGACTTCACTCCTCTCGTAGGCAATCTTCTTCAAACGGCCTAGACGATCCTCGATTTCAGCGGTGTACTGACCTATCTTGGCGCGTTCGCGCTCGTCGCTGATTTCACCGCTGACATCCAAATCAAGCAGACTTTCCGCCGGTGGTGCCCCATGTTGCGCGCTAGACCTGAAGACATCCTCGACATCTGGAGACAAAAGGAGGCCGATATCCATCTTCACGGAGTCCCATAATGACACGACTTGCTGGTCTGAGGCAGAGGCTGCTTCCATCGCTCCGTAATGTGACTTGAGATCCTGACGCAGGGTTTTTGTGAGACCCGCGGATGGCTCTTGGGTCCATAGATGATCATACTTCACCCTCATGGCTTCGCATTCCCTTGATTCCATCTCCAGATCTTTCGAGACACCGTCCAACTCGCCTCCCACATTATCCTTGAGCTTCGCGAGCTCGCTCATCAATGTCTCCACTCCCTCCCGCTCTTCCATCACCCCAATATCATCTCGCCACCGCCTCACATCCACAGGTATCTCTTCCTCACCACCAACCTCGCCTTCCGCCATTGACTTAAATCGCGAGAGTCCCTCCTGAACCCCCATCGCCTCCAAAGCACTGCGAACTTCCACTTCAGCACTCTCCGCATTCTCTACTTCGCTCCGTACAAGCTTGGCTTTCTCCTCAGAGTACACACTTGCGCTCTCGTGGACGCTGAGAGGGATAAGCTTCAAGAAAATATCCTGCCCGATTACCTTTTGGACATCAGGCGTCGCGTACACCTCCTGAATGGAAATGGGAGTAGCAACTGCGGCCTTGTCAATTGCCGGGAGCGCATCAGCCGAAGGGAGAACTGCGTTGTAGATGAGATCGTTCTCGCGTTGGGCTTCATTCTTGCGTTCAGAGCACAGAGCAAGATGGCTCTTTGTCCGTTCAAGCATCGAGGAGCCAGCATCAGCGGGAAGCGTCGTAGACACGTGCGAAAACATCGTGGAAAAAGAGTTAGCAGTGCGATTGGCTTCCTTGGCTTGGGTTTCAGCGAGAGTGAGTCGAACCAGGGCATCACCGTGGTTTCCCGCCTTGTCGTCTGCTAATGCGCGATAATACTGGGAGAGTGATGCGAAGTATTTGGCTTTGATCTGGGGCGTCGACGTTAGCAGATGCCAAAAACATAACTCAGTAAACGCACCTGGATGAGAGTAACCCAATTCCTATCAAAGATACCTTTCCCCATAAAGTCTTTGACCTCTTCGCTCAACGAGTTATACATATACGCAGTCTGCGATGCTACTTTGGATATAAGCGCACTGACTTTTTTCTCGTCTATGCATTTTTCGAGGAAAACTTCAGTAGCCTGAGCCAAGATGAATCCGACGAGGAATTTGACCACTTCGCGACTGAGGTCCGTGGAGGGTGCATGGAGAAAATTCTCGTTGATATAAGTTAGCATTCCCGCGCATGTACGGAAGTAGTAGAATGCGCGTTTGAGACCCTCTGGGTCAGATCTGCTTTGAGAAGCGGCGATGGCAGAGTGCGTAGCAGCGACCTGAAAGAGAATGGACGCCTTCTCATATGCGATGGAGGTCTGGGTGATGAGTTTGTTCGTGAAAGCGTCGTGCCAAGGAAAGTTGACACGAATTTCTGAGAACCTGAGTTCAAGAAGTTCCAACTGGCCAAAGTACTTGTACAACAGATCACGAGCTGCAAGGATATGATCAGCACGGTTCCTTGCATATCCATATCACTGCAATCCATACCTGTCATGTCGCTGCCAGCACCCTTGACTGCATCCTGGCGACAGCGCTGAAGAGACTGACATTCTTGGGCATAATTATCTGGACTTTCTCCGTACGACTTGGCTATGAGATTGCGAACTGGAGTTGTCCAGTCGACCTCCTCCGTTGTCTTCTTCGGAATGGATATCATGGGCGATTGTTGCGCCATGGTGAATGCTGTATATCCAATGTATTATCTGTGGACGCTGCAGCGAATGTCGTTGGAAGCCTTAGCAAGCGTATAAAGGACTGGGAGCCCTTTAGCCTGGGTTCAGGCAAAGCTGCGCATGCCGCTCACTGGCATTGGCCCGGCACTGTTCCTGACAGCCACATCACACTACAGCCCGCTGTTTGCTTTTGTTTGCCATCCGGAATCTTACACCAAACGCCATGTCGTCGCAGAAACCAACGTCGAGCGAGAATATTGTCAGCCAAAAAGTAGGTCAATCCTTGTGTTTATATCGGACTGGGCTGATAAAAATTCAGTATGACCGCTGCTGTAGGTATTTTATCGTTGCTCGTGTTGTGCGGAAGTACTGAAGCTCGAATGGAGTGGCGGATTTACTGGTCAAGGCGTATGTCCGATTGTTCACTTTCAGTGGTGCTTTTGCTGAATGGTCTTGTAACCACAGCGGTGTAGGTTTTAGTGCTGGAGTTGTTGCATCCGTCATTCTGTTCAGGCGTTCGTACTTGTTTTCATGCACTATGTCGGCACGCTCAACTGCACTCACTTTTAGGACGTACATGGCCAATAGCGCTGTCTACCGGATTCGGGATAGGAGCTGCCTACGCCGACTGCGATCGTTCTTTTAACCCGGCGAGAGTACCTGGGACACGCATAATTACACAAACGGAGGAAAGCAAATAATATGTCATTCCTGTAGACAGCTGCCCTTCACCCGACAAGGTTGTATGTGGCTATCCTCACGCGCCCCCCAAGTACCACAAATCCTATAGACACCCACACCTCTTTTTTATTCGGTCATAGAGTTTCTGATCCAGTCGTTGAATCGTGTTGTAGCTCTGAATTGTGTGACAGGACTGAAGCCTCGTTTTTAGTAGGTGCAGGGATATCTCTGGGTACTTTCCGTTGAGGCTCATCCAACACGAGACGCTTGTACAAAACGACTGAGTAATACATACAATGTCAGAAAGCTAATAAGATGCAAGACTGTTCTGCTAACATGATGTTGCTGCCATGATGGGAGCAGTGATGATGATTGTGCGAAGTCTTCGCGCTTGAGGCGGAAGCCTTGCCATTATTCAATGTACTCCTTTGTGAATCCTCGTCCAAAAACCCTGTGATGGACTTCAATTCCACGCCAACGATGCAACGGTCGAGATTGCAGTGTAAATGACTCAGAGAACGTCACTGTCGGATTGGAGGAAGTGCAAGTCGCCATTTGTTAGCTCGATTGATCGGGATTCAAAAATGTCCGCGAAACACCATCCATTGATATGTATAAACGCAAACCTTTCTTTTACCAGAAAATTAAATTTTGAACTTGAATTACACAAATCATACCTATGCTTCGTACAGTACACTATATGCACTAGAGATTCAGAAAATGTTACAAGAAAACAAGCAATGATATTAACATGACACGAGCTGTAAAGGGCCCCCCATCGTACTGCAATACAACCAGATCATACGTGCAACTTCACCATCTTCTCCGCAGCGCACGTTACCGTTGGACTAAGCGCATCCTGATACTTTCCTACCGTCCAAACATCGTCGTCGTCGTCCCTTACCCTCAACACAACTTCCTCGCCTCTGTACGGCCCATCAAAGATGATGGCACGCTCGTCGCGGTGCTGAGGGAATACTGGAGCGAGATACGATAACGGTACGGTGATGGGTCCTTCACCGAGATCTGAATCAAGAGGGCAGAACTGAGCAGTGGCGTCGTTGCCGGTGATCATACTGCTTAGAATATAGCCCTGTTTTTGTTCTAGATTGCCGCCACGCCATCCAGATAGGCGTGTGTTACTGATCTCCATGATAACATGTTTATTACGGATGTTATGATCTTGCAGCCAGGAATCTGAGTTTCAAGGTTAGTCGTGTGTTATAAGCTTCCACAATCTTTGTATCAACGTACTGGGATTATGGTTGTTACTGTCTTGCAACCAGGAATCTGGGATTTAAAGGTGAGTCGTATGTTATAAGCTTCCAGAACTTTTGTATTAACGTACTGGAATCATCTTCCGAAGGCAGTATTCCTGGTGCTGGGGTCGGAGCCGACATAATGTGGTCGTTGAACATGATATCGGCAGGCGTCCGAGCGGGGATGTACCCAGTAGAAGGTGTCTGTGCTGCAATATAACCAGGAGTCGCAGCAGCAGCAGGCGTGGAATTCTATGCGGCTAGGTAAGTGTATGCATCCATTATGCAGAAAGGCAGACATACCCAAGTCGACGACGGATCACTAACCCCCCAGCTGCTAGACTCTCCTACAGGACGTGCAGGAGATTGACCACCCCAGCTAGCAGGTTTGGGTGTTGCACCACCCCATCCAGTAGGTTTAGGCGTCGCGCCTCCCCATCCCGTCGGTCTCGGCGTTGCTCCACCCCATCCAGCAGGTCGAGGGGTCGCACCACCCCAGCCATTGGGCTTAGGCGTTGCACTTCCCCAAGCGCTTCCTCCAGCATCCCCACTAGTGTACGGATTAGGGGTTCGGGAAGAGGCATTCCACGCCGGCGTTTTACCACTGTCTTGATATGGATTTGGTGTCCGCGAAGAAGCATTCCATGCAGGCGTCTTTCCGCCATCACCAAATGGATTGGGGGTTCTTGAAGACTGGTTCCAACCAGGCGTACGACCCTCGCCGCCTGCATAAGGGTTGGGAGTGCGGCCCCAACCAGGAGTGCGGCCGCCAGCCTGACCACCTTGTTGGTAGGGATTTGAAGTTCGATTGTTGTTGTGACCTCCGTTGTTGTTGAAGGAGCGTGGAGGGCCCATTCCGAAGTTCCCTCCTTCGAGAGGTTCCAAGCTTCCATCGTTACTAAAAAAACATCATAAATAGGCATCAGAGAGATCATAATGTAAAAACGCCTTACTTTCTTCTTCGGAGCTTTTCTTTCTCGATAGTAATCACCTTGTTGCCGGTATGAAGTTCAACGCGAGCAATAGGCCCGTTCGTGTCCTTTACTGCGCCGACATAGCCCTTATGAGCTCCTTTAACCACCGCGACAGTCACACCGATGAGTCGGTCTCGAGGACCACGTCCCATAGTCCCTGAACCGACCATTCCTCCAGTCTGAGCACCTCCTGCGAGCGCAGGATTCATCTTTGACAAATCTGCTCCGTTGTGTTTTATAACAGTGCCTTTGGGCGCAAGAGAAGCTAGAGATCTAGCGCGAGTGACAAACACTCCTCCATTTTCTGCAATGTCGCGATTATGCAGGAATGCGAAAAACGATTGGTAAGTATGAAGAACGCGTCCTTTCCGGGCCTACAAAATCCGTAAATTCGAGGGTATACGATATTAATTGACAACCTACTTCGCCATCCACCTCCTTCACGTTGTCATTGGTGCGTATCTCGTGACCCTCGGAATCTGTAGCTATAGCGCGATCGGAATTACGGCGCATAGAAATCTGGTGAGGCTGAACAAGTCGAACTTGGCCATTTTGGTCAAGCACCCGGAAAGAATCTCGTTCCGTTTTGAAAATCACACCAACCGTTTGCAAGCTTTGAAGAGATCAGCGAGGGCCAAGAAATAATAGATGAGAGCATACTCTAGTTGAACCAGGTCATGTAACTCGTAATTTCCCACAATGTTAGTTCCAGAACCGACTTCAGCTGCTTCACGAAGATCTTTCGAAAAGACAGAAACCTGTTTATGAGACGAAATAAGATTCTGAGGGAGTATCGTTACAGAGCGAGATACGTACCTCCTGCATTGACATATCTGACAGGAAAGTGACCACATTGTCGGATACGGAGACTACGAGACCAGTCTCATCGGCATTTTGACCAGCCATGACTTTGACGTGGTCTCCAGGCTTAAACCGCTTTCGAACACTCCGTGCGGGAAGATCGATCTTTTGGCCATCAATATCCACGCCCACCGCGGTTATGGTTACGACTTCCTGGTTGATTGAATCGACAACACCATGTACTCCAGCCTGTTCACCCTCGAAGACCTCCACGTGATCTCCAGGCTGTAGCACGGAAATAGCAGCCTTCCGAGAAGCCTCTGCAATAATTGACAAATCCACAGGGTTTTCATTCTCTGCGCCGTCTTGACCTCTGGTAAACCGTGTAATCTCGTCCAAAGTGGGGTTCACGTTTTCAAGTACAAGTGCACTCAGCTTGAAGTCTTTCTCGATGAAGCCGTCTTTATAGGTATCATTTTGAAAGACGTAAACCTGATTACGCTTCGAAACTTGTTTCCGGCCATATACCTTCACCACCTCTTCATAATTGAAGAAACGCTGAGGTGGACGCATCGTCGTAGGGCCCGTACCGATTTTTTTGCGTTTGCGGCCATCCAAACTTGCCTCATCCTTTGGATTAAGGTCAATGCGTGGAATAAACTTCAGGCCAACATCTTCGCCGTTTTCTGTAATGTCCATCACTTGTGCAAGATCCCCTTGATATTTCCCACGTTTGATGCGCACCCAACTGCCTGGTGTAACAGTCAAGTCTTGTTTCTTGATTTGAAGCAGACTGGCCATCTCCTCAATTGGAACCAGTGTGATACCACGACTTGGGTAAATGCCTACGAGCCCTTTGCAAGCCTGATTTACCTGCTGGGAACTGCGAGACTCGACGTAGATCATGCCGGGTAGTGAATCACGCTGGAAAGCGGATAGAACCTGAAGAGGCTGAGCAGTGTATTCGAGGTCAATGGCCTTTCTCATCAGACTGAAAACAATATCACGTTCACGGCCAGGCTAAGTTTTCATTAGATGTCAGCCAGGATATAGACACGGAAACCACTCACCTTAACTCTGACTTGCCAGAGGTTTGCATCGTGAACCGACGGCATCAAAAGCCGTTGGGGGACTTCATTCATATCACCTGTGTAGCGGACAGCGGCTCGCCCGTACCGCTCGTGAAGATTCTGTGCAATTTTGGCCAAATCTTGGTCGTCTAGTTCTCGTTCTCGTCTGTCAAGGCGTGCATTCACAGCTGCTCTCCGGTTCACATCATCTTCGTCTCCTTCGATGCCAGCGTCGGCGATGAACTCGTCTACAAAGGGAAATAAGCTATCTGTCAAAAGTAGAACAGCACGCTTTTACCTCGCCCATACTCTTCCTCGTCTTCGTCCTCATCCTCGTCTTCGTCTACCTCGGCTTCTACATCAAGGAAACGGTTGACTGCAGGGCGTTTGTGGCGATGCTGGAGGAATTATCAGAATGGAATGAGATTAGCCCTGAACCGCAAAATATCTTACCTTTGCTCTTTTTCTCTCCCGTTCTCTCCCTGTGCCATCATCGTCATCGTCATCGTCTTCCTCATCGTCCTCCTCTTCCTCTTCATCATTTACATCTCCTTCTTCGTCCTCTTCATCGTCAAAATGGGCAACTGGGACAGCCTTGCGTGGTTGCTGCTCTGGTTGGTCCTCTTCGTTGTCGTCAACGTCCGGGTCGAAAGGTTCCGAGTCCACTTGTTGCATAAAATAATCGTCTTCTACGCCAGACATGATGGTAAGGGCACGAATAGAACTGATGATTTTACGAGTTGTTCAAGGTCGAAGAGAGCGTTTAGTGTGTATGCCATCGCCACTCGCTGACTCAGCAAAGGATAACCTCGCATAATAATATAATATTTCTTCTCCCTTCGGCCCACGCCGAGTCCAAAAACGGCCAGAACCGGAATGGGCAGGTCTCCGCCACTCCCCATCGCGGACTCGGAGGAACATTTATTTATCCTTTTCACTAACTAAGTATGCAAGTCTTTAGTTTCGCCCGTGTATTACCAGCGTTACAACTTGAGACGACTTGGCTCACTCATGCCCGACTTCATCGACTTGCCGTTAGAGTTCCTCCCACTTATATTCGAGAATATCGCAAAGCCTCAGCATCTTTCTGCTTGCTCTTTAGTGAACAGAGCTTTCAATACCTTCGCAACACCAAGGCTTTACGAGCGCATATTTATCTTTGCATGGCATAAGGGAGCGAAACTGAAGGTAATGTTATCATTCTTTCATACCTTTGTGTTATTCAATATGATCACTGAATCTCTATATGGTAAGGTCGTACTCCTATTCGACACGCTTACCACGTCTCCTCACCTTGCTAGGCACGTTCGAAAACTTGGAAAGTCCTTCACTCACTGCCCTCTCACCGTTCCGCTCATCTCACCTCCAGACATCCGTGATTTCCCAAAAGGCCTCACATTACCCATTTATCGTGACCTGCACGACCTTTGTCCCCGAGGTCTCACGAACTGCGTTAACCTCAAGTCGTGCACCTGGACACGGGATGGTTCCCTCAATTCAGCCATTCTAGAAGCTCTCCTGCGGTGTTCCCAGCTGGAAGAGCTAGAAATCAATGGCAACGACAGTCCATCCTACAGTACTGCCATTTTGCCACAATTTTCTAACTTGCGCAAGATCTCCTTGATCATGCCAAGCATAAGCGTGCTCGACATCCTTCCTTCCTGGCTCTCCGTCACAAATGAAACCCTTCGCAACCTAACGCTCATTTGCAAGGTGAGGATAGAGAGATGTCAAGTTCGGGATTCAAAGTCTAAACTCTCCTGAACCAGGCCTCTTCCCTCATTACAGACACTATGTTGGAATCCATCGCACCTAGCCTACACCATCTAGAGCATTTCCACATCACTGGATGTCCCAAGGTAACCCAGCGCGGTATACTGGCTGTCTTGTCCTCCAACGACCACGGGCTACTAAGCCTGGGTTTAGAAGGTTTATCTCAGGCATTCGTACGTTCCCTACACCTTCTTCAGACGACATCTTCTAAGCACACACATATTCACTCCAGGACATGACTTCATTTAGCCGCGAATGCCCTCACCTAGGCTCTTTGAATCGACTAAGGACCATCACTTTAACCGTCCAGCAAACCCCTCTACAGCCATGGATGCAAGGCGTCGTCAACCTCTTATCCACTTCACCCCTCGAAAGCTTCCAGGTCTACTCAACAGCCCCTTTCCCCGGAGCTTCGCTGGACGATGAATTCTGTAACGACATCGTCACCTCGCACGGTGCACGTCTCACGCGGTTCTCAGTGCACAGAATATACATCGGAATGAGTGCAGTGCGAGATATCTGCTCTAGATGTCCTCAGCTCGAACAACTCTTCATCGTCGCCGACCGTACCGAATACGTTCGTCCATTTTTTTTCTTCTTCCTCCCCCGCATACTCAGCTGATACGTACACATGTTGCTTTTTCTAGGATGAGCTCCGTGAGTGCTTAGCCCTAGCGCCTAAACTCCGAAGCGTGCATGTGCACACCAACAGTGTGCGAGGCATGCTGCAGTCTCTAGAAATCTCAGATGCCCTTTCCCTCGTTCGGCAATGCCCTTGGAGTGTCACTCAGATCGGCATCAACAACAGAGTTTTTCAGGTGAGCTGTCCAATCCCCCCTTTTAAAAAATAACAAACGTGTATCAGACGTTAACGCTCGAGTCAGGTTCGGAGGGAACTGCGCATCAACGATGACGACGAGGAATATATTGAGCCACGCCTGACGCCTATGGAAAACCCCGATGTTCCCGAGCCCTTCCTCGTCGTACGTACCTAAATATGAACAGCACGCTGTACAATACTGCGTAAACCGCTTATCATTGTTATCATTGTTATCGTTGTCGTTCCTATTCTGCTTTGGTATATAGTATATAGTCGCCTTTTCCCACTACATGCATACGAAATCCAGATCAAATTTATCCTTCACCTTATTCTTCAATACATATGGCACTCTCGATATCTTTTTCCACGTCAAAGTAAGTTAAATCCAAAAATAACAGAAAATTTTATTTAATAGACGATAAGAGATATAAATGTGTTTGATATAATGCTACAATGCTTTCGAACCACAGAAGTGAAAAGTGAGCAAGCTTGAAGAAATGATGTACAAATAAATGAGTACATGTTAAAGTAGTAGTAGTAAAGTATAATCTCCATCGTAAAAACAACCCCTGCGGATAAGCCACAAGCCTGTCGAAAAGGAAAACGGTCAAAGCCTGAAAAGGTGCAAAAAGTGCAAACGTCTCAAAGTCATCGCGGATAAGCCTATCAAAAAGTTTTAAAAAATCATCAAAGTCTCATCATCAAAGCCCCATCTCATCCTGAATCCAATCCAAATAATCCATCGCACCCGTCCTAAAATCATCTCGCGTCACATTGAGCACATTCGGGTCCCAGAACGACAACACCTTCCCAGCCGACCCAAACTCAGGACGATACCTCGGCCATGTGATACCCGACAGCACACTCGTCGCTGCCCCTTTTGCCTGTCCTCCGGCTGGGACGTTGGGGTCGAGGTGGTACGCAAAATTGACTGTGTTTCATGCATTATGTGTTAGTGACCAGAATAATTGAAGGATGAGCAGGGGCTTACCGAGTGCGTCGACCCCCACAAAATCAGACGAATTCGTCAACTTATAATACTCTCCCAAGTCACTTTCATGGAACGACCCTATCCCAGGGACATACTTGTACCGCTTCCAGACTACACACAAAAATCACCAAACACACATCAGCACAAAGACAAGAACTGACAGCTCGTACATATAAACGACTGACTGTAGCTCCATACATTCTGCGTCTTGGAAAGGTGGCTCAGCGTATAACGACGCGGAACCTGGAAATAGAAATCGCCCTGGAAGGCCGCTATGCGTTTGTATTGAGGACTGAAGGGACAACAAAAAAAGTCTGAGTAGTGTTGAAACAGCGAAATATTCGATGTAGCTTACCCTAGTGTGTCATTCGAGCCTGTCTGGAAAGGAGAGCCCTGATACGAATTTGTTAGTCGATCGACTTTCTTTGAAGGAAATATAAGATCATTACCTCGGCAGGATCTGCAGGGTAGAACCATCCAACTAGATCGATTTGATACTGCTCCGCACCGGCTAGAAAACTATACATAGCAAGAGAGTAAGCAAGTTAACGCTCGCAAAGTGGAAAAACGAATCCTACGTGGACGACAAGTAATCCAAAAAATCCTGGTCCGTGCTGTACGAATTTTGTCAACCATGCTGACCCTTCACCTTGACTAAAAGTGAACTCACGTTACATTGAAACTGTACAAAGAGAAGAGTCTTCAAACACATGCATGAGTATCTACAAAGTGCACCGGATAATTCATAAACACTCACGTGCCCTCGTCATCCACATCGCTAGCAATCACAGGTACCTATCGACATATATTTCCATTAAAATCGCCCCAGACCATCTTCATTATTCGTCAAACTCACCCTAGCATACGTCCCAGCTGCAAGCGATTGCCGAATAGATCTCTTCAAAATCACACCGTCCACCATCGGGTGCCAAGACGTATCCAAGCTCTGATACGAAAGCAGCGGTGCGGTCGCTAAAACTCCATCCAGGATAGCCTCATAGGGCGCAGCGCGAAGACATCCCAGTGTATCTTCCGCGGAAGTACAGTTGGCTGCGGCAACGATAATATCATAATTAGTCTGTCCGTAGGAGATATCCCCAATAGGCGTAGCAGTTCCTGATTCCTGTGTCGTCGACGTCATAAGTCCGAAGCAGACCAGATATGAAGTGAGCGCCACATACCATAACAGCACCGGCGAACAAACCATCAAGTTGTCCATCGAATGCTACCATCTGTGCCAGTGCAGATATAGACCCAGAACTCTGTCCCCAACTACGAGATATAGGATAACTGCATTACGATGATGACCAAAGAGGATAGAGACCGAAAGTACTGACACAATGACTTTGGAGGGGTCGCCGCCGAATCTTGCAACATACTTTTGAATCCATTCTAACGCCAAACGTTCTACGGAGACATGTCATGTTCCCACTTGAACAAAAGTCAAACTGACATTTAAGAGGAACGTACGATCATAGAGTCCGATATTACCGACGCCAGCAGCCTTCACCTCCTTTCCCGCAAGAAAGCCAAAAGCTATGGGGATAAGCGGGATCAATATAGATAGATAAGCACAGTATGTGTATCTACGAACGCACCATTCATGCGATAGTTGAGGGATACTTGGATAACTGGCGTTTTGAGATCTAGTGACCGGCCTACGATATCTGTTCCATTGGTCGAGGATGAATCACCACTTTCAAATGCTCCTAAAAAAAGTTTCGAAAAACTGTAAGCAACATACTGAATACGCAAAGATTGTCCACATCAGGCTTACCTCCATATAACCACTTTTAAAGTTAACCCGATTAGGTGTGCTTGGCAGAGAGGACAAAAAATTGTACGACATACCACAATGACAGGGAGGTTTGAATCTTGGGTTACCCCAGCTGGGCGAACGACGTTGATGAATAAACCTGATTTTTTTAAAAAAACAATAAGCACCATCAAACATATCCATTTGGCCTTGCACTCAACAGTCTTCCGATGCATTAACTCTGGGTTGAGGTTGGAATTCCCCGAGATACAACTCGACCCCACTAAGCCCTGGGTTATCTGGGAGACTAGAGTTGGGTCCCAAATACGGCTGCTGAGGGCAAGAATTGCCGAACGCAGTGGCTTGTTTTGTGCCATTAAAAGGAAGAGGATGGATGGGATGGTTGAAGCGAAGATTGCCAATGCTTGAGGATGCAAGATAAGTTAAACAATAGCTGAGGGCAGAAAGTACACAATGAATACGTACGGTGGTTGAGCATATGGCATCCCCAAGAAAGATTCTGTACCAGGTACCGAACTAAAACCCTGGAAAGACCCATAATCGAGAGTAACAGTCGGAGGAGTAGGAGAGGTAAGATTGGCTGCCCAAATGGACGTAGCAAACGCTATCAGAGACAAAGCAGAAAGGGCCATTGATAGCGGTGATGGCAAACTGGTCAGAAGAGATCCAGGAAGAGATCGAGAGTTGTATTTATTCGCCCCCCTAAGCGTGGTGGGGCATTACGGCTGGGCCGAGAATAGCCTAGTTTGCACAGGGCAATATTTTGATATTTCGAGAATCCTTGGAACGTTCTTTGGAAACATTTTGAGCATGCTGCGATGCGCGGTTTTCACACAACTAACCGTTTGTCCGGAGTGTCAATGTCTTGCTCGCCAAAAGACTTTGCTTTGCGCGTCCTTGTGGTTGGCTGCTTCTGTCATACCGTATGGAGAAGAATCTATTGGCGCTGGAACCTTTACTCCATTGGCTCGTATGTTGTCATTTGGGAAAAGGATTTCCAGAATGTAATACCACAAAAGGTGAACTCAACCAAGCTCGTACCTCAGCAAGCGAAAGTGAGAAGCTACGTGACGGACGCCCAACGCCACACCTGACCCACGTCATTTCTTCAGAAGTGACCCGGCGGCCTGTATCCGCATCACGTGCACAAATTGGGAATGAGAGTGAGAAACGTGCGAGGTAAAATTACAGTGCAAGGAGACTACAGTACACTCTACAACTACTTATACAATTAGATTGTCCAAACACAATAACATATGCTCGACACCAACAAATTACTCCGCCTCCTCCATCTCAGCGAGAGCAGCTTCGTTAATAGCCTCCGCCTCCTCCATCATCTTCTCCTCCATCAACGCCACTCGCTCCTGCACTTCTCGTCTCTCCCGCAGCAGTTCCGCGTGTCGATCCTGCAGCCCGTTCTCCTTCTGCTCCAGCTTCGCAACCTCCTCCTTCAGAGCATTCACCCTACGAGGCCCAGCAACCGACTCGATCGAACTCAGTCGCAAGTAACTTTTGTGCTCAATGTCCGCCTTGGTGTACCCATTAAAGGCCTCCGTGATTCGTTGGATCAGCGCTTTCGACCGCGCTTCATACCCTCCCAGTACGATCCCAAGCTTCTTTTCTACTTTAGCCGCCTTGTTCCCTTCCTTCGTCACCTGGTCCCGCAGGTCGTTAAACACAGCGCGATATCCAGCAATACGTTGCTCGTCCGATAGCTCAGAAGGCTCCACCCACGTCTGAGAATCAACGTCAAACACAAGCTGTTGACGCGTATGGTCCCACGACAACGACTCGTCGACTTTTTCCGACTTCGACAACGAAGCCAGGCCCTCCTTCACCTGTATCTCACTAGCATTTGGGAACCCTAACGAAGTTGCCAATTCTAGTTGTATTTGAACTTTGGCGGACGCGATATCTTCGTCAGATGGTATTGAATACGATGATACCGTTCCACCGGGAAGCGACGTGCCAGGAATAGGGTAAGTGATCGCGTCATGTTGTAGTAGGCTAGCAAGTTCGGCGTTCACAAGTTTTCGAGCCTCGTCCAGTCCATCCCCTTCACCGAGGTTAAGATTTTCTAGCAAGCTCTCCAAATTCACATTTGCAGGCCTAGGAAGGCCCTGCTGGACAGTTTGTGATCGCCGTGCCAAAGCTCTCCGCTCTTCTTCTGCCCGCAGCCGTTTTAGTCTTGCATCCCGCTCAGCAGCATCCTCCTCAACAGCATCTTGAATTGCAACATCCTCCTCTTCATCTTCGGGCACAAGCAGTTCGAAATTATTTTCAGGCTTGGGCAGATTCATAAAACCGGCCTTCAGGCTGCTCTTCGCATGATTATTGCGAAGACGTTGATCAAGCGGCGTTTGGACAACGGTGGCGATCCCAGTTTCGGGATTTATACTGAGATTGTCTCTCATGGGAGTCCGTAGAGGAGTAGCGCTGACCACAGACTTATCGTCCGAGTCTTCAGATCCACCATGCATAGGAGTTGCGAGGGGGTTGGGGGTAAATGCGACCTGATGACGGGGGGTAGCTCCTTCAAAGCCTGTACCACCACTGGGGCCCTCATGAAGAGGCGTGTTCTCGTCACCAAGCAGCGGAGTTTGAGCCATGATCATGTTTCGCAAATTTCGTGCCTCCGACAGAACATTGTCCTCTGCAATAAACGAATTAGCCATCATTCGTTTCACCATGATAAAAGTTACTTACGTTGAGGTGCAGTGCGAGGCGTTCTTGCCATACGTGCGCTTTCGAGACCCTCGTAATCACTCAAAAGCTTACCGGTGGCTTCATTACCGCCGCTAACCAAAGCCTTGGCGCTCTCGCCTGCCTGACCAATTTTGACGATCTCCTCCAACTCCAGTTCACCAACCTGAGCGCCAGGCAATACCAGCTTCCGCCGGCGGCCGATAGCTTCAGCTTCTTTTAGCCGTTGAATCTGAGCATCACGAGCGGCAATAAACTTCGTCTGATGGCCAGACCCTTCAGCTCCCTCCTTACTAGCGCTAGCCTTTCGCTGACGCTTCTTCCGCTCGGCTTCCTCCTCCTCTGGCTTTCGCTTATTCTCAAGCCGACGAAGAGACTGACCCACAGGTGCGCTAGCTACCCGTGCCTGCTCTTCAGAAGTATCATAAAATCCAGCCGCTGGCCTTTTTTCGAACGGTATGTCTGCGTTATACTGCAGGCGCGTTCGTTGTCAGCAAACAGAAGTCATTCGAGACATTAGATTACTCACGTCCATGCCCTTCTTTTTCGATTTATGGCGCATGCTGCCAAATCAATACGTTTAAAAAGCGCACTATTAGTAAAAGCACAATGCACATACATGATACCGGCGGCCTTCAGCTCCCTCTTCTTTTGGAGGACGGCCAACCTTCTAGCTTCTTCAAGCTGACGTTCACGGGCTTTTCGCTTAGCTTTTTTGCCCTGAGTGTTGGCTAAACGTGCACGAGCTTCTGACAACATTTCCTTCTCTGTTGAAAGGATGATCAGGCACTAATTAATCTTATTGAAGAAAAGAGGGTCTTACCGTCTTCATCCATATCAATAGGATCTGGACGAGCCGGCTTCGTTTCTGGATCTGGATCTATCTCACCCGGTCTAAGGCGCCGTATATCATCTGCGCTAGGACCCGCTTCAGCACCGCCTGGTCCGGCTAGACCGAGCTCTTCATTTTCTTTGGCCTCAGCCTCATCTAGTAGCTTCTGATAACGTTCTAGGCACTGAGTCGCTGTACGTCCAACAATTGGAGCTACTGTCCTCCATTGCGTAGGCATCAGCTTTGCCATATGTAAAAGTTTTTCATCCTCAGTCTGTCAGACTGTGTTTAGAAGGGGGAAGAAAAAATAACGCGGGAGAAAGATGGCCGCACCTTTGACCACTCCGTTTTCTTTATTGAAGGGTCTAGCCATTCGTACCACCGTGCTTTACATTGCTTAGGTGTCTTTCTTACTAGGAGTGATGATATCCGTGCCCTGTACGACACGACAACGATGAGTAAATCCACGAGCCAAGACGTAGGAGCACACAGCATACCATTGATTTTTGCCATACTTGGCGATGGCAGCTTTAAGCACCTCATCTTCGGTGTTCTGAATGACGAATTACATGGTTAACAAAAAAAAAAAAAAAAAAAAAATTCAAAAGACGATGTCGTTACCTTCCAGACACCTGAGGACCGTAAAAGCTTGTCAGTACACGTAAAATAGTAGTGCAGTGGACGTCCTGACCTCCTTTAATGATTATGCGAACCATGAAGTATTGATATGGGTGGGTATCACGGGGGAACGCAAGAAGACGGGAAAGAAAAAAGAGGGAAGGAAAGAGGGAAAAGGAAAGAACAATGGGGTGACCTGGTCACGAAAATGTGACTTTTAAATGGTGAATTACCTAAGCTAGGTTAGCCGAGTTCGAGATTACGGTTTGAAAGCTAAGTGGAGCGAGGCAGAGCTTAGAAAGAACCCCAATGCCACCATTGACAGCCTAAGGAATAGTACATCTACGTACTCGATTGAATATTGGGAACGGACAAGTTGTCAAATATTCCTGTTATCTGCCACGGCCAATAGTTGTTCGATAATATTTCGCACCTGCCTGGAGGACAAGCGAACAGGCATTTTGGCAGGCGATTTAACGCTCAACTTCTCCATCGTGCAATGTGCCAGTGAGTCCATAAACGAGTCCTCAAATACTGTAAATACCGGAACTTTCAACGCACAGTATCACAAGGTTCTTAATTCCTCTGACTTCAAGCTGAAATCTGCGTGTACTTGTTCTGATTCGGCACCTATGGATCACACTCGCAGAGCCGCCCTTTCCTTCGTAAATCATCCCATACCTTTTGAATCCGGTCAGTTCGCAGGTCAGACCGTCCGCGCAGAGTTGGTTGAAGTGCAGAAAGCGGACCTGGGCAGAAAGTAAATGTGTCATGTTATCTCCCCTTTTGATTCTCTGACCTCATTCGGGGCAAGATATGCAAGAGTAGATCGCCGGCCCCTTGACCCCCCACCAGTCGTTCTCCTTCGCTTGTACTACGTACATGGCTTTGGCACCGATAAAGAAATTGAGGAGGAAATTGAGGATTATGAGTGAGGTCTCACTCGCCACATTATGCAAAGCAGTTCCACTCACTGTGATGGGCTCTCAGTGACGTGCAGAGTTTGGGTCTTCTATGTAACGTTGATCTATTTCCAGTTCCAAGTGAAATCCCACCAAACGAAAAACACCCAAATAGTTCCTTATCTCCTCCACCGCCTTATCCTGTATCGTCAATACCATCCCACCCCGAACTGTCTACCTCAACCTTCTCGTCATATATCTCGCCTTTCTCTTCTGAAATCATTCGACCTTCCTTGTCTATACCTTCTGGTCCCCGTGTATTTATACCCAATGGCAACCACCACACACCATCCCGCCATAGCCCAGATGTCATCGCTCACTATGGAACTTACCCAGTGGCCGAAAGTTTAAAATGTACCAGCTCCCTCGTCGGCGCTACCTTTGTCCAACCCGTCTACGTGGATCACAGTGGGAGGAGGTCTCTTATGTTTGTTTTTGCTGTTGGTTATACCTTGTCTTCCTTTGCAAATAACTGATTAACGTTTTGGCATCGAAGGACCTAGCTGTTAAAATCGAGGGCTTTTTCGTCTTGCGATATCGCGTTTTTGATATATTCTCAAAGACGTACGGCAACGGTGACCTTCCAATACAGGCCGAATGCTTCGGGGGAGCTTTTAAGGTTTACTCCACGAAAGAGTTCCCTGGATTACGAGCATCTACTAAACTTACCAAGGTGCGCTGATCACTACCGACATCCAGCCCCGTACTAAGGATTTCTCGCAGCAACTAGCCAGAGGCGGAGTCCGGTTGAATATCCGCGAGACAGAACGTAGGCGGAGAAAGGTCAACAAGAAGCTAAGCACTAGCCTCAATCCGTGTCCTGCGGTGGACAAGGAAATAGACGATGGATCTGCAGCTGATAACTCGAGGAGTGATAACGAATGGAGTCAATCTCAGGGCGAATCTCAAACCATGACTTTTCGATGAAAAAAAAATTATATACAAACCGTCGATTATACTCACTTCACAAGTTAAAAGCTAGTAGGACGTTCGGTGAGGTCTACATTGCCTTTTTGTTTTGATATGGGGAGCTACAAGCTTGTCTTTTCATTTCTGGTCATAAGGGCTGACATTCATCTAGTCGTTTTGTTTATCACGTTCGCTGGTTATGGAGCAATTTCTCTTTTCTTGGATAGCTATCACCTTGTATTATTCACAAGTACCATATGTCAACCTTTGTAGAGTGCAAGGGAATAGTAGGAACCTATACCAACCAAGTGTTTGGATTATTTAATTTGTGACAAGTTCGAATCTGGGGGCGCTAATGTCTTTTTTTTTGTGTGCATTTCTCTTTAATCGGTATTAGAGTATTATATGCTATTTAACCAAAGTTGCGAGGAGAAGCAGAGTTGAAATTAATGGTAACATTTTGATGTATGGTAATGAAGAGACCACTGAACATTAGATCCGAACGATATTTCCCTTCGGTATCTTGATAAACGCATTTGACAACGCCTTAGATGGGTCCATTGCAGCTGGGACATAAGAACGCGGGCAGGGGCTTGCCATTGGTGAGCGGAATAGCTTGCGTCACGTCCACTTGGTCCCTCCAGTCCTCGGGTATAGTCTTATCATCGCTATAAACGTCATAAATCCTGCGACGAGCTGCAATGACAGCTGCAACATTGCCAACCACGCCACCAGCCTCGGTTCCCTTCACGATTGGCTGCTCTGCGGCCCTGACGAGGTCCTCTGGAAGGCCCAGAAGCGATGCAGGCTCGATAAAGTCCCAATCAGGGAAAAATTTCCGTCTCTTTCGGGGACGTTGCTGGGATATGTGGTCCTTGTAAGAAAATTTCCTGTCGTGGTCGGGGTATGCCTCAACGAGGCGAAGCCTCCTGTCGGACAAGTCTTGATCCCAATAACCACCATTGACAAGACAGGATTGGTGATATCCAGCGCGACAACTCTTACGAGCACAAAAGTGGATCACTGGATCGGTATCTGGATTGAAAGGAGTTGCGCAAAGACATAAATGCGCCCTTCGCTATAATTATAATAAAATAGATCACTAATTGTTTAGGAAAGTAAGTGTTGACATACGGTTACTCTCTTGGCGCGATACTCAAAATCGCAGCGACTGAAGAATTCATTTTCACCGATGGGTCCTTGTTCGGCAAGGCACTCATCCAGCGTTTTTACCTTAGTTAACCCTACAATTGCTATAAAGCCAGAATTACGCGTAGAAAAGTGGTGCTCACCGCTAAAGCAGGACGTAGACACATAATCATAAGTATCAGAGAATATTCTCTCGTATCTACTGCAGTGTGATGAGTCACTTATGGTATGTGAGTGACATGGCCAGCGCGTGTTAAAGGAAAACAGATAGCCCACAATGATTTTATCACTCTAGCCACATCTTCCCCATCCCAATACCATTGAACGCGTGCCCATACCTAAGAAGAGATAAGGTTACTTATCAAGTCGACTAATAAATTAAAAAATTCGAACGTCTTCCGAGTCTGCAGATCGGGCCCGGATGTCCCTAATCACGCCTATCCAGTATTGATCATCTGTTATATCATCAGTAGGCTCCACACCGTGAGGGAGGATAAGAGCCCTAATATACGCCTTTGATTAACCCATAATATCCACGAATTAGAACCCTGAAGCATGATCCGCTCACGTATCATTTACCCTGAATTCGATTTCTTCCGAGTTCGACTCAACTGTAGGAAGGTTTCAGGATATAATACCATGACCTAGAAATAAAGACTTACTGACGAAGCTGGCAAAATGCCTCCAGGCAACCCACTCTGTGTGGCTTGGAGCTCCTTCTGGACTTTTGGGATGTTTGGGCTTTTTCTTCACAGTTAGACGTTTCTTTGTCCGACGCGCCATAGCAAAATGTTGAAAAAAGAAGAGTGCAGACCAGAGAGATCCGAGGTACTGAGATGGTGCGTTATATTTGCGATGATAGGGTATACTGAGGTGGCACTTGAATGTACAGGGCTGTCTTGTGTTTTGCGACTCATATATCTGTCAACGTACTTATATGACCTGAATTAGGTAAGTGACCTTTGATTCCGCGGCGTGGCTTAAGCGCCCAGCTAGGCCTGACTACACGCAACATCCTTACTGCACTTGCCTTCCACCAAAGTTGGAACCATCGATAAAGTGACCAATGTTTTTTTACTTGACTTCACGTATAATCAGGTTTGTGCTCTTTGTGCTCGTCACAAAGCATACTCAATCATCTTACATATCCTCCTTTATCTAGCTCAGTGGCTGCTTTTCTTTATCCTGGCTACGCGTCCTACAAAACCCTTTCACAACGACCAGCGTCAGAAGAAGACATCGAGCGATGGCTGATGTACTGGTCAGTCCTTGGGTGCATTGTTGGCGTTGAGTACGTTGCTGAGTGGCTGGTATCATGGTTTGTCTGCTATTTGACCGTGTCTTGATAGCTCGCTAACCCAGCCTAATGTTTGCTTCGACTTCTTCCATGCACAGGGTTCCTTTTTATTATCCAATGAAGACCATATTTCTTCTCTACCTCGCTCTTCCGCAGACCCGTGGTTCGTCCTATATCTACGTCAACCACCTTCAGCCCTTCTTCCACTCGCATGAGTCGCAAATCGATGCGACGCTTGCTTCCTTCAAAGCCCGCGTCTACAGCTTCGTTCAGGAACGTTTCCGTGCTATTTGGGATCACGTCGCAGCAGCCATCGGCCAGCAGCAAGCAGCGAGTTTTACCCCCTCTGGTGGAGAAACCAGAACCGGCGCACCTCCCTCTTTGGGCGACCCTATTTCCGGACCCTCGCAACTAGTGTCAGGTCTTTGGCGGTCATATGGTCCAAGCATTGTCGCTTCTGGCGCTGCGTTAATGCGTCAAAGTACTGCTGCAGCAGGGAGTATGGCTGCGGATCGCGCATGGCAGTCGTTTACAAACTCACCCGCGGGCCGTCCAGCCGCACCCCCTCGCGAAGTCTCCTCGCAGTCCGCGCATGACAGGCGACGCCAACTAGAGGCTGAGCTCGCCTTTCTGTCGGAGCGAGACACCACAGCCGGTACCAGTGCTGTCGCTGTCCCACCATTGCCCATCCCTCCTCCGTCTGGGTCGTATCAGGCGTCGAGGACGTCGTCAGAGTCAGACTTGCGTGAGCGTGGTACGGGCAAATTTGAGGAGATTGATATCCCGAGCGACGTGGAGGGATACGATGTCGATGGAAATACGACTGACCGGGGCCGTAAGGTGAGGCCTGGAGCAAAGAAGAATCCCAGCTGGTTCGGAGGCTGGGGTGGCTCCGGAACAGAGAAAGAAGGCTACGAGAGGGTCAAAACGGAGTAGAGAATTCGTGTTTGGCATCAGGACTTATTGACGGAACTGAGTGATGCGGTAAAGTAGTTTGACAGCAAGTATATAGGTTTATATTGTATTTCGATAGATTATTACTGCTTTTTCACGGATGTAAGTATGGTATGGGAGTGCAGTGGCGTGTGTATCTGCCCAATGGTAGAAGCGATCCCAATCAGGCTACAGGATGTTTAAAAATGGGTGACAGTATGTAACTTGCATGACTAAATGTGCCCAGGGAGAGGGAACATTAAGGATGCCAGCACGTTTCTTTTTCTCTTCTTTTTTGACACTGCATATATATATCCACCTGCACGACCGCGGTATCATCGCCCTCCTTTTCATCCTCTAGCTACCTTCCTTTGATCACCACATGCCACAGGCTTCTCGTAGCAATGCTCGCCATGAGAGCAAGGACGCCCAAAAGGCTATCGAAAAGGAGCAGAAGCGAAGCCGCGGTGCGATGTCTTGTGCAGAGTGCAGGAGGTAAGTAATCCCAACGGTCAGCTGTATGCGCATATATATCATCATCAATCACGCCTTTAGATTGAAACTGAAGTGCGACAAGACCGTACCGTGTTCCTCGTGTAAGCGCAGAGGATGTTCTGCAATTTGTCCCAACGGTGTGTAATGCTCGTGTAATAGTCTCGTAACACCTTGATATTGATGTGTGTATGCTAGGGAGTCTTATCACGGGGCAAGGCACTCGGTGCGTACTAGTCCTTCAAATACAACTTACGTCGTACTGACTGTTTTCCGTCGCGTCTAAGCTTCGTTCTCGCTGACACTGAGAAATTGCACCAAAAGATTGCACAAATGAGCGATCGTATTCGCCAACTCGAAGATGCCCTTACAATCATGCAGTCCAGTACTACTAACGAGCCTCACCCTCTTCTTCATAGGGAACTCCTCGGAATAAAATCCATCATAGATTTGCATGCTGCAGTTGATGAGATTCAAGCTAGCAGAGAAAGCCAGGAAGCTGACGTTAATTCGCAATATATCGATGCTTTCGGCACACTTGCTATTCGTGATGATGGTGCAGCTACCTTCTACGGCCCTTCAGCCGGTTCAGAAGTAAGTGCTTTGCATGCATTGCAGTTTCGTGATTCTCATTTAATAATTACGTCTCCAAAAGAGTCTCCTCATTGTAAGTGATTGGCATATCGAAGCGATCGCGCGATCATAATCACTGATTTCCGAAGGGCGAGAACTCTGATTCAAATCAAGTACCGGGCCGACGTACGATCCCATCTCAAAGGTTTTCCCCCAAGCAAGAGCTACCGACTAATGTGAAGCGTTTGACCACCGCCTTCCCACTCTCGCCAACTGTCGGCACAGATACTACCGTCGACCTTCTTTATCTCATCGAACATCATCTCCCTGCCTGGCCTCATGCACATCGTTTGTGTAAACTGTATCTGGAGCAGGCGCCATGGTTTTTCGGAGCTGTCACAAAACGCGAACTTGTCGAGGAGACGTTACCACTGTGGTATACTGAGGCATCAGACTTAATACCCCTTGGTTCTGTTGCCCCTCAACAACGTAGTGCTGATAGTGTAGATGACAACTCTTCTGAAAATTTGGCAAAGGGTCCCCACGAACTCGCACTGATGTTCATGATTCTCTGCTTTGGCGCCTTGACGGACATCGACCTCCCTGCTGCACCAGACAACTCGGAGGCAGATATGTATTTCCAATTGACAAGGGCTGCGTTAAATTTGGAACCGATATTAGAACGCCCACCATCTATTGCCACGGTGCAAACATTGTCGTTGATGGCGATATATCAAGGTATATGTAGTGGTGAACATAGTATTGAAAGTACTTGGGCAACCTTTGGCCTCGCAACGAAATTAGCCCAAAGTGTGAGTTTATATTCTATCTATTTCAATATGATGATTTATGAGGCATTTGTTAACAGCTTGGCCTTCGTGAGTACAACGATACGTATATATGTTTAAGTTCAAACTGAACATCGATATTTATAGATCGAGATTGTGCGCGGTGGAAACTGTCTCCGGCTGAAGTACAAAAAAGACGCGCTCTATTCTGGGAACTATTTATCACGGATTGCTGGCAAGTCAGTACTCCTTCCGCGCTCATTACCATGAACCGCTCTGACCGATGTGTATAGAGTCTAGCGACCGGCAGGCTTGCTTCCTTCTCTTTGCCTTACGTAGACTGCGAGTTGCCATCTGATCCAGACGAGAAGCTTGATGAACATGGCGCTATTATCCCTAGCTGTAGGCTACTTCTTTTATATCTCCAAACCATGGCTGTAACGTCTAATCAATTCTGTAGTTCCTTCATGGAAGGCACGCTTTGGATACGAGTGTGTTTCTGCTGTTGTGAAAAACACTTTAACAGCCAAAGTACCCAAGTACTCTGTTATCGTGGAGCTCGATCGAAAAATCCGTGACATGGCGCTACCTAAGTACGCTCAAGGCGTACCTCCGACGGGTGCTGGGTTGGCAGACACGATGTCCCATTTTATGCCGATAAACTATAGACATTTGAGTAAGTGCGGATATGAATACATGATGTTAGTGTATTTAACATTGCTGATCTACTTCCTTGTCTTATAGCACTCCTATATGTCCATCGCTGCTTTTTTGCTGAAGCTGTGAGCAGCAGTCCTACGGACCCGATGAAGAGCCAATATGCACCATCGTTCCTTGCGGGTTATCGTAGTGCGAGCGAGATTCTCACTAGCCTTCGAACAGCATTTTCCATGTTCCCGCGACAAATTGCGCGCTTCTGGGTGTTGTGGACACATGCGTTTTCATCTGCCGTAAGTACTTGTGTGCCGGTAACGGTCGAGACCTCCATCGAGACACTAATTTTTTTTGCTTGTTTCAAGGTCATGCTCGCCTCCGTTGTAACCCATGCAATCGGTTCTGGTGCCAAGTCTAAGATCACGTCGGCAGCGCTGCTAGAGCTCAGAATGGCGGTAGACCTATTTGAAATGGCCTCGGTACATGGTGGCAGAGCGGTCAAGTTTCTGGTATGTCGACATGTAATACGTGTACTGGGTATTCCTCATTAACGCCTTCCTTTTTGTGCAGCCTATACTTCAACGTCTGCTTCAGAAAGCCCAAGAAATCAACAGTAATGCTCAGCCTCCTGTGGTTCGCAACGACATGTTCTCGCCGACACCTTCTGACGACAACAAGGACGAACTGTACATTTTCAGCGGGCAGACACATACGGTTGCTACGAAGGTACACCCCCCTACAGTCTCGTCTCGGTCTTCGCAGTACTCTCCGAGCCAGACATCATCTAAAGCGTCCACCCCTTCGGCGTCGTCGCAACAGAACTACGTCAACTTGCATCCTACACTAGTCGACCAGTGGAATGGTTTCGAAGGCCATCTGAATACGCAGATATACAACGCGCAACAGGTGTTCTACAATGATTCCCACCAGGTATATCATGATCATGCTCCTGTGGCGGATCACCGACAGCATGCGTTAGTGCCTCCGGTTTCGCAGGCTGTGCCGGAGACGTACTACAACCAACATAGTTACGATCAAGAGCACTCGTACCCTCAACACCAAACCAGTTACGAAACGTCTCCGCCGGCCCATTCTTCGCACTCGCAATACAGCGGGGTCCCTGCTGTTTCTGTTCAACCAGCTAACGACCAGTACTGGTCTCCTCCCCAGCACAAGCACCAAGATCAACAATATCAGAACCAGCAGTATCAAGACCAAAACCAACAGTACCAAACTCAACAATATCAGGGCCAGGAATATCAAGGTCACCAGTACCAGGACCAACGATACCAAGATCACCAGTATCAAGACCATCAGTATCATGGCCATGGTCACCCACAACAACCTCACGACCACGTTCAGTACCAAACATACAACAACTACGGTCACCAACCTCAACCTCAACAACAGCAACAACAATCTCAGCTCTACCCAGCCCCTCAAGGGCCAGTCTACGGTGGCCTTCCGCCAGATCACCAGAGCTTACAAGAAACATGGCAGTCGTTCATGTACACTGTCAATTCTCCACGTCCTACTTGATGGGTTTTTTTTGTTGACATTGGACAATTTCGTGATGGGGTCATATTTAGTTTATCGTTTTTATCTATGCATTTTCTCTCTCAGAACCTGTGCTACGTTTTCTTGTTATCCGTTTTGTCAAATTTGTCTGGCTTTCGTTTGCATCGCATCACCCTTTTCCACACATGCATAGTTATATTCTCATCTCTCGTGATCTCGTTATATATTTATAGGGTCTTTACAGGTTAAATCAATGGCATGTTTGTTGCTTGGTGAAACATCCCTTAAGTCACTACCATGTCAGAATTCGACTTTGATTCCAGAGCAATACATAGTTATACATGTAAATGGTTTGAAATACATGACTATGGTGAAAGTGCCATCGCGTTGATGGTACATCGCTCAAGTTCCCCACCTATCGTACTCAAAGGACCCATGTAGCCTGGTGGCGATTTCCATATACCGCGGCTCGTTGTCTGGAGTGATATAGCCGTGTCGAATCATAAAATCGATGAGCACTAAGGTAAATAGTAGGTCAGCTACAGGTGAGCGTACGGTAGCACGAGCAGACGCACCCAAAGCACAGTTGGGTTTGAACAGCTTGCGACGCATCCTACCCACCACCTCGTCTAGGGGCAACAGCTCATAGCGCACGGGATAAGCAATGCATCACCCCGAATGCACGAGTATGACGCGGGGACTCACCTCGAAGCACTCTACTTCTCCGTCGAGAGGTTTTGGCTGGAACGGAGTCGGATCGACGTCGCGAGGGATCCCGAGGTCGTACACAAATCTACAAAATCCGTGGTCACATCCTATCCCATCCTTCGAGCGAAACGTTTCCCCACTTACTCGACTTCAGGCTGCAGCCAGCCATTCGCAGTACTACAAAAAGCAAACAAATCAAATCAAACACCACCACCCACCATCACCCTCAGCATACCACGCGCACAACCGGGTTTAAAAAGCACCTACCGAAAGAAATAGCTCACCGCGCCGACCGACTTTGCGTACCCGCGCACGATATCCTCCGCTATACTGGCTTCCTCCATAGATTCTTTCACGAGGCTCTCGAAGATGGGCATGCCGCTCGGGATGCCTCCCGCGACGCTGTTGTCCAGATAGCCGCCCCAGCTAAGAAGGGGGTGTTGAATTCAGTAAAGGACGCTATTTTATATGGGCCCCACTGGGCGCGAAAACGAGAAAAAAAAAAGGGGAAAGATCACGATCACTCACGTCTGCTTCGTCCGCGCGCGCGTAGGCACCCAGACCATCGTGCCCCCCCCTCCAAGCTCCCTGCTCCCCCGCCCGGCTTCCTGGTAGATAGTCATATGCACGCCGTACGTGACGACGCCAAAGAGGGCGCACGCGGAGCGTTCGAGGTCCAGCACGTAGTTTCCCCCCTCCGACTCAGGGTCTCCAGACTCTCCCCCCTCCGCCCGAGCATCATGCGGACGGTGCACGCCAAAAGGGTCGCGATACACAGGATAGCTCTCCTCCCTCCACTTCCGCGGCCCGATCACCTCAGGAAACAGCCCCGAGTCTCGCCAGCGCTCACACAGCTCTTTCAGGACGGCGGTGCGTTTGGAGGGCGTGTCGACCCAGTCGGCGAAGCTCACGCGTGCGGTGGAGGGGGTGGGGTGGAAGAGCCAGGCTTCGGGGGTGTGGTTGGATCGACTGAGCGCGTTTTCTGCTTGGAGTTGTTCGATGATGATAGGTCTCAGCAGACCCAACACTGGGCTGTCAGGGAGGGCAGAGAGCGTCCATGGTACCAGTGTTTCAGAGGCGAACCCTCCAGCTGACCCAGCGTCAGAATCAGAATCAGAATTAGACCTCCTCCGACTGCTGCTCAACCGGAAGTTATCGCAGATATCGACAAGATCGAGGAAGGAGCACGTCTTTGTCTTGTCTGAATCCGCGTCCATTGCGATCAAGGTGACAAGTGATAAAGATCGCTCTAGCGCGTGATTGTAATAATACTCATCCGTGTGATTTCAAGGTCCATGTCCTTTCTTTTCTTTTCTTTTCTTTTCTTTCTTTTTTGCCGCGCTGCAGCTGGCGGCAGTCACAACATGCGTATGCGTACTATCATGAACGGTCCCCAGAGTCTGAACTCGAAGATCGCAAAAATATTTCACAACCTGACGCTCCTGCAGGAGGCCCAAACATCGATGATAAAATAAAAATCTACAATGGCACTGAAAAAGCACTATCCATTTTACAGAATAACCAATACCAATTTCGCCACAACATTTGAGAAATACGAAAGCAATAGAGTACGGAGCGAGCGGGCGGGAGGCGGGGGCGGCACCAAAAAAGAGCGGAGCAAGCTCGTCATATAAGTTAGTATGCGGGACGTGAGCGAGCAGGGGACGGAAGGAGTCGATGCAAGAATTGACATTGACATCCTTCAAAAGTTCTCTGCGCAAACATCATTAAATGTCAGCTATTTTGCATGGCGAGGGGCCAAAAAAGTACGGCTTACCCTTCCCGAAGAAGAACCGCGTGCTCAGGGGATTCGAGTACTTGTTCGACATCTGGTGAAGCTGTCTCGACAGTACCGGCGGGCCGCAGAAGAACTAAACATGTTTGTTGATTAGCGATAACGTTAGAGAGGCGCTGCATGGATAAGCTTACCACACCGACGTCAGTCTCTGGATGCTTATCCACGATCGAGCCGAACACGCGATCCCAGTTCGGCCTTCCAAAGTGTGTGGGCGCGCGCAGGGAAGTGATCGCGTCTTTTTCAGCACCCACATCTTGTACCTATCCGTCAAAAACACAAGCAAACGCAAACGCAACCATCAGCACCCGCAAAAACTACGACAAGAATCAAGGGGAGAGGGAGGGAACGTACAATGATATTGTTCATATCGTCCTCCTTGATCTTCGCCGTGAGGTAAATGTTAATCTCGATCCTGTTCTGCGTGTCCTGCTCCTCGATAGCCTGAAGAAGGGAGTGGAACCATTCTGCACTGCCAAAGTCGCGGATGACCCAGGTGAAGTATACTTTGGAGAGTCTCGTCGGCTTTGAGTTGTTAAGGCTGTTCATGCGGTACCAGATAGATTTGAGGATTCTGTTTTTTTTTGTTATTATTTTAATTTTTTAGGTTGTTTTTCGTGAGTAAATAGATGCGAAGTGAGACCGGAATGAGACTGACGATGCAAAAGGCGTGACGCCGATACCAGCCCCAACGAGGAGGACAGTCTCATAATTCAAAAAGTCCTCACTCGCACTCCCAAACGGTCCGTCCACCATCACGCGCGGCAAGATGCGGTTCAGAGGCGGGTTGATGTTCGTCCCGATCACCTTCCCGCCCGACACATCGCCGTCCTTGCTCTTCTCAGAATCAAACTCACATCCGACGGCTTTGGCGAGGGCGGTCGTGAAATCGCCGACGACGCGGATGTGCACTGAGATGTAGTCTTCTTCTGGGGCGCTGGAGGTGAGGAAGGTGAGCTGGTGGAGGGGATGGCACGGATAGGATAGTTACCTGGTCAGAGTGAAAGGATGCCACTGGAAGTATGAGATTTCAGGGCAAGACAGGAAAATGTATTGACCAGCCCTCGTCGTCGTCTTCTCTTTCTTGATCTGAAGTTCCACAACCTTGGATGGATGCTGGATGACCTTGGAGATGTACGTCCTGTGTCGAGAACGAACTTCACGGAGAATACGTTCGTACACCCATATGAAACCACCCACAAGCCAGTAGCGCTGAAACACCGCAACAACATAAATGGGATGAATTGTAGGGGAATGATGAGATGACTTACCCAGAAAACACCGATAGAGTTCCAGGAGCAGAAGGGCTCTCTGTCAGGCTGAATCATGCACCACATACCGTGCAGCTGCCAGCCCAAGAAGTAGATGACGAACAAGTGATGAGAGTACCAGAACCACTCAAAGTGAGCCCGACGACGCTTCTCCATCGCAAACCAAACCATGATGAAGAGACAGGCGGTCATGATCCATCCCGTGACACCGGGGCCTGTCGTGAAGTTTGCCTCCAAGAAGGCGACGACGCGTTGGCCGGTGGTGGTGGCGGAGGTGTCGGCGAGGGCGAGTTTGTAAAAGTTGACCATGTGGGCGGCGATGTGGATGACGGTGAAGACGACCATGGACCATGCTGTTGCTTTGTGGAACGTGATGTTCTTGTCGAAGGGGATGAACTGGTTGAGGGGGGTACGACGGAGAAGTGATATGAAGTTGCGACAGACGGGAAGGAGGATGAAGATGACATCTGTGTGGAGGACCAGTGCTGCAGCACGGGCGATGGCTGGTGAAGTAAATCGTTAGGAGAACGGGCCAAAGGAGAGAGAGGGGAGGGACATACGATAGGTGACACCAAAGGTAGCTCGTGCAGTCGTCAAGTCGTCGCTGGTGCCGTAGTAGAGAGAGCCAAAAGCGATAACAAGGAGATGGAAGAATATCCAAGAGAAGAAGAAGAGACGCTTCCCACCCTCGTTGATCATCCAGATGTCGAATTTCTGGCCAAACGTTCGAGGAGCGTCTGCAGCTGCAGCTGCGCCATTGGCGGTGGTGGTTCTCTGTATGCCCTGCAGCCTGTATCGCTCTGTCTTGTTGCGCTGGACCTGTGCTCGTGGGAGGGCATCGCCTGAATGGTTGTAGTCTGGAGAAGGGTCCACGAACGGATTTTGGTCCTGGAAGGGATCGCGAGGGGATGGAGCGCGATCAGAGAAATCGAGAGCTGAGGTGCGTTTAGACATGATGGCGGTGGTAGTCGACGTCCTGCGCGCTTGGAAAGAGTGAAAAGGGCCGGCCTTGGGATGGGAATGGGGGGGAGAGGGAGGGGATGGGGGAAGGGTAATAAGAGAAAGGTGGTTGCTGAGAGGGACGTCCCCGGTTTCCTTGCCATTGTCCACTTCGTGTTTCTGTTTTTTTGTCTCTCCTATCAATACATCTTCCCACGCTGCATTTCCATCTCGGATTAAATTGGCTTGTTCTCGATCACACAGCTTAAAAGATGAATCCATTCATGATCATACCCGTCGCTACCACTATACGAACAGACACCTCGTAGATAGCTCGTAGACAGCTCGCAGATACTCTCCAAACGACACTGATAACGCAAGGCCCCCTCGCACAGTCCGGTCCATCGTATCTTTATTTCCCTGATACTACCGTAACTACAAGAATAACACCAGCCATCCCGGCCATCCGACCCACCTGGAAAACACATTAGCTGTGACCCTTGGCTGTGCTTCCCACTCTCCTGATATCATCAATGCCTCTTCCGACCTTTTCCTCTTTTCGTAATCCATCATTTGACTTTTTCTCCCGTTCCTGCCCTCCCACACAACGGCACTCAACACCGCCTTGTTGCACTTACCGCGCTCTAGCCGCAAATAACGCAACCGCGGCATCGCATCCAACACAGAACCTCCCTTACTTTGCCGGAATCATACCCGCATCGCCCTCTTAAATTGATATCCACTACGCTCATAATTGTTACCAACATCTGGTCCAGAGATCATCATCAAATTCACAAACAGATAGATAGACCATCCAACAGCGACATGACGTGTCCCACCGCAGAACCAAACACGCCACTCAACTCAAGGCATCCCAGTGGCGTTGCAAGGCGCTGAACCGTCATCAGATGTATCAGCTGCAATCAACCATCAACCACTCACCTGGCAGACCACTCTCGTTGATGACGTTCTGGCAGATATACATCGGCGCTTCACCACTCGGCGGAGCAACGTCGATATCGCTGAACGTGATATTCGGGCACGGCGCCGCTGAGCTGCACGCTATGCTCACAACTAAAACGAAAATCAAGGTGAGCGGTAGTGGAAGAACAGTGCAGCCAACGTTTCGTCGTACTCGTATTTTCCTGGGCTGTGCCCGTAAACCCGCTGAACGTAAGGTCTTCAAATTGGTATTTTGATGGGGCGTCACCACTGAGGCAATAGAGTTTAATCAACGGGGGAGTTTGAGAGGATGGAGAAACGACGTGTGCTCACGCCTCTGCGCCGTCCGTCTGATACAGCGAGATCGGGGTCGTCACATTGTCGACTTTGACATTTTGGACGACGACGTTCTTGACGTATCCTGGTCATACGAATCATTGTCAATATATGAGGGTGGATAGACTGCGGTAGGGCGTCACCTAAGCCTCCCCCTCCCCCCGTTGGAGGCGTGCCGTTGACGGTGGCACTCCAAGATTTAAAGTAGACCTTCCCAGGCAATTTTATTAGAACGGCCTCACCCACAGCGCACCGTACTCACCCCACTTCCCATATTCGGCTGAATGTACGACGCCAATCGTACCATCTGCATTATAAAAATACGACAAGTCCCTTCGTGAGATCGCGTCTTCCAGAGGAACCAAATCAACAAATCAACCTACATTCATGTCTTCCATGAACACATTCTCCACTATGTCGGGCTAGAATGGGGAAGGGGAAAAAAAGCGTCATCGAGTCCACCTCACAATGACGCAAAACAAAGAAAAATTCCGTACAAGATCGACATATTGGCCCAAAGAACCAAACGCCACCCCGTTACCACCCCTGCACGTTATATTCGCGACATACAGGTTTGTTGTATTCTAATTCGAGATAGGGAGAAAGAAAAATGACATTGAGCCATATAAAAAGTCAAAATTAAATGCAGACTTAAAAATAAACGCACGCCTTTAATAGCCAGGCAGTCGTCGCCGGTCGTCACCTGGAAGTATAAGGATGAAGCGAGGTGGTAAAATTGGACGGCTCCGATCAAGGACTTACATCCCAGTTTATAAGTGTGACTGAATCGCTGCGGTACGTGTCAATGCCTATTGTAAGAACGAACCCCTCAGCCTCCGTACGAAAAACAAAAAGGAGTAGTAGACACCAGAACATACCATCAGTGTTCGGGACGATACTTTATGCCATGCAAAGTGTGAGTAAGATTCCTGCCTTGCAAACCACATCAAAAATAAAAAGACCCCACTCACTTCTGCCCATAAAACTCCGGATTCGTATTCGTCGCATTACACACCATCCCATCATATACCACATTCTTAGACTCCGCTACCGCATTACACCAGAACGGAGGGGACTCAATCCGGAAGTTGGTTACCCTTCCGGCCGTGACGTTATAGAGCGTGAGGGCCAGGGGCCGTCCATCGCCATCCAATCGCGGTACGGTGGTATAGTAATCCCACCAGGGCTATCGTGATCAAGCCGCGTCCATGCTTCAATCAATGCCCGCTGCTGAAAGCATGGGGGGCGAGGATAAGTATAACGCACCTGGCCGTTACCATTGATACCCCCCGAGTTGAACGCGTCGATTTCAAAGTCGGTCCCAGTGACGACGAACCACGAAGCTTGGTCCTGTGGGCGGTTTTTTGTGAGATGTGAGATGAGTGGTGGGTGGGGATGGAATGTGGGGAGAGGCTGGTACAGACCTGGATGTAGACGACTCTGTACGTGTTGTTCGCGTTTAACCAGTACTGGATATCAGGCTGGAACTGGAGCATCGTTCGTCAAAAAACAAACACTCTCATTCACCTCCCACTCACGCTCAGGTACCCGTGCATCTCGACTCGAGAAGAAACCAAGTTCCACGTCATCTTCCTGCGCACATGGGATCAAACCAACGCGCAAAACTCGAGGCGGAAACGGGAGTCGTTACCTGGTGATGTTGTATTCTCCGGCCTCGAAGATGGTGGTGCCGTACTGCCCACAGCTGTCGATCGCGGCTAATACCTGGGCGGCGGGGGCATGGGGGGGTAAGCATGGATGCACAGAGACGATTTGGATCGATTCGCTTGCGAACGCTCACCTGGTCCGTATCATCCTCCCCTGCGCCCAAGGGCCTCAAAGTGCACACATTCGATGAGACAGCCGCAGCGAATACCTGAAACCTCAGCGTCGCGAGAAACACACCAACCAAGAGCCAAAACTTGACAGTGATGCCAGACATCGCGTTGAAGTGAGAAACGACGCTTCAAGTGAGAGGCGACAAAGCACGTTCTGCTTCACATTTTATATTGAATGGCAACTGGAAGGACGACCGCGATCGCACGATGGTTCGTTCGGTTTTTGGTGGAGGTCATGAGCAAGTCACGGGTGTAGGAAGGGGTTTGGTGGACGCGACTGGCGGCCCGCTGCACCGCTGGTAAGCCCGCCTTTCGATGGTCTCTCACACATTCAACTTATTCCAAGCAGAGGTTATCGAGCTCGTGATTCAGAAAAACTGCAAAGTCCATGTTCTGCGGCAAGAAAAGCCCGGACAAAATACGACATCTCTACACCTAAACTGTCACCGGGTCCAATTGGCCAACTGGTTAAATGTGCATAATTCGGGCTCAAGTTGCAAGTCGAGTACGACCAGCTTTCAGTGCTCCGCTGTCTTCAGTTTAAGTGCATTTCACATTTTGATAAATACAACAACGTGCCCGCCTTGACTCTATCATCCACACCACTCAACCCCTATATCATGTCGTACTTCGCGGAAACGAGTGCGAAGCGATGATCTAGTTACCAATCAGCAGGTTGCAGCTCAACCAAGAACTAGTCTGGTTGCACGCCTGACACCACTGCTGGGTAGTGTTGATGGTCGAGCCCTGTAAAGCAGATCAGCAAACACATGCAACTGCACATACTTTCAAGATCACTTACAGCCAGTTGGCTGATGAAATCGTCAATGTAAACAGTGGTGTTGCCGAACATAGAGAGCTGTCTGTAGTCAGTTTCAGTGGTACCGTTCTTGAACTTCATGGTTATATACGGTCGGCTGTTAGAGTCCTCGTAAACCTCCAGAGCCACAACTGAAGCATAGTCCACTGAAGGAAGGTCGAAGTATAAGTTAATTAGTAATGAACTTGAAAACAAAAGAGAAGAAAGCTTACCGATTCCTGCAATGTCAGGGTCTGTGACATCAGCTTGGGTGACATTGAACATGCTGATGAAAGGCTTGTAGCTGACTTCAGTCAAAGCTATCTTCAGACCATTAGACGAATTCGTGATATCCTGCAATGCCGTGAAAATAGTCGGCAAAAGAGTCGCAGCAGCAACTGAACAGACGATTAACGACGTATAGTATCATTTGAAACGTTTGTGCTCACTGTTTCCAATGCCGTTCGGTGTCGGCGCGGAGAATACGCCGTATTCGTGGTAGTTAGCATAGTAATATGATTGAGCAGCGAAAGTAGGCGGCAGTTGCTTGTAGAAAGTCGCATTATGAACAGACTGGACATTGACGTAATCGAAAATCTAATGATGAAAACAGACCAGGTCAGTTTCGAGATGCTGCAGCATAAGCCTGCCTAGTCCTACATTATACTAAAAAGGGTGTGAGCGCACGGCAGCAAGAAATGTGACTGGCATATCTAACCATGTTCGTAAAATTGTTGCTACGACCGCCCAAATAGGGCTCCAGAGCATCAAGGAACGGTGCAGCATCCTGGGCCTCTTGCAAAAACGCCGGTGATGCATAGAATTCTGACACATGCGTGTTGAAATTCTAGAATTTTCGTCATTATGAGTCTATCATCAAAGATGCGAGCAATAGGATGCAATACCGGGCAGTTGGTGAAACTGTTCAAGGTGGGAAGCACATTCGGTTCGATGGAGTCGACTACGAGTACGATATCGTCACTACTGTGGATGAGATGACGAGGTATAGAGATCCTCACCTGGAATATATTGATACCCTCCCAGAGGACCTACGATGGTAGTGCCGTTCGCGAGGGTAATATTAGACTCCGTTGTAGGCGGGTACAGCCCTTGGAGGAGTCCTTGAACAGAATTCAAGATGACACTCCCTCCTCCACCAGCATCAGCTTGTACAGAAATTTGGTTGATATTGACCACATCGGTACTGATGCCACTGATGAAAGATGGCGATGACGGGGTGAGATACTGTGATCTCAAGAAAGTACCAAGCTGAAGTTCTTGAACCTGAAGAAGGAAGGTGAGTATGCGCCACAATCAACAAGGAGATGATCTTACTGATCCCAAAGGAGTCAAATACGTCTCAGTAGGCGTATATGTGTTGGGATCTTGGAAAAACTCCAGCCGATCACCGTGGCGGGCGAGGAGGACGACTCCGAGTAAGCCGGTAGAGTTCACCATGCTTCGTTGAATTTGAGGAGGAACAAAGTAGAGAACGGCGACTCGACACTCTCTTACTTATAGTTCGCCTCCAGGGAGGGGAATCCCTTTACGCGAAGTTGATCAAACCCCGAACTTCACAAAGTTGATGATCATTACTCAAAAAGGCGGGCGCGGTGGGAGTGCACGTCACCACGAAGCACCGCCAGGTTCAGGAGCAACTGCGTAGTCTAAGGATATGATGGTTTTAAGCCTCAGGCCGAAACTCCGTTGAATTGAGAGGGACACACCTGACCTATCGTAAGAGAGTCGGAGGTAGTGAGAATCGTGATCAGACCTGGTGCTTGATGCCGCATCAATATGGAGTGACGTGACATGGGACATGAAAAATGTTCCCTTTCCCCGGGGAGCGTAGTTTGTAGGAAAGTTTGGCTGCGTGGGGGCGCATAAGGACTTGTAAACGATCTCCTTACAAGCGCAGCAACCTGGGACCTCAAGGATTGAGCCATCAGTATACTCTGCGAGTGGAACACGACATAGCCCAGACATGGATGGTATCTTGCGCTGAGAAACCCGTGATCCACCCACAGATTGACTTAGGGCGCGCTTGGTAGCCACAATGCCCGTATTATGTGAACTGAACGGGCGCCGCAACCACCTGCGATTCCCGCCAAAGCGTGACGTTCTTCTGACACGAACAAGCCTGGAGCCATATCGTAGAGCATGCTGAAATGGAGATGAATTCAGCGTCAAACACGGAGAACAAGAAAAGAATCCAAACGACTAACAGGACGTTGGAATTGAGCAAGTTCCGAATAACTTCAAGTTCCAGATCCGGCATCCAGAAGGAGACGAGTTACGTCTGGCAGAGTATGATTCTGCGCTGTTTGTGAGAACCTCACATTTATTCGGCAACGTTTTGAATACGATGCAACCTAGAATCAGAGTCCAGCCCAGACGCATCTGGTCAAATGATTCAGCTTAGTGACACGTTGAAGGCGTCATTATGAAATGGAATCGCGGAAGCCGCATGATCCAGTGGTATTGGAAATTTGAATAGTCTATGCTCCGTCCTGCACAAGAAGCCAAGAGTGGAGGCTGGAGGAATGCGCTGGTGGTAATACTGTTCTTGTAAAAGCCGCTGGTACATGTTCCTGGTTTCCTATTGAGGTCACCGCCCAGAAAGTTAACTCGGGCGCTTTTCTTGATCTCCTGGCCGTCTTCTCCGGATCTGTCAAATAACAGTGGGCAAACGGTCCACTGGGTTTGACCAGTCTTTTGAGCTTTGTGCGTTTGCAGGTAATACTATAACACGAATAAGCGACGTTACTTTGCCATATCTGAGAGTTCTAACTTGAACCTAAGTTTGCCATACATACAATAGCGGAACTCGAACTTGAATGGCACCCAGTTTGATTGTGAGTCCCGTTTTCTCCCAAAGAGTCCGCAACACGGGACAAATCAAACGTGCTTAATAACTTCGCCATCATTGCCTCCTGAACTGACAAAGTTTGACAACCTTGACAAGCTGGGTCGATAGCCATGACATCCGAGTCTCTGAGCATTTAGTGCGTAAGGAGAATTACGCATGGATTGACTCTGCTTTTATAGCAGGGTCCTTGTTTTTCCAGCTGGCTGGGCAAACAGGGACGTCTATGATGACGGCGACTATTGGTTGCACGGTGGTCAACCCAAAGGTCCGAACATTAGCAGAAGAGCCGCTGGACTGGACTCAGCCTGGTCAAAGTATGTTATTACCTCGGGCAATGTTCCACCTGGCAACCGCCTCCCGCGGAGAATCGTCAAATAGGCACACCTCATCTTGTGGCGTTCTTGTTGCTCCAATCAGGTTCCGTTGATAACAGTTACAGAACAATGTCAAACTCTATTATATTAGCAAGACTGTAATGACCACAGGGATATCCTTCCTTCGTTCCTTATTTTCCAGGTTTGGATGGCGGGCCCGGATTAAGGAACGGATCGGTGCTAAAGTTGTAAATGGAGCAGCCCCGCAAAATAGTCTGATTGCAGGAGAAACACCATTCTTGGGTGGTGTTTATGGTGGTGGACTGTGGAGAAAGCTCAGACCCTCTGTAACAACCCCCCTCTAAATGTATACGCACCGCGAGTTGGCTCACGAAGTCTTCCACGAGGACGCTGGTGTTTCCCCACATTGTAAGCTGTCGGAAATCCTGATCATTGGTACCATTCTTAAATTTCATGCTAATGGACGGCTGGCCATCAGAGTTTTCCGAAAGTTCGAGGGCCACGACTGCAGCATAGTCCACTGAATAGCATGTTAGTAGCCTTACACAAGCCATAAAAAAAGGAAACCGAGCACACCGATTCCAGCGATGTCAGGATCAGTCAATGTAGCATTTGTCACGTTGAATAGACTAATGAAAGGTTGATAGTCGACCTCGGTCAACACCAACTTCAGTGGGTTTGATTTCTCGGTGATATTACCAAAGTCGGAGAATATCGAGGGAAGGAGCGTCCGAACACCAACTGTGTGCCAAGTCAGCATGAAAGTACAAGGTTTTTCAATTACACTTACTCTCTCCAACACCGATTGAAACATAGTCGGTGAAAACGTTGTATTCATGAAAGTTCGCATAATCATAGGCCTGAGCTGCAAACGTGGGAGGAAGTTCCTCGGCATAAGTCTTGTTATGAATCGACTGGACATTCACGTAGTCGAAGATCTAGTATTTTCCGTTCAGAGCATTTCTACGTTCATAAACTCCTTTGTTCACTTACGTTCCACTGTAATATAGATTAATCAGTGACACTGGGGAATCAAGAAAGGTTGCAAGACAGACCATGTTCGTGAAGTTATTACTAATATTACCTATGTAAGGCTTCACGGCTTCTAGGAATGGAGCCGCTTCCTGAGCCTTTTGCAAAAAGGCAGTCGAGGTATATGTGCGATTCAAGTGTGTTTGAAAGTACTAGAATGACACCGAAAGACTCATTAGTATTGCAAGCATGAAAGATGGCAACTTGAAACCGTACCGGGCACAACTGCCAACTTGTTAACGAGGGAATCTCATTCACATCTACGGATTCCACTGGGGAAAAAAAAGGTACTGGGTGAACATTTAAACTATAAAGATAAAGGGTTTTCTTACCAGGCACGTATTGGTACCCACCCAAAGGTCCTGTAACCAGTTTCCCATTAGATAAAGTGATACTTGACTCTGTGGTCGCTGGATAAAGGCCTTGGAGAAGACTGTATGCAGAATTAAGAACTACATTTTCTCCTCCGGAGTCGGCGCGTACGAGCACTTGGTTCACGTCGACAAGGTCTGAGCTGATACCTTCGATAAAAGATGGCGATTCTGGAGTAAGGTACTGTAACCTTAAGAAAGATCCAAGTTCGAATTCCTGCACCTATACAACGTGATTCAGCTGGACTAGACCCTCTTGTCGGGGGAGAAACGACTAACCGATCCCAGGGGTGTAATCCGTGACTGTGTAGCATTGTATGTACAGGGATCCTGGTAGTAACCCAATCGATCCCCGTGACGTGCGATAATGACCACGCCGAGAAGACCAGCGGTTGAAGAGATATTCACCATTTCTCTGATAGTTGATAAACTGAGGCCTTATCTGCTGAAGGAGACCGTTTTATATTGTACCAGCGTGTGGCGTGGTCTTAACCGCTGTACTGATGAATAAGTAATGCATGTGTACCGATGCCAATAAATGCGAACATACCGGACACTAAAGGCGATGAAATATGCCAGCTGCTCAGCTACACCAAACCATATGCTACTAGGTAGCCCCAGTAGTTCGAACGCCTGGGCTATGTAAGGAAGTCACACGCAGCGAAAAAAGTGAATGCAAAGTTCACCATGACACTCGAGAAAAAATAGGGGGGTAACTACCGCGTATTCGAAGAGGATAGTTAAATTGTCAGAAGAGTCGATGGTCGCATCCGCGTAACGTTCTCTCATTCTTTGATTCAGAGACAAATAGTCATAATCGTAAAGGCGCCCCTGAAAATTGATATGATAATTCCGCAAGCGCAAGACCTGAAGGCGAAACATAGCACTCCATATCACCGATGCAGTACTGCGCTGCATATGATAGATCAGCGCAGAAGAGAGTACTATATGGGATTCAGCACACAGCGTGAGGTACGCACTGTCTTTCATTTCATGTGACCCATTTTCGGAGATGTCGTCACAAATGCGGCTTTAAGTCATATCTTGGGGATATACATGCGCGCCTATGAATTTGTACTGTCAATATGGGAATAGAAACGGCACTGTAGTGAGATGAACGTTACGATCGTCGCAATAAAGCGGAAAGCTTGTTCAAAGAGCTTACACGGCAGAACTGTCCTGTTATCCAACGATGGGACTCTAACGACCAAAGAAAGTGGCATGTGCTTCTTGACGTGCCATACTGGAACCTATAAATACGACGGACTATATGCAAACCACACACCCGCGATATTTTAGATGTGAATATAATGCTTCAAAGTAGGGCGAAGCAAGCATGGAATGAACTGAGAAAACTTGGCCAAAACTAACCCTACTGTTTTACCACCACAAGTTGTTTGAACACGTCAAACTCTTTTTCACATGATACGTGGGACCGTCGCCGGACAACAAATCACGGTGTAAAGGTATGAGAGCAATCGATGAGCAGTCCCGCCGGCAGGTAAACCGCACAACCAAACTGGAAGGGTATCGGCTAAGTCCTTGGGAAGCCAGACGAGTTACTTATGTCTTGACCTCGAACAAATTTAGGACACGTAAATAACTCAATATATGGTCAATATCTCTGTGAGTAAGGAACGTCATCTCAGCAATAGGAGGCTGCATACCTGCTTGGCCACCGCATGATCAAGCTCCATGCCAGACCGCGCTAACATAGTAGTAAAGCATCTCGAAAGTGGTAGCAGACCATCAAGTTGTATGGCAAGAAAAGAACCGAGAGAAGTTCTACCACGCATATAACCAGCTAAGCAGACTAAATGCACATTTAGATAAGTCTACACACCATTGTTCCTTAGAGATCTTGTTGGCCCTCGGCTGAGCTAAATGTGAGGGAAAATAAGTCAACATATACCACGAAAGTTGGCATACATCCGTTTCCCAATTCAAGCAGCATGGGAGTTTTCCCTTGATGGACATGTAACTCATAGTGGAAATCGCCCGATACAGTATCAAGACAGCCATTCACCGGACTCAGAAATCAATCCGATACGTTGTTGAGCACGACAGTACTATTTTCGTATCCACGTAATTTAGCTTGGCGTAAATTCATCTCAGGCTTCTGGGATGAGGAGGAGACAGAACTCCCCAGTATTTCTTATGTGATCTAGAACTGGAAACATAAGCACGTAAATGTCAAAAGTAACACACTTATGAGAAGACCCATGCCACAAATGAGACGAAGGCGAAGTACATATGGACACATACCCTGGGACGATATAGTTATAGTGTTAGCAATGAACCTGCCGCGGATGAACGTCGTGAATCGCGGAGTACTCGGAGAATACGAATATTGTCTTTCGTGGAAGTTTGTGGTCAAAATATTTCGCGGAAACTTCCAAAGAGCTGAGAGCGAAGAATGCTGACAACGACATCTGAATCATATTGCAACCAGAGAACCACTGGCAGGGGAGCGAGACAACCTGGGAAGTTGGCGGAGTTTGTTGTGGAACGTTAGGGTTAGGGTCCGGTACTCCAATCTAGTTATTTATGGCTTATCCTATGCAGGCGCTAAATACCATTTTTTATATCTACCCGTTCCTTGCAGACAAATCTTACGTGCATTCTTCTGTATCACTCCAACATGTCCTCAGACTCTGAGAGTAGCTCGGCTCCTGCAGTAGCCCTCCCCCATCGCTCGAATTCTGCCAGTAACAGAAATTCTAAACCACCAGTCTGGTCTCTTAACTCGTCGAATGGAACATTAGCTCCCCTACCTGCGAAATGTGACCGACATGATCGTGAGGATGGAATATGTTGCAAAGAACTCAAAGACGAAGACGACCGCACCCTGATTGATCCAGACGTCGTTCGAGATGTGTCAGTACTTCCTTAGCATTTTGCGTGGACAATGAACCCTATACTAATATTTCGCACCTATTATCTTTCAGCGTGATTGGACTGTCGGATGGTTTGACTGTGCCTTTTGCACTCACAGCCGGTCTTTCATCTCTCGGAGAGTCGAGGCTTGTTGTGCTTGGTGGCATAGCCGAGCTGATTGCTGGCGCCATATCTATGGGCATTGGTGGTTTTCTAGCATCTCAGGCAGAGCGTGATCACTACCGTTTTCTGCGTCGTCATACGTCATCAAGGGTTTTGAGGAGCTGCGCCGGTGAGATGGAAAGAGAAGTTTATGCCGTTTTGGGACCCGTTGGTGTGGATGAGGAAACATCCAGGGCTGTCACAAAATGCCTCAGGAGTGTAGAAGTCGACAACAGCATTGATGGAAACGAGCGCGCTTCTTCAGATGAAGAAGCCGTCCCTCTAAGGTGGAGCAAGGAACTCGGATTGACTCCCTTCTTGTTAAAATTCGGTGAAGGGATGGGTACGTTACACATATTCTCTGTCGATTCACAATGGGCTAACTATGATCTCATACTCCATAGAGGAAGTACCAACTCGCAGGCTGTACATATCCGCATTCACCATTGGTATGGGGTATCTCATTGGCGGAATCATTCCCCTTCTACCCTACTTCTTCATCGCCCGGGCGCATATAGCATTATTGTACTCCTGCCTTCTCACAGGTGCCGTGTTGCTCATATTTGGTGCTGTCAAGGCCCGGGTCACCGGCGCTGGACAAGGTGCAGTTGGATACGTTTGGGGTGCGGTCAGCACATTGCTAGTCGGTGGAGCTGCCGCCGCCGCCGCCTATGGCATAGTGGCAATGCTAGAACAGTGAAACGGCATCTTTCCGTGACTTCAAGCTATCTTTATTGCTATACACGTCTCAACTTGATATCATCTTGCTATAGATGCACTGTAGCTGAACGCAGTGTTTGATGCATGTACTATACCTGTCATAGGGCTACTCCACCTATGTAGTAGAACGTAATTTCTTTTGAATCATGCTTTGTGTTGTGGAGATGCTTGGTCCGCTTACTAAGCAACCCTTAAAGACCTGTCCGAGACTGCTGTTTTATTACAATAACGTCTATTCGCTGTATCTGCAAACAGGATCAAGGCTTGTGGTGAACACAATCCAAAATCACGCAAAGTGTTTTGGAAGTCGCGTTTACGTGGCATTCATTCATCTAGACAGAAAGCTAGAACAGCTGGCAGTGTAGCGTATACTTTCAGCCACAGGCTTTTAACACTGCCCTCAGACTCTGATCCGGATCCACTACTTCTACTCTAAACCTATTGTTTTTTTAAATATCTCATCGAGGAGGTCAAACCCATGAAACAATGATTGTCCAAACTATAGGTTCAAAAGTGAATATGCTGATGGAAGATGAATTTGGGATTGTATATCTCATAGAGAATGCTCAGCAATTCTGGTCAGGTATGCTCGCTTGCGTTCGATGGATGTTCCATACAGCATCTCAAGTCTTGCCTTCCTTTTATTCAAACAATATAACCAGAACTAGAAGATATATTGCGCATCCCAGGCGGCAACACAGCTACGCTGTCCATGCTCGATGCCAGCCTCAGAAGATTCATTTCGTTGTGCGCTTCTTATCATGGTGGGTACTGCACGTGCACTCCAAATTTCATCGATTGCATGCTCATCTCTCACATCAGAACAATTCCTGCAAAGCCCATTGCAACTCGAACATGCGTGCGAGTTGCTACTCGATTCTGACCTGTTCACTTTTCACTCTGAAAGGATGTGCGAACTTCTGGTAGATGATGTACAATCGGTACGTTTTTGGTCTTGTTTCGTCCTCGTTCCTAGGTTGACATTCACACACGTTTAATTATGGCACAGAACACAGACCCCCACTTTCAGCTCATCACATTCACTGTTCTCCTTTATTTCGGGCGTCGAAAGTCGAGCTTTCTTCGATCTCAGAAGCGCTGGCAGCCGCTTGTACCCCTTTTGATGGACCATGTTCTGGTGGACATTGATTCCGATATCGAGGACGTTTATTTGGGAACAGGTTCGGTGTCGGGTGGGGGCAGCTCGAGGTCGAGCATGCTGGTGACACCGATTGCAATCGAGGCCAAATTGAGAAGCTTGGGTGTGAGGCTACTCTATGAAGTTTGCAGAGTGCAAAAGCTATCTGTTCAAGATCTGAGTAAGTCTGATGTTCCTGTCAGCTCTATGTCTAGGCCAAACACTTATAACCTTGGCTCTAGGCATTTTTAGCGATTCTTTCATAGACACTATGTTTGAATTGGTAGAAAAAACACGATATATGCATGATGAAACTTTCAATTATTCCGTAATCAAGTTGCTTGTAAGTGCGATTTTTTATTCACAATTTACAGCTTAAAACGTGGCATTCAGGTTGCACTCAATGAGCAGTTCATGGTCGCTTCTCTGACTACGGGCGGGCCGACACCTGTTCCACAGACACCTATCTCCACCGCAAGGCCTGCAGAGGCTCATAATCGGGTACTCAATGTCCTGATTTCACGTCTGGGCTCTAGCAAAACTTTTGGAGAAAATATGATATTCATGTTGAACCGTGCTAGTAAGTTGCCTATCTGCTGCACTCCCCACGAAAGATAATCTTGCCCTTCCCAAGATCGTACAGCCGAGGATCTATGTATGCAACTGCTGGTACTCAAGCTACTCTATCTTCTTTTTACGACTAAAGGAACTTCGGAGTACTTTTACACCAATGATCTCTGTGTGCTTGTCGACGTCTTTCTTCGCGAACTTGTTGATTTGGATGAGGAAAGCGAATCTGTATGTAATACTCGATTGTTTTGTTATGTTTGACTGATGACTTACAATCCATGCGCAGCTCCGACATACCTACCTTCGGGTACTCCATCCACTCCTCACGAAAACCCAGCTTCGAGATATTCCCTATAAGCGCCCACAGATCGTTATGGCACTTGAATCTGTGATTCAGAATGCCGATATCCGTGATATAAACCCAACAACGAAACGTCTCGTAGAAAGATGTCTGAGTGGCGATTGGTGTGTGCAATTGAGGAAAGATGTACGAGGCAAAGAATTCCAGAATGTCCAGGGAGACTTTCGCAAAGAAAGCCCGAGTCATGATGTCGTTGCGTTCACCACGCAGGATGGTTTATCTCAAAAGCCAATCGCCCCTCCACTACACTCCGGTCACCCTAAAGTATACGTTTATACCCCTAAACCGAAAACTATGAAGCCTAGCAAGAGTGCAGAAAACTTGAAGAATGCGCCTTCTCAAAGATCACCTCCGCGTTCTGTCAATGAGAATATGAGACGTCCCAGCACCGACAGTGCCGCGAGCCTTGGGGGAATTGCCTCGGCCACTGCCACTGCCGTGAAGCGGCGGGATAAAGTGAGTTCTGCAGACGACGGGACATATGCCAATCGACAAATAGGAGCTGCTCATTTCCACTCGCGTTCTCCACCTTCCCCGAGTGCTTTAAGCCTGCCTGCTACTTCACCTACGTTCCCACCCAAAGCCCATCGGAGAGCGCCTCCACCTGCCCCTCCGAAAAGGCGGAAACCACCGGCAGTACCTGTTGGTACGACGAATGGAGGCGCGACGATCACCGCGATTGCTAGTTCATCGTCGGTAGCTATACTTAATCCCGTGGGCAAGGTTGGAAAATCACATACATAAGGCTTTCAATAATTGCTTTCCAGGATCAGATGCTGAACATCTGTTCGTTTGCGCTTTGAGCTGCTGACATTGCACGAGTAGTACTGTCAAGTCCACTCTTACTTCTGCATACACATCTTGGACTTCCTTCGTACTTCGCTGAGCAACTCACTTCTCACTTGTATTATTATCGAAATCTTTTCGCCTTCCAAGCTTTCTATGCACCCCTTTGGTCGAGGCAGCATACAAACACATTTATGAGACCAGTTATTTTATTGTAACAATGACCTTCAAAGCATCCTATTTTCTTTCGTCCCCCAATTCTATCTATCTGAGCATGATGCATGTATTTACATACCTTGTCGTACAGATATGCACAGCTATAGCTTTTTGCCCAAGTCCGTGTCTATAATTAGGGTTGCCGCTGGAGGATGTGTCGTCGGGAGTCGGATCCGGTACCATAGCGTATGGACACTTGCCACTGCGAAGTGGCACTGGCACTTATCCGCATAGACCCAAACGTGTAAACCGGCATGCTATCTTCTGGATGAGCTTATCTACGTCGACACCTCAAGACAGCTACGTGTTACAACCGTTATCTCGTTCTTTTACTGAGACCCCACCAGTGGATATCATGCCCTCGGAACCTCACTCCTCAACTACCCTTCTCGACCCAGTTACCGACGACGAAGGCCTGGAAGGCCCTTTCGCTCCTTTGAAAGGTAAGTTTTCGCCACATGTTCTCGGCTAAGTTCCATATCTCTGTGTCTCAGGATTCGGGAAGGAATCGTCTAAGAGCACCGCGGTATCACATGCGTTGAAGGCGTCATTCGAGCGCGTGGTTTTCTCTACAGAGGTTTTTACACGACACTGACTTTTCTTGTTTGTAATTTAAGACGAGAAACGTCTGCTTTTAAAGTTAGGATTGTCTTTCTTTCTATTTGGGCTCTTGAACAACGGTATGTGTGCGGCTGGCGCTCTCCTAGTGTTGGACTGACACTTTCGTAGTTTTATATGTCGTGGTTCTGTCAGCCGCGCTCGATCTTGTCCCTCCATCGACACCCAAGGGTGTCGTAGCATTCTGTAACATTGCTCCGGCACTTGTTGCAAAAGTAGGCTGGCCGTACGTATTGAAGGGCAAGATAAGGTATGCGCGCCGTATCATTGGCTGTTGTTTTCTCAGTGTGGCTGGGATGTTTGTAAGTGAAAGAAACATGAGTAATGCAATGCACATTTTGACCAGTGTATAATCTAAAGGTTGTTTCTTCTTATGAGCACTTGAATGCAAGGCTTTTGGGAATTGGTTTAGCCTCTTTCTCGTCAGGTCATCAGCCATTTAATATCATCAACGTTATCCCTTACTTACTATGTGAATTACAGGGCTGGGAGAAATGACTTTCCTACAACTATCTACAACATACATTCCTCCATCAATTGGAGGTCACAGCGTTGGGTACGATAAGTGGACCTTATTTACAATTAAATCTAATGCAATTTTAGTTATTTTGCTTCCGGAACTGGTGCAGCTGGGCTGGTGGGCGCTTTTTTTTGGTGGGAAGTCAGGGGTCTTGGTGTCCATACTGGCATAATAATCTCATCAGTCAGTCTATAACCAAACTCTGGGGAGAATATAACTTGATCCTATCTCTCTCCAGGTCCTACCTTTCCTAATACCGGCGACATATTTTTATCTTTTACCTGGCCCTGAGAAATTTCATCATCATACGGCCTCTTATGCGGGCCGCTCGTCACTGTACACACACATACTTTCGTCTGAAAGCGGTGAAGATGAAGAAGGATCGAATTTTCTTCTGGATGTCCCCAAGCTTGGAAACAGCCTGACCTTCAGTGATAAATGGCGCCTTGTGAGACCACTGCTTTTTAAGTATATGTTTCCACTATGTAAGTCACCGTCTTATTTAAGAAATGTATGTTAAATCTTTCACTGTATAGTTTGTGTGTATTTGGTGAGCTACTTGTTATTACATCTGCTACTCGACAGTTTTAACAGCTGTTTAGTTCGAATACACAATCAATCAGGTTCGTCCTACATACATAGCTTCAGTGCGTGCGTGTCTGATTATCTATATAGGGAGTATCGCCTACTCTTCTGTATCCTGTCCCTCCTGCAGAGCGGTACAGTTTTCTGAGTAAAATCATACACTCAGTTCGTGATTACTATCCTCTATGGCAGGTGAGTTCTATGTTCCAATACATTTTCTACCGCCTCGACTTAAAAACAAATTTGGTTTGTCTAGCTGGTATATCAGACGACGGTGTTTATTTCTCGTTCAACTATATCACTAGGCTTGCCACCTTTGCCGGAACGCTTACTCTCCGTACCTGCAATAGCACAGTTCTTTATCTTGAATTTGCTTGCATTCGAGTCCGCTGTTGGGATATTTTCTGAAGCATCGGAGGGTCTCAGCATCGCCTTCGTATTCCTTTTAATCAGTATAGAAGGAATCTGCGGCGGGTTGGCGTAGTAAGTCGCAGTCTGCACTTCTCTTATGCTATGTCTGACACACGGTTTATATCAGTGTAAACGTTTTTTACCGTATAAACCAAGAGCCCGACACTTCGCTTGTGCATGATCCCGAGCGTACCAAACAAGAGCGAGAGTTCAAGATCGGTTCAATTGGATTTTCGGACAGTACAGGTATATTGTTTGCCTCGCTCTTGGCCGTTCCTGTAGAAATGGAGCTTTGTAAGGCGCAAGTTCGGAGAGGCAAAGTGTTGTGCAAGGGCTTATAATTAAAGCTCAAGATTGGTAGATACTTGGTATTAATTCTTATGGATACTCGTGTTTTCTGTATATATACGGTATGGTTTAGCTAACAGGAACTGACTAGAACATTGATTTCTACCATGTACACATTAGATAGTCCGAGTCACGTGAACACGAGTGGCTGTGCCAAATGGACAACTCTGAACGCTCCAAGAAGCCTACTAAGCCTTACTATCAAGTACCGCTGCGGCGCTGCAGGTACAACCCATCAATCGACAGTACCATATTCCAGCAAATAATCCCTTCGGAAGATTGCAGAATAACATACCATTGCTCTTACGAATCTATCTCAGGCTTACAGGATTCACGCTGCTACGTCTACAGTCTACTGGATCTGTCTGAAACTATCCGTACACCATGGCTTACTTTTTCACGTCACCGGTCGATGTCGATGTCAAGCTCGAGGGGGAAGAATCACGTAAACAAGTGGAGATGAAAGTAGAGAAGGAACATGGCGTCTCCTGTCCCGTTTACTATGATGGTGACTCTGTGGGCGGTCAGGTCAGTCATCTCGTTCGTTTATAGCAGCAACATCCCGATGGGTTTTTCAGATAACCATACGAGTTCGGGATGGAAAGAAGATGACACACGATGGAATCAAAGTCGAATTTGTTGGCAGCATTGGTTAGCATGGACTATTTTGCAAACGTTTAGACCTCAGACCTCCATTCCCAGAACTCTTCTATGACCGCGGCCATCACCACGAATTCTTGTCGCTTTCACAAGAGCTGGCTTCACCAGGTGAAATGAGACAGGCTCAAACTTTTGATTTCCTTTTCAAAAACGTGGAAAAGCAGTTTGAGAGTTACCAGGGTATCAACGTAAAGCTTAGGTCAGTTCCTTTGCCCCGCGTTCAGAATTATTTTTTCGATTCACCCAATCTAGATACTTTATACGAGTAACCGTATCAAGGAGAATAGCAGATGTAACGAAAGAGAAGGACCTATGGGTTCACTCTTACCGCATGCCTCCCGACAGCAACAATTCAATAAAGATGGAAGTTGGCATCGAAGACTGTCTACACATTGAATTCGAGTATAACAAATCAAAGTGCGTTACGTCCATGACCGTGTTTTGCCATTCTAACCCCACAACCGTGATCCGCCAGGTATCATTTGAAGGATGTTATTGTCGGCAAGATTTACTTCTTGCTCGTTAGAATCAAGATCAAACACATGGAACTTTCTATTATTCGCCGCGAAACGACAGGATCCCCACCAAACCAATACAATGAGAGTGAGACCATCACGAAGTTCGAGATCATGGACGGTGCTCCAGTACGGGGTAAGCTATGTATCCGCTCTAGACTTGTATCATCTTCTTAGGTTACCGCAGGGGAAACTATCCCAATCAGGCTGTTCTTAGGTGGTTTTGATCTAACACCGACATTCCGGGACGTGAACAAGAAATTCAGCACACGATATTACTTGAACCTAGTCCTTATTGATGAGGAAAACCGACGTTATTTCAAGCAACAGGTATGTCCCCGTCTTGGTTGTCATATCAATTTTGCTCACGCAGCGAGCAGGAAATTACCATATTTAGGATACCAGAGGTAATGTCACATCTCTGTTCTTCGATACGTGTACTGACCAATTCTGGTAGAATTGATATCATTTTCCTTTATTTCTCCGTGTACATAGTGTTCCACTTTTTCCACTGGCAGCGTCTCAAACATGAACCTGGGAGCGTAAGTCACTCTGGTCAGGCGCTAATATGGTCTGCCGGTGAGTCTTCCCAACATGATGTATCTTTTTGTTTGGGATGGTCTATACTGCAACGAGTCATTCCCAAGAGAATTGGTCCATTAAAAGTCATTCATGCACGATCCATATTAATAATCAAACAGTTTAAAGACAGCTGACGTGGTTACAGGGTTTAAATGTAAATGATACACAATAGTCCATAATCTATCCATGAGTCTGTCGATAGGTATCTCTGTAAGTTAACACATGACAAAATCACGGATAGCTTAGTATCTAATCCGTCAAGAAAAAGCTCCGTCCTTCCGCAAATTCGTCATTTTCTCTGGTGGTACTGAGCTCACTTATTGGGTTGTTCACAGGCGGCGCGACATCGCCCATATCCCTGACTGAGCCATGTTGGGACATTACTCGCTCCCTCGTCAACTGAAAGACTACATTTGTAGGGGTTGGTGTCATCCTCATCGGCACTCGTCCCACGCTGAGCCGTGGTACCAACGGAATATCTGATCTCGAGGGCGGGAAATTTTGCCTTGCCACGTCTGGTGGACCCCGAAAGTTCGCCGAAATATTAGCTCCCTCTGCAGGCCCACTTCTGTACTGCTCGATATCACCCCGAGTAAGCGTCTGGATTTGAGAGCGACCCGCTGCGGCAAGCCATTCAGCCGACTGGACACTGTATTCGCTGTCTATCTGGCTTTGTCTGCTTTGTCTGCTTTGTCTGCTTTGCCTACTTCTTCTGCGTGCATCCATGTCTGTTGAGAAGGTTTGAGCACCTTCAGCTCCGGGACTGGTGGTATGACGTTTGGAATAGACAGTTGTACCAGTCCAAGGCGTGGTAAGACTGACAGGGGATGCGGGTGCTTCAACAGCAATTTCCTCTGGAAAAGAGACACCACTCCAAGCGGAATCGCGCAAGTTGCGTCCTCTATCAACCCAAGGGGGATTCGGTATTAACGGAGGAGCGGGCTTTCTTTTTATTGAGTTACTCGGAGAAAGAGCGTTTTCTGCACTTTCATCGACCTTTTCATCGCTGTGTTGTTTCAACCGAGAGGTGCTGGATATCCCAGTTAGTGCATATGCGTCTTCCTCGTAACGTTGTCCCAGGATCGAACCACGATACTTTCCAGTGACACGTGGCGGTAATCCGGGAAACTGAGACGCTAGTTCTCGCACCACAGTATCCGAAACAGTGGCTCCACTGTCATGTCTAGGGTTTCCTCTGAAGGGATGGTTTCTGATTGCATCGACCCCTTCAGCTTCGGTCCGGAAACTAGGCATGGCAGATTTCGCTCTTCCATTGGTGCTCTGAGTAGACACCATCTCGAACGAGACATCAAGTTTGGACGATGATCGCGACAAACGGTCACGACTGCGGACCACCTCTGACTGCGATCTTGCACGAGCTCCCAGCGGTAGAGCGGCTGGTGAAGGGAACTCGAGGGCGGAAAAACGAATTTGCAGAAAAGGAGCTTTGTCCTTCTCTATATGGACTGTCACTCTCTGCTCTCTATTCGAGCGTGACGATGAGTTTTGGACGCCGGGGTTATTATACGGTGAATGGGTTGCTCGCGAAGCACGCCACGGCCTGAAGGTGCTGTGGCGTGGATTGGTTATAAGGGTACGAAGATTGGAGAAGCGTCTAGAACGGCGGCTTCCACGCAATTCGTCGGTGAGATTTTGAAAGTTTTCTGATGTATCGAGTCTATGAGAAAAAATAAATATTATCGCATATTTATATCGTTGTATTATGGAGTTGACTAAACTCACCCTTTGACTATGCCAATGATAAGAAATGCTCTCGCTACTAGTCTGAGTATTCTCCGAGCTAGAGGCACTCCAAAAACACCTTGAGAGAAACCAACAAGGGTTTCAACTGCGCCAAGACCTATTCCTACAGATATGAAACCTATACCATTAAAGAAATGATGTTCATCAGATTCCATCATTTCGATGCGTTGTTGGTTGAGAAGGGCTTTGACCATGCGGTAAAAGGCGAGGAGAAAATAGAGCATTTGGATAGCAATGTACAATGCAAGTGTGAGGTTGCTGAAATAAAGCCACAATGTCCGACCATCCCCTGTGAAACCAACGGCCAGAGTGTCTGTCTCTAGGGATGGGAAACTTTCTGTACACGAGGATATTGAATATCTGCAGGTGCGTAGAATAGAAAGCACAACTTACTAATGGTTATTCCAACGAACGAACCGACTTCATTAAATCCAATGACACCCAGGATGAGAAGGACGAGAAAATATTTCAGTATAACTTGAGGACGACGAGGGAGGGAGGGAAGAAAACTCTTGTAGCTCAGACTAAAGAGATACAGGGTATAGAGAAGAAGGGGAAGAAATGACAATGATCCTAGGAGAGTCGCATGAGATTGCTACTTGTTTGTTACCAGTCCCAAGAAACATACCGATGATAGTATCCAGTACCCTAAACACGGATAGAGAATTCCGCACAGCGGGGATGATGTGCGACAGCATGTCAATAAGAGCCAAAATAAAGTATATAGCACCGTCTGTTACGAGCAAAAAGTGCCTCCTACAAGAGATGTGTTAGTACTCTGCTTCGTGTGAGGCCAGCATCATAACGGCACAGGAAATAAACCTCGTCGATTGCCACAACGGCTCCAGAGAAACAAGCATTCAGAGAACCGATATGAAGGACGTACCTGCCGGAACTCCGTTTCATATATATCAAGAACAGAAGAAGAATGATTTCAAGGGCAGGAGGGATGATGAGGGCTTCGTATTCCAAAACGGTGAGAGAAAGACAGCGAAGATTGGGCGCCAATGAGAGACAAAATGAATTCATTTAACCCAAAGCCAACAAGGGGTTAACACCAAGACAAGTTGGCATTTCAAGGTGGCCTGCCAATAGTACGAACGAAAGGTAAACGAACGAAGGTCGACAGAAAAGGAGTGGACTGCAGACTAGCTGCGTGAAAAGTGACCTTCAGTCCTGAGAACTACTACGGAAAACGCGATGGGAAATACTCATGCTGAAAGAATAGCCATGCTACTTATTGGTTGCAGCCGCATTTCTTGTGGCTTTCATTGGTAGATTGGGTGGTCCTGTGGTCACGACAGTTGCTAACTACTACTGCCTATTTGGGAAATCAAGACTCAGTGGTCACATGATGTCTCATTTGTCATACCCTGATCTGGGGTTCAAGCTTTTTCAGATCGCTATAGTGTGCTCGTAGATAGGCTCATTGCATTTCATGCAGCATAGTCCAACTACCAGGCTCATCATTCTAAGCCTTCGCAAAGGCAATAAAAACAAGTCTTTGAATCACTATGGTAGTGAGTCACAATGTCATCCAGTGCACCCGCTTTTTGTTAACATTAGGACAGAAAATATCGGTGTTGCAGCATGCACCTTCTACACACTTGCCAAGTAGACCAGGAGATCCGGTTCCAACTTCACGCAATCTTGATCCCTTGATGCATCCGTTTTCTCGCGCCAGAGAGCGGACCCGTGCTTTGAACGCTGCAAAGATGGACCGCTTGTTCGCAAAACCATTCGTAGGCAGTATGGAAGGTCACATCGACGCTGTAGAGGTCTTGTGCAAAAAACCCGGTTCATTGAACACTGTGGCCAGCGGAAGCTGGGATGGAGGTGCGTGCGTGTTTCTCTTCTGGCACTAATTATTCGTACACATACATCGTGGACTTAGGGATAATTGTACATGATATCGCTCAACGGAGGCCTCTACGCCAACTTCAAGGGGCACACAAGGGAAAGGTATCAGGTCTTTGCTTTGCGGAAGGGGATCGACTTCTTAGTTGTGGGGTTGATAGCAACATTAAACTTTGGAATCTAGCAGCGGATGGGGATGGAAGCACTTCCGTAAGTCTGGATATCACTGGAGCTCCGTTGCCTTCTAAATGCTAATGTTCCTCAGTCGGAAACGCCATTAAACATCTTTCCAGGCAAATCTCCTTTTAAGTGAGATAGAGGTTCATTTACTACTCAGTCGTTCTAAATTTCCATTAGTTCTATAGACCATCACCGATCAGGCCCTATTTTTGCAACGGCCTCAAATACTGTGCAGATCTGGGATGAAACGAAGTACGTCTCAATATGCCTCCCTAATGTAGTGGAGCTAACTCGTTATACTTTCAGGAGTGCTGCAGTATCGAATATTACCTTTCCCACTTCAACAGAAACAATAACTGCTCTTCGGTTCAATCTAAGTGAGACATCTGTTTTGGGAAGTATAGGTTCCGATCGCACTTTTACACTATATGACATTCGAACCGGAAAAGCGGAACGAAGAGTTGTTATGCAGGTACTCCTACTATATCTGATTTCTTTGTTTCGTTTTGTCCTTAAGACTGATTGTGTCTCAAATAGATGCGCAGTAATTCCTTGGCATGGTCACCCACGTTCCCAACTACAGTATTGTTGGCTTCAGAAGACCATAATCTGTATACTTTCGATGTACGCCAATTGTCGGCGCCATCACAGATATACAAAGCACACGTGGCTGCAGTCATGAGTTGTGATTGGAGTCCTACAGGTCTGGAGTTTGTCAGTGGAGGATGGGATCGGACAGTGCGGATATGGAAAGAAGGCCATGGTCATGGCCCCGAAGTTTATCACACAAAACGGATGCAAAGGTACGGAACTGTTTCAGTCCTTGTTAGTCGTACTCACAAGCATGCGATGGCAGAGTATCCTCTTCAATATTCACTAACGATGCACGTTTTGTATTGACTGGTTCAGATGACGGTAATGTGAGAATATGGAAAGCTAAAGCTTCAGAGAAGCTGGGAATTGTCACCGCCAGAGAAAGAGCCGCCATAGAATATCGAGACAGTCTAAAGGACCGGTGGAAATGGGACTCGGAGGTGGGGAAAATATCACGGTAAGTTTTGCACACCACTATCAAACGATGTGATATCCTCAATGTTAGCCAGGTCTCGTCACCTTCCAAAACCCGTGTATCAAGCAGGGAAGCTCAAGAACACAATGCTGGATGCGCGCAGGGTCAAGGAGGAACGCAGGCGAAAACATACTCGGGCTGGCGAGAACAAGCCCAAGGCGGAGAGGAAAAAATATGTTCTGGCAGAACAGTCATGATGACGGTATATATGTCGTTTCGCATTTTCGTGGTTCACATTCGGTAGCAAGAATATGGTGTCAAGTTCCGGCAACAGCTTGTCAGTACAGCAATTCAACAACATGACACGTTAGCGGTTTGAGTATAATAAGCACAGAATAAGGAGGCTCGACCTTCTATATATGGGATGGATTGTGGCAAAATGAAGGTTTTTGGCCACAAACCGGTCGCAGAAATGCTCCAAACAAAGCCAAAGCTGCCAATCTTGTCCGGTGTTGATGGACCACTTGGCTCGTTAGTATCGCTTTTCTTAACTTTTTTCTTCCTTATTCCACAATGTCTGATTCTGAGGGTGACTTTTCCGACGAGCTTCTGGAGCTAGCTGGCGCAACAGAAAAGAAACGCAGAAAAAAGCAGGCCCCGTCGTCCAAGTCCTCTGGTGGTGCCAAGAAGCGAAAAGTCGAGTGAGCATAACTCTCCTGTACTGTCGAAACAGGCCTTACGCTTCAAATAGCGTCCTAAGCGAGTCAGACAATGATCCAGAGAGCGAAGAAGACGAAACAAATCCTTACCCGCTCGAGGGCAGGTACATCGACGAGGGAGACAAGCAAAGGTACTGAGTAAAGCGGATCATCGTTCCGGTTGGCTTATGGAACGTGTGCTAGACTCATGCAGATGTCCGAAATTGAACGCGAAGGAGTGCTTGCACAGCGACTGGAAGAGATGCAGCGTGTACAAGACAAACGAAATCTCGACCAAATGCTGAAGGCACAGAAGGACCGAGCTGGCGATTTTGACACCGTCTCCAAGGCTGCAAAACGTTTGCATTCCATCGTTTCGTGCATCAAATTTTTTCACAAGTACATTTATATGCAGGACAACATGCTGTGCGGGGCGCCACAAAAGAAAAATCTCGCAAACTCGATGAGCTCAAAGCCAGGAGGAAGGCAAAGGACGAAAGAAAACGCGTACGACCTTTAATTTTATTTATCCATCCTGCTTCACCAGAAATATCAGACAAGGACCAACTCTCCGAAGCGAGACCAATCGTCTTCACCGATGGACATGGACTCCTCCTCTGGCGAAGAGGAGGATGGTCAGATCACTAAATTTGAAGAAGAGGAGGAAAAGGAGAGAAAACTCTATAACAAAACGAATCCGGACGACGAGCCGATTACAGTGGAAACACTGAATACATGCCGACTCAGTCGCGATATGCTCGCCAAATATTGCATGGCGCCTTGGTTTGAAGATTATGTGAAAGGTAAGTTGGCTCACTATTACGCATAAGCTCGATAGACTTAACACAGTGAAAAGGTGCTTGGGTGCGTTATCTCATCGGCCAAGAGGGTAGTCAGCCTGTGTATCGACTATGTGAAATACAAAGTACGTGGTATGGCCATATGTATACCGTCCATGTAATAAGCATTGTGAAAGACCTTAGCGCCAACTTGGTCAAACCGTACAAAATCAATGATAAAACGGTCAACCAGTCATTTGACCTTAAGCATGGAAAGTCTGTTAAGTCGTTCACAATGGAAAAAGTATCGAACGCACCCTTTGATATGGTTGGTATCACTATCTCTCCATCCCCCAGACACATGTTTCAAACATCCCACAGAAAGAATTCGAACGACTTACAAAAACTTGTGCGGCTGAGGAAACAAAATTGCCGTCTAGACGTCATCTGGAAAAGAAGAGTGCTCAGCTTGCTCGTCTAATAACGCAACCGGTCACCGAGGTCTGGTTATTCATCATTATCTTTATAGCCTCGCTGGTGTCGCTCAATGCTCCACTCAGAGTGATATAAATGCGATGCTGGCACGCAAGAGCCAATTGCAAGCTAACAAGCACTCCGCTGGATGGATCACCATGGAACGGTCAAGATTAACTCAAGCAAGGACTCTAGCACTCCGTCGACAAGATTATTCTGAAGTAGCTGACATTGATGCTAAACTTGCGGAACTACCATTGCCAGTGAACGTCCGGGAGGAAGAAGGAACTCTCAACGATCGACTTGCAAAAGTAAATGAGCGGAATCGTAAGGCTAACCTTGAAGCCATCAGGAAGGCAGAACTCCAAGAAGCAGAACGAAAGCGAAGGGAGCGGAAACTAGCTGCTGCTGGAGCATCTGGTACAGCCACTCCGACTGACCCTAGTGCACGTCTCAAAACTATCGCGAAAACTTTCAATACCGCTTCGAGGTATGTACTTTAATAGTCTCCCCACGTTTGCAACTCGGTGCCCTTTGACCCATGCAAATTCATATCCTTCTACCAACACAGACCAGGCACACCGAACGTTTCGGGAACACCACTGTTACAGCCGGAGCATATTGGCGCGAGATCCATTTCCCCACTTCCGCCATCAGCATTGTCGGGTACTCATTCTTCTCCTACCAAGACTCTTGAGACTTCGGTAATCGAATCCATAGAAGTGGACCTCGGAGATTTCTGAATTATTATTCCTCTTCTTTCTTGCTGTGTAATTTATTGTCGCATCCTCCCAAAGCGTGGTTACTGGAAACTGTTGTTAGTGGATGTATACAGTATATATTAGGTGAACAGAAATCCAATCACTGAACCCATACTTCTATTCTATGTCTTAACTGAGGATGTGACAAAGCAAGGAGATTCTATTGTCATGCCGGACCCTGAGAGACACGCTATTTATCCGCAGCATATGTACATTACAAATTAGTGAGTTCAACCATTGTACTACATCAGGTAATTCCTAAATCAAGAACCATCCGCTAATTGAATTGCGTTCATCTTTGGTAGAGGTAAAGTAGGCCCACCAGGATTTTGTAAAGAACGGGGAGGAGCGATCTGAGCAGACGAAGAAGAAAAAGCAACCAAAGGAGATGATGTCCTACTTCCGATGTTATACACCGATGTAGACGGCCCATTATTAAGAACCTCCATGACACTGGGTGCAGCCGTTTGTCCTGGTCCGGACAAACGCGGAATACCCAACTTCGAGGCCGGGGACAGCGGAAGATGAGGCTTTGAAAGGGGACTGGTTGTAGCGGAAGCGGTATGACTTGAATTTAAGGATGGCACAGCTGGAGTGTCTGCTGAGGGCAATCCAACACTGGAAGGTGGTGGAAATCGGGTCGGTGATCGTAAAGGAGTAGGAAGGGTCAAAGATGAGGATGGACTGGGCGGTAGAGGCCTGGCACGAGGTGGCGAAAGCCCTGACGAGTTATGTCGAGACTGTTCTGGTGGACGTGGCGGGTGACTAGATGAGCTTGAGTAACGATGAAGACCCGGTGAGTTATGTCGATCCACCAATCCCTGTGAATTCGACAGTGGCATTAACCGCGATGGTCCACCGTCTGTCTGTGGCCACGCATATCTAGGCGATGGAGCCGACGATATAGGATGTCCGCTTACAGACGCGGAATTCGAAGCATTCAATAACACCGTGGATGGGGCCATTGCAAAAGGCGTTGCTATAGGTCGGTCACGATCATCATAAGGTGGGTGCGTGGAAGAGGGCCTACTTCCATGTTTACTTCGTGGCTCTAGATAGTCGAGGGATAGATTATCCTCCCGCTTCCGACTAGATACTGGATGCGATACAGACTTTGAAGACATAGCAATCTCTGTGTGAGAAGGACCAGGGTGTGGATGTGGATGTCCAGACTCAAATTCACGATGGTGTCCTCGAGGACTCGACACACCTGGTGGTAGGAGCGCCCCTGCACCATTGGACCCTGATGTGGACTGTTGGGGGTGATGATGGTGGACAACATGGTGATGATGTCGATGAGGATGATGTTGTCCACTGTGATGATGAGGTGGTCCCCCAGAGTGCAAATGTTGGTGAGGATGGAGGGAGGGGTGTTGGTGTGTTTGCTTCATTTGCTGAGCATTATAGTCTCGTTCCCGTTCTTGCTCGTAATCAAACTCGTGCGGATCATGGCCATGATCTTTTTCACTCCTTTCCCTGAATTTATCCTTCTCACGATCACGATCTCTTAAAGCCTGATTTTCTCTGTCTCGTCCCAGCTCATCGTTCACCCTCATCTCTCGTCGTCTTCCCTCGTTCCATTCACTCCCGCCTGTAGGCTTTGGTTCCTGGTGTAAGCCAGGCATTCTTCCAGAGTTTCCCCAGTTCGCCATAGAATTATGCGCACCACTAGCAATCGCGGGTCCGGAGATACCTCCTGGAGCATGACCCGATATATGAACGGGTGAAATCGGTCGACTCATGCCAAGATGCATTTGTGGCGGATAAGGGTGATTGCTCATACCTATATAAGGTTGTTGTATGGCATGCTGAGGATGGGGTAAGCCAAGTCCAGGCAGCGACATATCCCTATCATGCGTAAACTGCTGGGGAGAGGGATTGTGCAAAGGAAGAGGATGATGTTGCTGTCTGCTCCCTGGCAGTCCACCACCGAGAACAGGGTAACCTTGAACTAACGAGTGATCTGAGAATTGTGACTGCGAGAATATCGGGGGAGGAGGCATTCGACTTCCAGAAGGATAGCTAGCATACGAAGACCCTCCTGGAGGCCCGTCAACTGTTGTACTATTGGGGATAAACGCGTCAAAGCCATGATTGGTGGGGACTGGCGGCCCGAAAGGCACGTTCGGGGCGATATTAACACCATGATTCATGCTGGGCATCCTAAGCATGTCAATAGGCGCCCTACGATTTTGATAAAGATATTCAAGGTCGTGGGCAACATCAGCGGAAGATAGAGTTGCTAAGTCTGGAAATGCAACAAGTGAAGGGTTTGAGGCAAAGGGTGCATCACGTTTCTTGGCAATGGAAGCCATGTTATTGGTGGGAAAAGAAAACGTTTTGACGATCTGGCGAAGGGACGGAGGAGCAGAGTTATCCTGTAGGAAGGCTGGGATACGACGAACTAAACAAGCGTGTGTCAACATATAGATGAGACGTGATCATTTAGACGAAGTTGTGAATAACAAACCTGGTTGAGGCCTCTCGATGGCTCTCCGTTCTCTTTCCAGCTTTCTACGTTTCCTATTCGTCTCCGCAATTAAATCGGTCTGTAGCTCATCTCTGCTGAACTATAGATGTCAAGTTAGCAACTGGCGTTCGTTTGATTAAAGACTGGAGTAAACTTACTTTCCACCAACTCCATACAGCTTCTTCGTCTGCTCTGCACCTCTTTGTGACGTTAGCTGTTTCATATGTGCGCTTACGGCTCGCCAGTTCTAGACGCTTGTCACGCCGTTTGGATAGCTCTGTCTGGAGGTGGAGTAGTTCAGGGTGGGAACCTACATCATGCATAGAGTAAAGACATCCATCGAGTTATGAGATATCGAATGATGAAGAATACTAAGTCAACTATATAACGCGCAAGTAAAATTAAGACATACCTTCGCTCACTAGATTCTCCTCCCAAGCTAAACCTTCCATCTTTTCCACATACACTCTTTCCCGCAACAGAGCAAACTTGAGCTCGATGGTGGCCAGAACATCCAAAGCTTCTGCCCTATGAGCAGGCTGCAAATCTGATTCCAACTCTAAATCCAGCTCTAATTCTTGATCGGCATCAGGTTCCTCCGCAGGACCATCTCGGTCAATAAGTTCTGGGTCAGGATCCAAATCAGGTGGAGTTACTTTCGATCCATTGTTTACGACGTCCAGCGTCTCGGACACTCCCGCGTCTCCAACAATAAGGGCGGAGTCACTTGTACGATGATTCTTCCGCTTCCGTCGAGTGTCTGAGTGACCGTTCACAGCTGATGCCTGTTCTGCCGGGACCGGAGAAGGTGACCGCGAAGATGAAGGGGAGAATGATCCAGATGAAGATGGCGTGGGTGAAGGAGGATCCAACACAGATGAACCCGCCATTATCGATGAGGCAGCCGCGGCTGCAGCTATAGGGCCAACAGCAGCAGCTGGCGGGGCCGTAACGTCCATGCCTATAGAGGGTGCAGCAGTGCCAGATTTAGTGCTCGGAAGGACGGGCAACATGTCTACATCCCCGTCGTTTTCCGCTGGGTCAGGATTTTCCTCCTCAGATTCAGTGCCATCATCATCATCATCACCCTTGTAGTCGTCTTCATTGTCACTGGCGTCGGCTGAGTTTATGACTTGCCTGGAACGAACGGGATTGCCGTCATCCATCTCTTCATCGTCGCTACGAGATGATTCGTCGGGGTCATCCTGAACGGTGGGCTTAGATGGAGAGCGGCCCCGACGATTATGCGTATATGCATTACGACTGGAGGGTTTGTGAAAACGGTCGTTTATGTCTGGAACTCCGTCGTCACCCGCCATTTTTGCGCGTTGTCTAGCTTTGAAGGCAGGGCGATCATTGTCCCGCTGATCTTCCCCGAGTGGGTCGTCGTCGTCGTCGTCATCGTCGTCCTCAATAGCATTGCCATTGAGGCTCTGAGCTGCCGAATCTCTGTCCTCGTCTTCGTCCTCTTCTTCTTCCATGGCTGTTGGCGGGCCAGCCATTTCTTCCTCTTCTTCTTCCTCTACGCCGGTGGTGGCTCTGTCTTCACTTTTCTTAGCCTTATAGGCCCAATCCCACATTGGGGCAGGAACCATACCGCCACGCTTTTTCCTCCCACCACGACGGGTGGGACGATGTCTGGCACCATCATCTTCTTGGCTATCCTCCTGCATGATATCCACATTCTTGTTATCGATCTCTTGTTCGTCTTCAGTCAACTCGGAGAGTTCAGAGTCGCTGTCAAGACCAGCGCCTGTACCCCCAGTGGTGGGCTGTGATATGGAACGTCCGATTCCTGGAGGAGGTGAGGGAGAAGGAGAGCTGAGGGAGTCCAAAGATGCAACCGATCCTGGCATCGTTCACGACGATGTCGGCACTAAAGAAAACTGAAGCCAACCCTTCAAACTGAAAGATGCAGGGAGCCTTAACGGGATCATGCACAAGGGATGGCTCGTGCGCGTGAGATCTCCCACGTGACAAAAACCCTCCGATCAGGTTAGGGTTTAGCGGAGCTCGGATTGCACTATCAATTGCTATCTTGGTTCGTCAATAGGAACATAGTACTGCGCCTTGTTTCCTTATATCTCAATCTTATATTTCAAGTGTCGAGCTCTCTAGCATACCCACAACGAGAATACAGCTGATTAGACTGGGTCATTCACAGCTGATACTTGGTGTGTCAGAGCCGCGAAGATCATTCATATCGTGACAACCTGCACGTCGACGCGATCCAGCTCTAGCACACTTCATTGAACCGTGCACAGTCCAGGAGTCCGGATTTGCTCATGGTTTCTGCTGACAATCTCAACTTGGATGTCCTAGAGCTCATCTTCGCGTATCTTGCGGGAAACGACCTAGTTTCGATCGCGTTGGTCAGTCGATCGTTTCTTGCAGGAGTAATCCCTAGGCTGTATTCCACCGTATCATTCAAGTTGCGTCATTCGGCGAGATATAATTCAGTGCGTCCTTTATGTTTTTTTTTTGTGTTTTTTTTGCTAGCTCGCTAACTCGCACACAAGATATTTTCGCCTTTCGCCGTGTTGAAGTTGCACCCTGATCTAGCTATTCATGTTCGGCGCATTGGTACATATTTCTCGCCGGAGATCAGTCAACAATCGTTGACGAGTTTAATCAGACATCCACGCCGCCCCTGTCCTCAAAGCTCAGACCCATCCGATTTTTCTTGCTGAATGCGCGGCCGCTATGCAATCCTGTAAAAACTTGACATCGTTTACATGTCTTCCCAAAATCCTCGCTCCTCTCCTCGAATCTCTGCAAGGAAAACAGCGACTCGAGAATATACACATACATGCTGCTTTGGCGACCGAACAGTCAGAAGCTCTGACCAAGCTTAATACCGCACGTAGTATCGTCCTGGACTTTGCTTCCTGGAGTATTTTAAATTTGTTGCCTAAATGGGCAGAATCGGCTCAACGGACGCTGACAACGCTGGCGCTATATGTGAGTGACAGTCGGTCGTCGACATATCACAAAACGTTGATGTAACCCTCAGATGACTCAAGACTTGAATGAATGCATTCTAGAGCCCACGATCATGCACCTTCCAAACCTATTGGGACTTCACATAATAGGATGTTCGAAAGTCAATCATCACATTGTTTTGAAGCTCGCGACTCGTACTCACCTTTTGGAAGAACTGTCATTCACCATCTTCGTACGTCGTCAAGTAATCTTTTGAGTTTCACCGTCGAAATAAAAGAAAGAACAGGATAGCTCTAGCTTGGGTGATAGTTCTTCGATATTGCCATTGCATCGGCCACCACTACAACGCCTTCGTCATCTTGCGCTGGATATCCGAGCCATCGATTCTACAGCGAGTGCAGCCATGTTGTCCTCTTTACTCACAATCTTTCGCCCGTATTCCCCACGACTCAGATCCTTCACTGTCAAAGTCTCGGATCGTCAGCTAATACTTTGGGACACGTTCTTACAAACAATGCTCGATTCTTTTGCTCCCACTTTGACGCATCTTGCTTTTATGGAGTGCACTGTTGCCAATTCGTCTATACGTAAAATATGCGACGCTTGCACGCAACTTGAGAGACTAGAGGTCGCCATCCCGGTGAAAGATCTTGTACGGTCTATCTTCTCTTCGCCGCTTTTGTTGTGGGTTAAATGCTAATCGGAGTTTGACATAGACCGCATTTGGTTCTGCCTTGACTTTTTCGTCCACACTTGAGACCCTCGTTGATATTGGTGACTCTCATGCCACCCACGGGCCCCGGCCCACGCTAAATCGCGAAAATGTGCGCAACCTCATGCTCGATGTTCGGACCCTGAGAAAGGTTGTCAGTGATAGCAGGATCTGGACCGTATGTCATCATCCGCATCGGTCCTGCTTCGATCTAACTCTTTTATCTTAGGGGCGCCAGGGGACATCCGCGTTATCGTTGACATTGCAGAGAAGCAAACCGAGTTCGGCTGACCACTGGTTTTTTCCGCGCGTATGATTTAACCTGTTGAGTTACTTGTCTAAATAAACGTGGTAAAGGTCCTGTGGGTTTCTCGCCTTCGAGAAGACGTACTAAGCGAAACCATATTCTTGTCGTATGGAAGCCAATTGGACTCATGTGCCTTTTGACATTATCCTGATGTGACTCTATTTGCTAGCCTTTGGTGTAGTTTAATAACGTCCGGGTTTATCCAAAATGAGGTTCCACGTCTAAATCATAGAGTTCTGTGACATAATTTACCATCATCTGGCTACATACAACTGGTACCACAACATATTACAACAAAATGATCATCATAAAAGCTCGTAATAGATATCCATGTGTGCGTCTAAGAGAAATGTGAAAGCATGGGGAGATAATGCGCTACATTACAACAACCGTACAACCGAATCCTGAAAAGAAAAAGTACAGACATAAAGGAACATTCTATAGAATCTTCCCCATTTTGTAATAGACGTAGTTCCCGCTGCGCCCATGCACTAAGAGGTTGTTCTTCCATCCCAAGCCCGTCACACGTCCCTCTATGATGGGAAATACAAATCGTGCTAGTTTCGAGAATAGACCAGAACTGTTTCGAGAGAGAACGAGAAAGCGCCGGACTGCGCAGTTTACAGTCGGATTACACGGCGTCGGCTACTCGGAATCAAGCAATCAAGCTTCAGGGGGCCGAGGCTTTACACCCCCAACGTACGTGTATATCATCACGTTTCTGAGAACAAAACGCAAACTCGTCAGACTTTCATTGGCCCTCAAAAATAGAAAAAAAAACTCACGTTGATCATATCCTGGATAATCATCTATCTAAGCTAGGAAAGCGTCCTTGTTGCGTTCCTTGCTGCTATTCAACTCGCTGTTGAATGCGACCCAGCCAAATGCTCCTGAGATACCCAAGAACAACCAAATGTATGGTTTAGTGGATGTCTACGAATAAGGGGGGAGTGAGAAATTTCATAAACAATGATGCAACGCCAGAATTACCTGTGAGCGAGGAGACGTTGGGTACTTATATCGTGTAATTCGAGAGGGTCCATCGAATATTTCAAGGAGAGGCTCGGGTGAGGGGGTATAACTGATGGAAGGAGTATGAGTGGTCCGACTCAAAGATGGTGATAATCGTTGCCGCAGTTTGCGGCGCTTTTCAAGCGCGAGATGCATAAGATGGGGGGGACGCGCAGGACCGTCGAAAACAAGAGGCGGAGGAAGCGAAAATGGTGATACAGTGTTAGAAACGTCTATGGAGGTGTTTCGTGATTTTTCACCGCTCCGTTGGGTGGCGCCGATAGCAGCGGCGCAAGGTGCAGAGCTCGTTCTACCGAGCTGCTTGCTAGATTCTCCCAGTCTGGTCGGGGCATCGAAGATGTCGAAGATAGGTGGGAGTGTGAGTGCCTCGTATTCCTCTGCAGTGGCTGCTGAGGATAACGCGGATGCGTGACGCTGAGGCGTATTACGCATCACCCCTCGAGAGGACACGTCGTTGAGCGCTTTGAGGACTGAGCGGCGCATCTGAGACATGGCTCTGAGAAATCACTGAGAAATAGAAACGATGGCTTGAGCTTGTCCTTTATACAAGTGACGGGCCCGCATGTTAAGCTTGGAATAACCCTGGATCAGCCATCACAGAATGTTTCCAGTTTCCACGGAGAAACAAACGCCCTTGAGAAAGTGTCAGGCTGACAGGTGCTATGCTGCACAGATAATCGACCAATAGGTCGGATAAGAAGCGGAAATAAGCGATAGCTCATTGAACACAGCGTTGTTGTGTGTTGCCTGGGGCCAAAGACCGACTTGTAGGTTGATTTCTCATCAGGTGCCAAGATAACTAAAATAAAACGTGGGCTTAACAGTTACATTGATTCTTCATCCATTAGAAAGGGAAGCCTGATACACATTGCCATTTTAATGGGTATATTGAGTAGGTAATGTTCGGGGACCTGCTTGGATATTGGATAAAAATTGTCTTTGAGCTTGGCAAAGCGCAAGCAAAAGGTCAAAGGGGATCACAATCCCAGAATCTGGTTACAGTAATTGTCATCAGATTGTCGCCACTGGAGTAGTGTGAAATGATAATACTGAAAAGAGGAGCGTTGCATTTTGTCCGCTCAAACGCCACCTCAATATCGAAGCTCCCTATTTAAGATTGTGGTCAAAACAAAGCCTGTTGGGGCTGAGAAAGTAACTGATATGATTGCAGATTATGCAATGCGGGCCGCTAAGCACAATATTGCTGGCAGAAAGCAGATGATCGTGATTAGCCAAACTCCATGATCCTGTTAAAATAGACGAATTCAAAAAGACTCGATAAGCGGTAGTAGCTTACACGTCTCTAAAATAATATCAATCGTACGTAGTTGTCGTGGAGAATCACTTAGTGGTGTCGCGAAAGCTAGATGGCGCCCGACGGTGAGCGCTATAAGCCTTAACGTGATCTTGGCGACATGTTGCTCTGTTGACTCGGAGACCACAGCAATCTATAGAGCATTGTACGGATCCGGACCTAGTCACTGAAGCGGCAGCTGACTCGAAGGGTAGTAAAGGCGGTCGCGATTAACGTTGTCGATGTCTTGAGTGCGTTCTCTCTTGGCTGTTCTACGCTGACGATTTCTAGAAAGTCCAGCACGGCGATCTGAGGTATCACTATATGTGGAAGTGCCCAGCATTACCACACCTGTTTGCACAATTGAGCGAGGAGATTGGCCTCGGAGCTGTGGCTATAATGAAAAGCGGTAAGCGTGTTGCAAAAGCCTACGAACTTACATACGTTGCCTTATGCGGTAATTTACCGGTAATTAGAAGTCAGCGATTGCTGGGGACCGGACAGCCGGCAGTTACCCACCGGTCCAATGAAAGTCGAGGACTGGCTTGGCGTCGTTTCATGGCTTTTGGCAGAAAATATCACTGCGAAATGGCTGCGAATGTTGCGACGCCACGACGGTGCAACAAACAGAACATCTCAGCATTGTCTTGCATCTCCTTGGCTTCACACTGTTCTCGTGCTACGCAACACAGCACGTCCGCGTTTCAAGGATTATTACTGTTTAATATCGTCGACATCGGTATTTGGGCAGTGCCCACTTGCCTCGAACTGGCATAGCACCTTGGTGCTTGTCGGTGATTCAGTTTTTGTCGCAGTAACATCAGCAAGGATTAGCTGCCATCTTACATATATTTGCATTTCGTCATAGGCGCCTCGCAGTCCCATGTGACACCACTTCGACTGTAGGAAAATAATATTGGCCGTGCAGCTGTGTCCAGCCTTGTATTATCGAGACACTATTGTATGTCCGATAATCTAGCATGTAGGGATTGGAATTGGACTGTACCGGTGTTGATGCGGCCATGAGGAAAGAGGGTCACAGGACGTCGATGTGAGTCTGATGAGAGAGTCGAGACCCAGTGCAGGATTAAGGGTAACGGGACACACCCGAACCTGTCAGCTGCAGACGTGGGGTCATGGGATACAAGGATGACGCTAAATAGTAAAGCCTTGGGAAGGTCTACAGAGCCAGGAACATTCGGTGATAGAATCTGAGGTGAGTAATCGAACACCCAACTATTAACTTAGGTGTGGATTAAACAGAAAGGCAAGCCATCAATATTGCATCAATAGCTGGTTATACATTAACATGATAATAACCTCAAGTTTAAGGTGAAGGATTCAATCTGCTTCGTCATCGACCATTATGACAATGTACAGGTCATGCCTCGTTGAGGACACGTGTACAACAGCTGGTGGGGTGCAAGGTAGACAAGCTTATAGTTCACGTTGACTGTGCGCCCTGATGGGCTCCGATAGGACTGATACACCAGGAGAACACGAGGTTATTGCATCTCGGTAGAAAAGCTTGCTTCATGCTTGGTGCGATCCTCACAATCCTTGTCCTCATACCGTCATGTTGAACGAAACCTCTCAGGATGCCCCATCCCCGAGTCCGTCCCGCACGGGAGCAGCTGCCAACGTTCCCCTTCCCCAGTATGGCTTTGGCCCAGAAGTCTCATTTGATAGTCTTGTGCAGGAGAATCCCTTCTTGTTCCGAGTCTACACCCCAAAACCGCAATCCGTTCCTCTTCCTAGCACGGACCCGTACTTCGTCGGGCAGAAGTACAACGAGAGCTTTACCCATTTCGCAGAGAGGCTTCCAGAACCTCACGCTCGGCTCTCGGAACCTATCGCATCGTCAAGCACCTATGATGACGTTGCCCAGCATATGGACTGGACGAGAAGGCATTCATCCCCATACATCTCCACTTCCTTCAGCTTCATCTGGGCTATATGGGAGGCCACTCGACGGTATAAGGTCAGCGTGAAACACGATGTTCAGATTGCAGTCATCGATGCCAGGCAGCTCGCTGGTCGAGCAGTCACGGCAGTAGAGCTTCTTCGAAAAGGTACACCAAAAGAGTGAGTCTGGATAACGCTCGTCTTTCTAATTGAATTGACCTTGGGTGTTTTGTAGACGACATCTTGATTACTGGAAATGGTACAGATTCGCTTTAGAATCACAAGACGTTCTCGTCTACGGATCTATCCCAGGAACAGCCGTTCTTGCTTCCGTCCCTCTCCTTTCCCTTCTCGACAAGTTACCATCATACTTCCGATGCCCGGAACCAGGTTTGAAAGGCTCCTCCCTCGATAGAATATCTTGGGACGCCGCTGAGAAAAAGCCAAGCTATCGCCAGTTCTGCCAAGATGCATCAGATCAATTCCTTCGTTTATCCAATGAACATCGACTACGCGATGCGACAGGGGGTTCCGTCCGACTCGCTATGGCCTTTCTAAGGCCATGGTTTCATCAACTTCTTTCGGATGACTTTATCAGCGCTACTTCAAAAGTCTGTAGCCTTTCTTTCATCATAGCACAATGGCCAGCGCAGTGGTGGTCGCGCGATCATTTGGAGATGTGGGAAGTGATACGATCGTTGGTGGAAGCAGTCGGAGAAGAGGTTCGAGAGAAGAACAAGGGGGAAGTCGCGACGGAGGTGAGGAGATTACAAGGGGTGGTGTCAGACCTTGAACGGTTAGTGCAGGACTATGAAGCTGCTCAGGGGGATTCGACGTTGGATGACAAGGAGTCAACGACATCGACTATTGTTACCCCTGATGAAACGACGAAACCTCCTTTCGACGGTGTGACTCCTGCACTGCCACCTTCATCCACTCCCGCCGACTCCTCCAGTAAGGACGCATCGCCCGAAATCCCCTTAAAGCCAACTGGTGAATCCAAACAAGGATGGAGCGAACCAATACCAAGGCCACAATCCATAACTGAAACAGCAACTTGCATAATTACTGGACTGCTCTTTGGAGCTTTCGTGACGCTATGCATCATCAATTCACAACGACGTACCCTCATTTATGTCACATAACCATTTCCACTACACGCTTCACTGGCTGATGCTGCGTATACGATTTTCACGAACCAGAGATGGAAAGATTGGCAAGCAGTAATCCAACATATGTATTTTTACAGCAGTATAACCATATTCATAATTTATAGATACCCGATCCAAATACATGTACAATACCGATGTCCCAGCTATGTCTGAATGCAGATTCAAAGTTTTATAGCATATAAGAAGCCATCGTATCCCTTCTCCCCGACTGTTCCAATAGTGGTTGCATCTACTTCTGTATCATCTTTAATACCCTTCAGTAGCGTTCGAACTCCTTCTACTCGATCATCTAAGTATGTTGGGTCCGCGACCCGACCATAACGCACAACATTATCAACTATCTAAACATCGCAAAACATGTTAACAATCACAGAAGCCACCATCACTCATTACAAAAAGATAAATGGCTTACGATGACACCGCCCTTCTTAACGAGGCGTTTAGATTCCTGAAAATAGGTGAAGTTATTTTGCTTATCGGCGTCTATGAATGCCAGGTCAAAAGACTCTGCAGGCCCCAGCTCCTTTATCGTTTCAGGGGCATTCCCAACGATTAATTTCACTTTGGAAGCAAGACCGGCATTCTCAATGTTACCACGCGCTACCTGGCGCATATATGTATATTAGGGGTGTTCTGACCAGTATAGGTTGTATAAAGGGTACTATGCACCTGTGCGTGCTTCTCAGACACCTCCAGAGTAATGAGTTCCCCGTCATCTGAAAGTCCTTGAGCAAGCCATATTGTGGAGTATCTGTGTATGGGGGCACCATGAAACACAGTTCGAGTCGAGTGATATTGGCCGCTTACCCTCCGAGGGTCCCCACTTCCAGGATTTTCCTGGCTCTGAGTGACTGAACAAGGAGCTTCAAGAACTTTCCCTGAGCGGATGTTACGGCGATATCCGGTAAACCGTTCTCCGAGCTAGTCTGAAGAGCGCTGTCCAGGGCCTCATCTTTGCGGATTAGAAAAGAGTTGTGGTATTCATCGGACTGAGCCCAGTCTTCGAGTTTGGTGGCACGGAATTGCTGGACACTCATTGTACTCTCAAGGGGAGTTATCGTCAGGTTGGAAGATTAGACAGGACAATGCCTATATTTATATTTCCTGAGTCATTCCTCGCGAGCAAAAACATGGGCGTAGCCTGAGAGCGAATTAGCGGAACAAAAATTGACCGCGTCTGATGACGACAAAACGCGTCAGACTCAGGTTATATCTACAGTGAATTCATTGCAGGATTATATACTCACCTTCAATGTTCAAGCGAGCCAGAACTTCATGTTCAAGTCAACTTCAAGTTGCAAAGTAAGGTGGTAGCGAACCTTATTCGGGTTCAACAGCATCTGCATCGCCACCATCGATAACGAACCTCGTCATTTCACCATCACATTCTCTCTCGACAATTTCACTGTTTGTCTTTCATCCACAAGAATGCCTTTCGAACAAAACGTTACTTATGGCATAAATACAACTAACGCCTCAATACTACTCATGTCCAAGCTTGTTTCGGCTTTAGACACGACGTAATCCTCGCAAAGTTGAATCCAGTCTTTTTAGAGTCCCTGCTACATACATCCTTGTATGAAAAAGCATGAGGGAGGATGTTATTAGAAATTAGCTTAACGGCCCCAAGGCAGAGAAGAACGTATCCTAGATCAAGGATGATCCTGACACCGGAACATTCGTAGTCATGTCTGCTTTGGTCTCACAGGTTAGAGCTGAATGTTGACTCGGTGGCGGTTCATTCTCCTGTTGCAGAGATCACACCGTGTTCAGTGAGCCGCCGCTATGTGGTGTTCCATCGAACAATGTAACAGGTACCCCATTGTCATTGTAGATGCTTCAGACGAGTGTGTGAATGACCCACATAATGCACAGCGCGCCGTTTTGCTTGACACCATGTCACAGTGGTCTTCCCTCCCCAAGGACGTCAAGCTACTTGTGACCAGCAGAGATGAGCGTGTACCTAGGTCTTTCTCTGACATGTACAAACATATTGTTCTGCCGACTGGCGGCGAAGTGACGCCTGATGAAAAGATGTGCCTATGTTCTTTGAGAGCCATTTCAGGGGAGAACGAGAGCGATATCCTTCGCTGCCAATTTATTGGCTAGGACGTTCGGCCATGGACCAATTGGCAGATCGCGCAGCGGGTTTTTTCATATGGGCTCAAACTGTTATATTGAGCAAAGCCCGCTCAGAGAGCGATTGAACTTTATACTGTCTGGTACTATGAACGGGCATGGAGGTGTATATCAGCTTTACAGTCACATCACCACTCGTTCTTCGGATATGATTCAAAAGAGCGAGGCCGCTCTGACGGTGTCACAAACGCTGCTGGGAGAAATAGTTTATGCACTGGGGGATGTAATAAACTAACGTGAGAAAAGGTCGATAGCACGTGCGGCATACAAAGTTCCTACCTCCGCGACTTCTCAAACATCACAAGCGAGCTGGACGAAATCCGACTTGGAACAATGAGAAAGCAGGTGGCCAGACATCATATATGCATCATAGCTGGCAAACGAAGATGTGCTTTTCATGTCAGATGGAGTGGAAGTGTTGGAAAGCCTGGATCTATACTATAGGTCAGAAGAATGCAACTTACGGTAAAGATCGAAGACAAAGATAGACTGCAGATGCCGTACTACTACCATCTGCAGTCTATCTTAGTATGTCACCTGTTAAGATGGAGTGCGTTCGCTTACCAATAGAACCATCAAGCAAGCCCTGACCTCCGAGTCTCTTACTTACTTATCGGGCTAGTTTCCATGATGGTTGGTCGTAATCATTCCCAGGGAAACCGGAATTCCTATAAGTACGCTGCATCTTTTGGACTGAAAGCTTACACGTACTCTATTGCGCGACATTCATTGATCTATCATGGTTCTGCGCTCAGTCCTTGCAGGTCTCGCCGTCCTTGCAGGTAGTTCTGCCACGAGAGCGTTCCTCACCGACTCCCGCTCTCCGCACATCGAAGTCCGTTCGCAGATTTACAATGACACTGGACTTCGGTACGTAAAGAATTCCGGGATTTGTGAGACAACGCCAGGCGTAGAACAACTGTCAGGATACATTGATGTTGGCACCAACATGTCCATGGTATATCATAACAGTTACAGTCTGCGTCCATAACTCACGTCCAAATACAGTGGTTCTGGTTCTTTGAGGCGCGCAATTCACCCGAAACTGCACCTTTCACATTATGGTACGATGCGAATGGATGGCTCGGCGCGTGATATACTGATTTCGGACGTGATTTGAACTCTCTAGGCTCAATGGTGGTCCTGGTTGCTCCTCTATGATCGGCCTCTTCCAAGGTAATGGTTATGGAGTCAAATCATGAACGCGTGCAATGACTATGGTAATACAGAAAATGGGCCTTGTCACGTTACCCCCGACGGGAATGCAACGTTCCTGAACCCGTACAGGTAATTATTACATTACCTCAGGCCAAGTCAGTTACTGAACGAAATATCAAAGTTGGAATAATGTTAGCAATAGTGCGTTTTATTTGTTCAACAGCCTGCTTAAAAAACTGACCTGCCTTCACAGTCATCTATATTGACCAGCCTATTGGAACGGGATTCTCTTATGGAACAGACACGGCGAACAGTACCGAGTCAGCTGCACCGTTCGTCTGGACTGCATTCCAAGTACTTTTTGAGAGCAAACAGTTCTCCAAATACTCGAGCCGAGAGTAAGGAAACGTTATTGCGTCGCGGGATTCTACTGATAATGGTCATTTATCAGGTTCATCTTTGCCACAGAAAGTTATGGTGGCCATTACGGACCAAGTTTTGTCACGTATTTTGAGCAGCAAACCGACCTAATCACGCAGGGCGCTCTGCAAGGTGAACCCATTGTCGTCAGTGCGCTGATGATCAACAAGTGAGTATATGATATAGTATGATATGAGCTGTTGTCTTATGTTTTGTGTCCTTACAGTGGATGGTATGATCCGCTCATTCAGAATAAAGCTTATGTCGACTTTGCGACATATGCACCCGGTTATGGCCAACTGCAGAACGATACTGTCCTTCAACAAATCAATGAAGCTTATTATGGTCCTGATGGATGCATGGTTCAAGAGCAAGGTTGCTATGCTGCTGGAAATTCGACAGAATCAAACAAGATCTGTCTTACTTGTGACAATTACTGCGTCAGGAACACTTTTATTTTGTTCGGCATTGCATGTCGCTGATATTCCATCCAGAATGACAACGTCCTTACACCAACGATAGGTAATTATGACCCATATGACCTCAGACAAAATTCGTCCGCCCTTTTCCCACCTGAATATTACGTGAATTATCTTCACAAGACAGATGTCATGGATAAGATTGGCGCTGAGACCACGTATTACGAGTGTCCAGATCCGCCCTACTTGTTGTTTGAGAAGACGGGAGATGTGCGTCGTACTTGTTATGCAGTCTTTATTCAAGCTGATTTCTTTTTTTAGGATGCCAGGACTTGGTTGCCTCAACTTTCTGCTTTAGCCAATTCAGGCCTGAAGATTTTGGTTTGGGTAAGTGTAAATACTACATCTAAAATTTCTTTTCTAATGTCATTGTATCATTCACAGGCCGGCGACGCAGATATCATGTGAGAGTCATAATTCTATCAATTTTGATTTTCTGCTGTTGCTGATAACTTGATCCTTCAAGCTGCAATTGGTTAGGTGTAAGTTCATGTAGTCCTATGACCGTAATCTACAGCTCATCGCAAATCCTCATAGTGTCACGCTGTAGCCCTCGCCATGGACTGGTATGGTAACGAGACCCTTCATAAGACACCCTTTACAAATATGACCCTCGATGGCTCACCAGTAGCAGCTATCCAGAACGTGGACAACTTCACATTTGCGTAAGTGTCCGTAACTTACTGTGAGAATACGATCTAATCAGCTGATCTTGTAGGCGAGTCTATGGGGCTGGCCACGAAGTAGTGAGTGATACGTTTTCTTTTTGAAGACTACAGTTCACTAAGGTCTATAACAGGCTGCTTTTCAACCTGCTGCTGCTCTGGCAATTTTCACCCAAGTTATTAACAAGGAGCCTTTACACTCTGTGTAGATAAAAGCGTCCTTGATGTTTAAAATTTAATGTTGATTAAGGAATCATTCATTCGGTGTGTGATTTGGCTAATGCAGAACACTTCGTAAGTGAGGAGACAAGAAATCATTGTCACGTGAACTCTTCACGCGTCATGGTACTCCACCGCATTTCATCTTACCACTGGTACTAGCTTGACACTTGAAGCAAGGGACAACGCTCGCGTCTTGTTTTCCATGGGCCTCTTGTTCCATGCTTTTCGCGTTGGACCCTGGACTGGTAAATGTGTAGTGCGTTCTAGTGTCGTGCTGCAGTCTTTTAGGCGTAGCAGTGCACAGTGTCGACGTCTCTCGAGCGTACGGGAAATAGACAATACCAATGTCGCTCATTCAAAGTTCATTGCAGAGGCTAAACCAGGGTCTAGCTGGAACAAAGGCACTGCGGATATGTGCAAAAGTGGGGATATTTCGGAAGATGACGACTTTCACAGCATAAAAGAGGGAAAAGGTATGCAATTGCGCTTCTACATGATATATAACTTGGAACATCTAGTGCCTTTTCTAGGAAAGTTATCCCCTACGTCTTCTCACCTTTTCAAATTCATCCTTCCCCTTGGCCAATTCGACAAACATCCGGCATCGACTAACAAGCACGGAGACACCAAGCCCCCACCTCCCATGGTAATACTGCTGCATCCTTCCCAACCTCTTTCTCACGTCAGTAGACTGATTCAAGGCTCGCTGGCGCCCGGATATACCAATATCTCTTTCCGTAGCATGACTCTAAATGGTCAGACTTTTCAGTGGTCAGATTCTACCGATGTTGGCGATTTCATTAGGGATGCTGCACGTGTAGCAGAGTTCTCTATTCATATTATTCCAGAACCCTCTAGTGGGAAGGAGGAGACAATTATTAGCGTGGAAGTCCCGACGTTCGCTGACAGGACACGATACCTACGCCATAGGCTTGACATGATCAACAGAGAGCTGAGTCAAATGGAAGGTATCAAGCGAGAATGCGATAGAGAAGCACAAAGAGGTGTAAGGCGTATGGCGGTTAGTGGGTTCGGAATGCTCCTTGTGTACTGGGGTGCTGTTGCGCGCCTCACGTTTTGGGATTATGGATGGTGCGGTGGGCTTCTTGATACTTTGACTGCATACTGATCTACTATACTTCTCTAGGGACGTTATGGAACCCATAACCTACTTATCTGGCCTATCGACTGTGGTATGCGGCTATCTGTGGTAAGTCTTTTTAACTAACTGGCAGCTAGTTTACCTCAACTTAGACTCATATGTATCAGGTTCTTATATCAGGGCCGAGAGGTTTCTTATTCCTCCGTACTGGACTGTTCAATTTCTTCTAGACGCGAAGCACTGTACAAGTCTCAAGGGCTTGACATTGACAGATGGTTAGATCTCGCCAGTGACGGTAAGAGCCTCCGCCGCGAAATCCGGAAGATTGCAGAAGACTATGATGAGGGAAATCAAAGGAAAGTGGAGGATGAGGAAGAAATAGAGTCAAGAAAGGACTAGTCGTGAGGATATCAGACTAAAACGATTCACAAAATGGAACACAAACATTACCCGGAGGTTAATATGTATATTTTTACACTCATAAATCGCGTAGTATGCAAGGTTCGTCATCTACATCTTGAATGTTTGTACGGGACCGATGAAATGATGTCTTCCCCAGAAGACCCAGCCAAGAGCGACAATGAGCAGAAGACCTCCTACGGCAACGACGGCATAGTTCATGTTTAATGAATTCACGGGGTAAGCGGTAGGGAGGACGAATAATACGCAAATAAATGCGCTGAACTACAAGATCACTTGATTAGTGTGATGTCACGCTGACTTCAGAACAGGAGCAAACCAAAAAGCTCGCAAAATTGATGGGCCAAGACCATTGGCGCAAGTGGAATGGCCCACGCTCCGTCAGTCTATAAGACAATAAAGCTCAGTCAACAGGCTAATAAATCAACCAATCCTTACGCTTGGGGCCAGAAAACACGGATGATGATGGGCTGCAAATAGCTGAGCAGGACTGCGATCGCAGCCGATGATAAGATAGCGTCAAACTGTGGCAAAGATGAGTATTCTGAAGACTACGTGTGAAACTGCAATAGAGCTCACAGCAACGGCTGATCCAATATAGGCACATGAAATGATACATCCAACCACGACAGAGGCCCAAACACCCCAGTAGGGTGCTTGATATTTATTTAGTGCCATGAAATAGCCCTTTGCGGGCAATGCATTATCTCTTGCCAGCGCATAAAATAGTCTCGAGCTCGCTGTAAAAGCTGTGACTGACGCCATGAACTGTGCTAATACGATCACAGTCAGGCACATCAGAGTCAGCTTCTGGCCCACCGCATCATAGTACAGCTGAGCTATTGGGATGGCGTAGGTCGTCGCTTGTACGCTCGTAATACTCTGCACTGAGAATAGGAGAGCAAGCATGTATGCGAGGCCTATTATCCATGAGCCAACTATGCTCCCAACCACTGCAATTGGGGCCAGGATTTCAGCACGTTGAGCTTCTTCGGCAACTTGAGCAGCCGTTTCACAGCCTTCAAGTGTATAAACCGCCTACGGTAGTGTAAAGAGTGGTTGAAAAGCAGTGACAAATGAACAAACCTGAAGGAATCCCAACAGAACTACAAAACCCTTTGAACCCCAGCCCGTGAAACTAAAATCGCGTCAGAAAGACGTTAGCCACGCAATGATATCACTAACTTTTCAAAATCCGTAAACACAAAAGTAGCAGAATTCTATTAAACGGAACGGTAAACCAAAAGCAAATCCAATACCTTATTAATGCAAACTTACCTTCTCTGGGGCCTTGACTAAGAGCGTTACAACTAGAACAAATGTTCCGGCTAGCGTCCACCAGACGTTAAAAGTACTCATCCTTCCGATAGCCTTGGTTCCCACAGTGTTGATAAGACCAGATGCAATGTTGACTCCCCACGCAATGGCAGCAATCTCCACTCTTGTCAGTGTACGGTTTTGTCCCACTTCAGCGAGAGAAGCGAGGTATAGTGCGACACTAGAAAAACAAGTGAGTACTATATTTGGCGATTGAGGAGTGATGATTATTCGGCCATAACGAAGGTTACCTCAAATTTCCAGATGTACCTGTGAAGACCATAGCAATAGAATATATCCAACCGGTACAGACTGAACTTTTGTGAGCAACTTTTAGGATTAAATATGGGAACAGAAAAACTTACAGCCGAGGATTGGAGAATCTGGCTTCATTTTGCAAACCCAGAAGTAAAGGCCACCCATGGTTGGACTGATCACGTCCGAGTTAGATAGAGGTAGTAGGACCAACATTATGTCTTACTACGCGCTACAAATCTCAGCAAGACTCAAAGCGATGAACAACATGAAGAGGCTGCATATCTACTCGGAAAAACACGTCTATGAAGTGAAGTTGACGACTAAGGAAACACATACGTTCCATCCCCAGAAGAGCCCCAGTGGTCCTCCTGAGAACAAACCCGTCTGATACGCACTACTCATTCCAGTGAGGATACCAATTGCGCAGAAAGATACGCCCAGCACACCAAACAAAGACATTTCACGTCGAAATTCGGGTTTATAACCTAGATCCAGAAGGCGCTGGTCGGATGTTTCTGGGCCTTGCTCGCTGTTGTTAAGCAATTGTAGCTGAACGGCATCCTTTTCTCCAGGTTCGGAAGACTCTGGGATGAGCTGCCTCGACGTTGACATCTTGCAAGGACGCGTGAGGACAGTCTGTCAGATAGTGGTAAGAAAATAAGATTTAATTAGAGGGATATGTAGGTCCCTTGGCAGGTCCAATTTAACCGATAAGCTGGAAGTTCCAAACATCATCACATTTGATCAGATCCATGTGGTCTTTGGGGAAAAGAAAAGTGGTACACCGGCCCCCGGAGGCGGGGTTTCAAATCGATCCTTTTAATTTCTAGCAAAGAGTAGGCCCAGAGTTTGACTAACAAGACATCTTTGTGGTGGGAAACAATAGAGAGCTAGCGCTCTTGCCTCGACTCGAATCTGGACTTGGAGGGCTATCATGATATCCTGAAATGCCACCATTGCACGAGTAGTTGTTATTCGACCATCTCTACCTTTCTTCGTCGAGAGAATCGTTCGGGACTCCAAATGCGTGAAAATTTGTTCGTGAAAATACAATGGTGGACTATCAGATTCACTGCAAAGTGGATGTCATCTCTGGAGGGCAGAGATTGTAACAGCTACTTCGTCGAGTCCCTTCTGCATGTACAAGGCTCACTCCCAGTTTCTTGAAGGTTTCAGACCACTTTGTAGCAGAGGCATCATAATTCAACAGAAGAGGCCAACGAGTGGTGTAAAAATTTCGCTCCCTCTCCCTGAAGCTCCCACTGGCAGTAGTACAATCACAGTGGAGGTGTGGTTCGCGGAGTTGCAATCAATTGCAGATTTTTCTACAGTTTAGCTCAAGTTTATCTAGTAAACCACCATCTTGAATATCGTTCAGATCACTTGCACATATACAAGTGAGTAACGATAACAGCCAACCGACTATGGCCGTGCCCTCCCTATGGCTGACCAACATATACTTAAGTACAGTAGGTCACATTATCAATTGCATCACGGTATCTTCTAATGGCGTTATTAATACATTCTTCCCTACGTCAGTCCGTGCGAGCAGAACCAGGAGCTTTATCTTCATAGAGTTCACATAAGGTAACATGGAGTCTTCTTGCACTACTCAACCTCAACATGCCAAGTCTCACTGTTCCATACGCACCTCGCTACATCCATCCGCCTTCTTCCAACGAGAAGTGTAAGTGGTTTCATGTCCACATTGGCGTTGGAATTGTCGTAAGCTCAAAGAATATCCCACAGTGGACTATGCAGACCTTGCTGTGATCGACTTCTCCTTGGTAGGGACTACTGAAGGCCGGACAGAACTCGCAAAACAAGTGAAAGATGCTTTGTTGACTCATGGCTTCTTTTATATCGTCAATCATGGATACACACAACTCCAGGTACGGACTTTGAAGCTTATCGTACTTCAGGTCCGGGATTTACCTTGGCCAGACTGACAGGATATTTGATATCGCAGACATACCTCTTTCGGGTGTCAGCGATGCAGAGAAACAGATGTATGTGGCGAAAATGAAAGAAACAGGATCTTACCAAGGGTATAAACCAAGAAATTATTGGGTTTGTAGCTATTGCTTCAACTCTGTGGATCTATTGTCTCACTACAGTCTTGCAGCATATTGATTCTGGTGTTCGTGATCAACTAGAACATTACAACAGTACGTTGCTGATTTAAAACTCGATGGCAACGTAGGGACTTATCTTCCCTTTTAGTTAATCATGATGTGTCCAAACGTGCCCACCCCGACATTTTACGCCCATATCTTCCTGAGGTTGAAGGCTTTTGCCAGTATAACCATTTCAATATACTCCACCCACTCCTGAGGTGTGTATAACGGTGTCCATATGGCTACAATTTACGCTGATGCAGTTACAGGCTCGTGGCGTTAAGTCTTGAGCTTCCAGAGGAGTCATTGGTGGATATCCATAACTATCATGCGATCGGAGAAACATATGGTAATTTCGGTTTTCATCTCTCAAGCCAGTTGAGTTGATTATGGTACAGTCAGGTTCATGAAATAGTCAGCTTCCAGCAGTTCTCGTATAGTGATCATGTTTTAACGCTCCGCTTTAGCTATCCTCGTTCAGCAGACGAGGAAGAAAAAACTAAAAATGTTTGGTTAAAAGGACATACAGGTATAGTAACTCATCTCATTATTCGCACACCATATATGCAATTTCATGTCAATAAAAGACTTTGGCTCAATCACTCTCCTATGGAGCCAACCCGTCGGTGGCCTACAAATCATGACGCCAGATGAACGCTGGCACTGGGTTCGACACATCGACAATGCCATAGTAATTCCCTTTCTCTACCTTTTACCCCAAATGATCGCTCATTTTTGACAGGTTGTGAACGCAGGAGATGCCTTAGAGTTTCTGACAGGAGGTTACTATAAGGCTACTATTCATCGTGTGGTGCAGCCTCCCCATGACCAACGGAACTTCACACGTTTGGGCGTCATTTACTTCGCCTTGCCTGACGATGACACAAAGCTGATACCCTTGGCCGAAAGCCCTGTCTTGCAGAGGTCCGGCATCCAGCGTCAGTGCGAGGACAATCAAGCTCCTACCATGGAAACTTGGAGGAGGGGCAGGACTAGCGCATATGGTCAAACTGATTTAAAGAAAGGTCAACGGGAAGGCGTTGAGGAGGAAGTCATTAACGGAGTGGTTGTCAAACACTATAATTGAGTATGTGTCGACTCCCTATCACTCGTCTTATCGCCGTCAAGGCTCCTTTGAACAACACCAACTCTTCTCTCCCCAGCTATTTCATATATCATAACGGATGTTGTATGTCAAGTATATATGCATTTTCGACCTTTTCCGCTGTTTCGAGACACTTATTGGCAAAGAAGAACCGTCGTCGTCGTCGTCATTTGCGGGATCATAATGTTGAATATATCCTCTGTGCCTTATGCCTTCTCGACATCAGTTTGCGGCTTGTACCTATGTCCCCAGGATAATGATCCGATAATCTGTCATCTGTGTTATCGTTGGTGCGTTATGTGACGGGGAATCACAAGATCTCCAATATCGAAGGCATCAGTCTGGTATTGCGATACATAAACTGAGGCCTCGAGGTGTTTCTCCCTAGGGTATACAGAGAAGTTTTTGCATGTCCTATCCTCGCTCGTGCCATGAACCAGATTTGTATACCTTCCCAGAGTCGGTATCTATTTATGATGTCTCAATGCTCGGTTAACGGAATTACCGGCGAATGTTTCTCATATCGTTCACCCGATGATCATATTCATAGAGTGAAAGGTCACAAGTTCCCAAGACGAACCTAGCAATCTAGTAGCAGAATTTCCGGGTGTAGCTGGTTCCCCTGTTAAACACCCCAACCCCCACAAGCTGTTCATCGTCTTTTTACACCCCCTGAATATCAGCAAGGACCATTGAAGATGCCCAGCCTCACATTTCCTCCTACTCCCCTCCACACACCCCTAAGGAAAAATGTCCGTATTTTCCGTTTCGTTGGGCTGCTTATCATGTTTGAGCTGCTTTATTAGTGGATTATGCGGACCTAGCGGCTATTGATATATCCAAGGCCAGAACTGCGGAACGCCGCTTGGAGCCTGGTCATCACTCATGGGTACAAACAAGACGAGGTTTGTTTTCTATCCAATAGCGAAGCTCATTGCAATTGTTTGATCGTGTATTTTTATGTACACGGATGGAATGTTTGATATAGCAGAAATTACGTTTTCCGATGTAAGTAATGAAGAAAAGCATCCATACATACATAACATCAAGGAGTCTGGTTCCTTCCAAAAGTATAAGAGAAGATCTTACTGGGTAAGAAAAATTTCACGCTTTGTGGTGAATAATGATGTTGAGTAAAATTTGTTTGACTGCACAGCACATTGACAACGGCGTGCAAGATCAGCTTGAATCATACAATAGTATGCGTTACCTTCACCGAATTGATATAATGTTAAATTTCGACACAGTTCACTGCAATGTCAATAGGCCTCATCCTGCAGCGCCGCGTCCGTTCCTGAAATCGAGGCTTTCTACAAACATAAAATTTCAACTCAATTCATTCGATCCTCAGGTGCGTACAGAAAAAATTGCCGCCTCCAAGTTCAGCTGAACAGAATAGAGACTACTAGGTTGGTAGCATTGGGCCTCGAAGTCCCCGGAGAAACTTGGGTCAATATGCACAATTATGATGCAGAGGGAGGAGCATGTGGTGTGTTTCACAGTTCAGTTTGATTGTGTCTCTAAACAGCCTGCACTCAGCTTTTAGAGCAGCCAGTCGGTCCACTTTTGTTGATATTTTTATTGCAGCTATCCTCGATCGGGAGATAAAGACCAATAATGTTTGGCTGAAGGGACATAAAGGTTTTCTCACCGAACTAACATAAAAGCGAGGTATCATGACTGTTTTATTGTTCCAGACTTCGGAAGCATTATCATCCTTTGCCAGTGGAGTCGGCCGGTGGCTGCCTTGCAGATATGGCCGCTGATAGCAATTGGCGTTGGATTCGGCACGGTGATAACGCTCTCGGATACCTGGCACCGTAGGTTGCCAGGTCTCAATTCACAATTAGAGATGCGAAATGGCATCAGACCGAGTTTTGACTTGAAATATTCCTGGACCTAAGGGAATTTAATGCGCTTGTCCTCGCTGGTGGCGCCATGTTATCGCGGGAACTATTTAATTAGGTCTGCTCTCTTTCTTTCCTTTAGATCATATCGCTCTGATTTCCCATTGTTCACCTTCTCCAATCAGCGCAGGTTTTTCGCTCGCAGGCCTCAAAAGTCGGTGCTCCACTTTTTCAACAATGGCGACAACATCAATACCCAACTAATCAACATTATACATGCTGCTTCTCAATTCGGTATACTACTTGTATTCCGCTGACTTATATTAAGGACGGCGGCTTAAACAAGCACAGAAAGCTTGATCGTTGCGCTGCTAGTGGAGGAATTGTAAGCCACACGTGTCGATGATAGATCTACAAGTTATGCTCGAAGCCAATAGCGAGCTACCTATTATAAAGAGCTTACTAGAGGTTCTCACTATCCTCCCCTTCCTTTCTCCTCATCTCACATGTCGCTGTGAGATTCGCTGTTTATCGTTTCTATTCACATTCTTCCCATTCTCAACAGTACCATTGTGCTTTGCTTTGCTTCCTTTTCTTTTTCCAAATCATCCCCGGAGCCCTAGCCTACACGCGCTTCCAAGGTCTGTACTTTCTTTTTTCTTTTCTTTTATCCAAAAGCGATACACCCATTATCTTCTCGCGATCAAGTAACCATTCGCCGATATGGCAGAGATATCGCCCAATGAACCACAAGGTATACTATCATACGATATATATATTGTGCTTCTCTGTTTCCTTGTTCTTTCGAGAAAATAGTCCACTACTACAATAGCCAGTTACGTTATTTTCTCATCTTTCGATCTGAGTATGGTGTACATATCTTAATAAAGTCCGGTGTCATACACCAAAGTTGATTGGTAGCATGAACAGGTGTCAATAACGGAGTGAATATTCAAAAGACTCACCTTTACACCACACAGGCACAGTGCCATGTGGAATAGTGATTAACACCACCTCTATTAGGCAATCAAGTTGTGCTCACCTTTGCTTTCCATTCAGTACTTTTGGCATTTTGGCATTTTGGAAAATTTTTGCATTGCCACTGGCTACATATTGCATTGCACCCTTGCTTTCATCGTTTCCCTTACTCCCCTTCCTTTGCCTAGCCCCACCATGGGCCCTTTACTGTCTTTTTTATTCTCACCAGACGGCCGTTTCTGGATCCCCATCTTCATCCACTTTTTTGTCACCTCTTCGCTCCTCATCTTCCTTGCCCCTCCACCACACCTGATGTCACCACTTTCTATCCACTTCCATCGCCAATCCATTGACCAACACATGCCACTGCTAATATCAGCAAAGCCCCGGCAGCCAGTCCATATTCATGACATTGATCTTCCGTCATACACTATTAAATCATTGGTTGCTTGTCTTGTCTGGTTGGTATGCAGGTGGGTAGTTTTTGAATTGGAAAAGCTTCATCCCGTTGCATTGCCCATGTACATCACTGTTCCATTCACTTGGGTACATTTGTCCTTGATCCATTGTCTTCACTACAGCTACACTTACCACATGCTGCCTGGGACACATTATGAGGCAACAATAAACTATAACAAAAACACTACCCGTCTCCAACTGCACTTGCAGGGAGTAAGAGGTACAGTGAGTCTTGAAGATCGACAGATGCTAGTTAATATAGCAAGTAGAGGATATGGGAGTAGACTCAGAGGTTTCTGATGAGGAGTTAAGTGGGTAATTCAAGTAATAGAAAGCTAAAGAACAATACATGAGTATGTAGGGTTTTTATAGCTAACCGTCTATCCCTCAGACCGAAAGAAGAATAACAGGAAAGTGGTCTGAGGGGAAAATCCACCAATAAGAAAAAGGATAACTATCATACGACTTTGACGATTAATCAGCAGGTGGGAAAGTGTACTAATAATAAGTGTTGTCACGCGTGTTCAGGAACTGTATCCTCATGATGAGGTACGATCCTGATTAAAGCGTCTATTAGTATCTCCAGGCACTGATGGGGCTTGGAGCTGGTTGGCGAGATATATAAAGTGGTAACAATGGTTGAGAAAGCCTGCAAGGGCTATGAGAAGTAGAATAGCAAATGATACCTCCAGCCCTAGAGCCAGAGGTGTAATGGGAAAAGCGTTTGAAAACCAAGACATAGAGAAAATAATAAATGGTCCTTACACACATCTGTTCCAGATTGGAACTACTCCTCTTTCTCCCTTGTTTGACCAGGTGGTCCAATACAACCAGTCCATTGGTAAAGCCATGGAACCATTGGATTTGGAATAGGTGGTGGACTGGTGGCTCCAGTTCCTATGACATCATGATTTTCTTGCTTTCTTTCTGCTATTGGACTTTATTTTTATGGCTGTACAAACCTGTGACATACTACACAGCATTC